CCAAATTATAACTGGATGCCTGAAGCCTACACCAGTGTCCTTTTTGCCAGTCCTCGTGGGAATAGCCTTGGCTTGCCTCTGACGGGAGGCTGCCACCCTTGTCCTGGCCAGGACGGCACAAAGGCATGACTGGCACATCCTGCACAACACCACAACAACTGCAGCGCCTCCAAGCAGACTCAAATCCCGACACCTCTACAAGAAGGCAGCTCAAGAGATGCTCAATTCCACCCCTGAGGACATCTCCAGAGATGCTTTGCTGGCAGCAGCTTGGAAGCAGGAGTGGAAGTCAGCTGGGCCCTCCTGCATCCATCGTTACATTTGGGACCCAGGAGGAGGCGCCATAGGAGGAGATGACCTACTATGCCGGCAATGGACAATGGCAATGGACAACACTGAACCGCCTAAGAGCTGGGGTTGGCCGCTTTAAAACATCAATGAGGAAGTGAGGCCTGGTGGACAGTGCGGCTTGTGAGTGCAGTGACCCTGAGCGGACTGCCGACCACATAATCAGCACCTGCCTCTTATACAGACCACCTTCAGAAGCCAGCCTCTTTGACCTAGGACCAGAGATGTTGGCATGGCTACACGACACTGAGTTGGGCACCTCTGACGTTACACAAAAGAAGAAGCCAGCAAAAGTGATGTTCATTAAAACACCAATATTCTGTGTTGAGCACCTACTTTTCTTGCGCTCATAGGTTAAGTTATGCATGCTTGTTTGCTAACTTTTGCGAAATAGTGCCAAAAGCAGCAGAAAGTTACATGGCTAGAGAGTAATGAGAAACCAAGAGGATCTATTTTGATTCATAATCAATGTCTATAGAAGTTCGTCACTATAATATTTGCCTTTTTAAAACCACATACAGTTAAAAAGCACCAAACCCTCACTATTTCAGAAAAAACTGGGTAATCTTTGACTAAACTGCTTTAAAAGAGATGAAATAGTTGCTGTTTTTCTGTCCATTTAGCAACAGACTCATTGTTTCAGCTGTAGACCATTGACAAACATGTCTAATAGCAGAGTTTTCTTGTCAAGTTGTAAAAGCAGCCTTGTGTAGCGCTTGATTGAAACCTATCATTGACAGAATCACACACGACAAGCTGTTCATAGCGATAGATCGTCTCTCTCTGGCATATTTAAAGGTCTAGGAGCGAATTTTAACAGTGCACTGAAATAAATGGGAAATAACGGCAGACCAGTAGACGGGAAATCAATCTGCTTGCTCTGGAGCACTCTGGAAAACAGCCAGTTATGCGTTGTAGCAAATGGGATTCGTAACTGCTATTATGTACCTTTCAAGGCCTCTATGATAATAAGGTATACGAAGGAGAAACTCATTGAACACCTCCAACACGGGCCTTGAAGTTAAATATTTTGCAGTGTGCGTGCTTGGAGGCGTGGCAGGTTCACAGGAGGTGTAAGCAGCCCATTAACCATGAGAGCAGCTAGAGACAGCTAATCTTGTTTCACTTTGCAAATGCATTTGCTTGCACTTAATTGCAACAGCAAGCTGTCCCTAACTGGATCAAAATACAAATTTAAGCAAGTGTTTGGCCTGCTTTTGACCTCTCATAAATGTTGAAGCTAATCCGGTTAAATTACTGCCTAATAAATTAAATTTTGGGAATGTGGTTATCAAAGGGAAAGCATTGTTGGGAGTGGAGGACACTGAAGAGGGAGGGTGGCATGTGACCGTCATAACGGACAGCGCAAAGGCACACAGAGCCTGTCATGGATATTTCAAAAAACTATTCTTCACGCCAAGGACTTTTAAAAATAGGACTGTTGAATCTTTTTTTAGAGCCGGCTGGTTTACCTGCGATGACACTGATATTTGCATGGTTGACTCACACTGCAGAAACTTTCTCTGCAGTGTGTGTGATAAACTGCACCGTCTGATTCAGCCTGACAGCAGCCCCGACAAGCTAATAACGGTTCACTGAGACACTTAAGATCCCCTTAATGCTTTCCATTTCAGTAACATCAGGTTTGTTTTTGAGCGGCGAGAGCGGCGCTTCGACCGAAATGCTTTTAAAAAGTTTTTTAGTGCGATTGAAGATAGTTGATATAGATATAAAATCTTCGGCCTGACAGCGTCACCTTTACACCACAGGGGTTTGCTTCTTTGTTATCTCACCGGTATTTGACTCTATCGCTCCAGTTTTCCACGACTTTATCAATCCACTTCTTCTTAATGACTATATTCCATTGTTTGCTGTCTCCTCGCTCTAATTACAGATATGCATTGAACAAATACCTGAGCATCAGCATCCTGGGGGACCGATGTCAAAGTACCCAATTATTCCTATGCAGCTTGGAGAGATTGGAATATTTATTGGGGTCATGTTTGCCGGAGTTTTAAATTAAGGTTTGACACCATATCAGCGGAGGAGGTGCACTCTGTCAGTCACTTTAAAGAAAACAGACGCAGATTTATCGCATATTGTTATTTTACGTAATACTCATATTAAATATAACTCCCTGAAATAATACCAGTTTAGATTAGTTGTTTAGATGGCAAAGCTTTCATATGTTGGATTTTAGCACAGTGGACTTAAAGCTGCAAACATCAGCATGTGATATCTTATTAGGGGTGTTTTTCAGATGACCTCTCCGATCTGTAGTTTCCGTCAGTTTGAAGTTGGGGTTTACTAATGAGAGCGAACACATTGACACATTTCAACAGCTTAAGACGGTTGGAAACAGCACCTTAAATAAATACGTAACCACGCTCAGTTGCACCTCACTGCAGCTGGCTGGTTAAATAAACCCCACAGCTCTGCGTTGTGTGTAGAATGATAAAGCTTGTTTGTCTGTTTATGCTGCCATTTATTATCTGCACAGGAACAGGGTATGTTCTGGTCGGTCATTCAGTTGGCTTGCTATGGCAACTCAAACGCAGCACAGCAAGACACCTCTCATATGTGCCGGCAGAGTGTTATAAGAGCCGATTATTACAATATCATAATGTTAGGAATATGTGCACAAACAGGAAGAGAGTAAGAACTGAGCAGCTCATGCGGCTGGCTTTTTAGGTCAGCTCATCCAGTGTGTTTTAAAATGGCAAGTTATACTGTTACTGAATGTGCAGTGATGTTACAAAGACATTTACAGAAACCAAACCAGGAGTTAGCTTAGATTACAGTGCATTTTGTCTCCACAGGGTGGGACTACAGACAGTCTCCAGTCAGTAATGGACATATATAAAGCAGCTGAGAGAGGGATAACCTTTCAAAGTAGATGGATACTCTCTTTGTTATCTCACGCAGGTTCAAGTCGTTCATGACAGCACCAACTTGTATCATGAAGAGAAAGAAGTAGTTTAGTCACGGTTTAAAGTCCCTCTTTTTTTTTTTTACCACTTGAAGTGTTTTCAGTGGTCTTTAAATTGTGATTATGAAATTTTTACCAAAAATCACATTGTCTGTGTCGTCTTCAAGGGCTTTTCTTCAGCAGAGCCCCAGTAGCTCATTAGCAATTCACCTCTGAGTCGTTAATGGAGACAGCGCTGCTCTGCACACTCTTCGTCACGCTAGCTTGTAGCCTAACATTGCTGTTGTAGTAGAAGTAGCAGGTAACAAAGGAGCTATTCAGCTCACAAATGTCTTTAATGATTAAAGGTAATATCATAATTAGCTTTCTTACAAGCATTGCAATCCGCTAACACACACGCTTGTTCCGCAATCGTCTTCTACTTTTCTGAGTGTGGCCTGCATAGCGGGGCTCCAGGGGCGGAGCTTGGATTTGCTACATAGGAAATCTCACTGAATCAGAACCTGCCGTTTGCGTCTGTGATAGATTCACAATGATTTAAATGAAGAAATACTCAGAAATGCAATGTCGCACTTACTTTTCTCATGATATGTCCTGTAACGTCAGACAAATGCTATATGAACATGTAGACAACAAGAAAAACGATACAGACCCTTCACACCAATGTTCTTGTGTTCAATCCAACGAATAATGAAAATTTTATAAGACTCATATGACAAAAAAAGAGAAAAAGAAAAGGTTTTGACCCACGAGAGGCCCACCTACTTCAGCTGCTGCACTCCTCGTTTTGAATTTAGGAGTCTGTCCAATACAAACACTCTATAATGTTAATTTTCTTTAAAGTACATCACTTCAAAAACATGAAAAATTTCCATGTGAAATTCTAAGAAAACTGGCGACCATGATCACAGCTGTCTGTTGAGTTCAGATTACACACAGGGACTACATCATGTGTTTTGTTGCTCTGATTGGACTTCAGTGAATGTGATTGACAGTACACCTTATCTGTTTTTATGTGGAGTTTTTTTATTGCTTTTCCCAAACAATGACCATGGATGTCAAATATACCCAATGCTGCTGACACATGAATTTTTATAACGCATTTTAAATATATGTATAATGCATATAATCATGTTATAGCACTGTATAACTATAGTTATAAACACTCATAAATTGATTATAATACATTATAGCAATAATCATAACACATTATAAAGCATTTTATCATTACTTAAAAGGTCAGGTATTATAATGTGTTATAACTGTTAACAACTCACTGACAGTGCCCACATAGATAATGCAATGCATCTGTTGTTAACAGTTATAACACATTATAATTATTGTTATAATGCATTATTGTAATAATGCGTTGTAGAGATAGGCGTCAAAGACAGTGTTACCAAAACATGAAATAATCTCTGTGGTGTCAACTGTTAGTTTGTTGGCATTTTGGCGCCAAACAGAAGTAGTTGGCAAATTGTCTTATCTTGATCATTAACTATGATCATTTCTTTATCATTTCCCTGAAGTAATAATCATCATATTGATCATTTTGCACCGCAATCGCGACAGTTTTTCTGCCTTAGTGTCTTGGTCTGATTGCATTTCAATGAAGAAATGATCACCAATGTTCTTTGTTTGGCTGCATCCCTCCGCTGCAGTCGATGGACTTGCCCAGAAGAGAGGAAGAGAGAGGGTGATTTGTGTTTAGTCTCTTTGCTATAGAAATCAGGCAAAGTTAAAAAGATGTTTGGTGGCTGGGACCCTCTATGTACTGTTGATGAAGTTAGGTGCTGTTCTGAGTATTATTTGTGGCTTTTTGGTTGAGGTTGGTTGCAGAATTTTTAGTTATATCTTCAAAATAGAGAGTAAATGTCTAAAATCATCCCCCCGCACAGTGTATAAATAAAGAAAATGAGCTGATATCAGACTGTAAACATGTTTGATTTTGCTGGAAAAAAAGGCTTTGAGGGGATCCTTGAGTCTCGCAGCTGGCCTCAAGTGGACACTCCAAGAACTATTTTTTCTTTTTCACTCCTGCATCAACTCTATTTTTCAGTGCAGGAAGCTGCTGCTTAAATAAATACACAAATCTCACATTTTGAAAAGTGTATTTACACACATTATAAATTCTGTTACTTTCTTACCTGTTCGAAAATTCATTGTATTAAAAAAAAAAACAGCAGCTGAGGCCAAAGAATATTTGACTCCCTGTAAAGGTTTGATAAACAGAGAAACTCCAGTTTGAAGTGAACCTTTTGGCCGTCCATGAAAATGTGAAACTCACTTCAGAAACGAGTGCTGGGAATTTCAATTAAAGCGGAGGTGAAGAGGTCATTTAAAGCTGGTGACAGAACATTCATTAAAAGTTCCTACTCTTTAAACTGGGTTTGTAATTCTGTGTGAAAGGGTGTCCTATCAAAGGCTGCTCTTCAAATATATAAGTTTGTAATGAAGAATTTTAACTGCTAGCTAAATGAACTGCCTTTTAAATCATAAGCCGCCATCATAATCCTCAAAGTGTTTTAAAAAGCAACAACTGAATTATGAGCTTCTGCTTCCTCTTGCTTTATTTTAAAAGGTTATTCAGAGTCAATCAGCATTTATAATAAAAATCATGAAAGTCAGAGCTGTCTCAGTGGAGCAGGTTTGTGCTGAATGGAACAGCTACCTAATCTCCATATGAAATGCTCACAACAAAAGGGAAAATTAGCTGTGGAGAGTAATTGTTTAGAGTGAAGCACGGAGAAAGTTAGCACGGGGGAGTGAGGACTGTGAATCAGGGACACGTCAAGAAATGAACTTCCCTGTAAGCGTCCCACGAGTTAGTGCACAGAAGCTGCTTTTGCTTGAAGTAATCTTGAAAAAAAAGAGAGAGAAATGCTTAGCAGGATTAATTCCATGTTGACTTTCTTAACAGGATCAGATAGAGGAGTTTAAAATTGCAGAATCAAACCGAGAGCCTAGAGGATTTCAAACCAAAAGCTGATTTAAGCCTTTTGTGTCTCTTAAATACTTCAGCCTTATACAATGTCTTGTCATTTAAATCACTCGATCTTAAAGGGATATTCCAGCGTAAAATTAAGTTAGGGTCAAACACACCATAACACAGAGTTAGATACCCCGTTGAGAGATGAATGTTGCCGACCGCTTGCTTCTCTAGTTATACCAACTTTAGTAACGACCACAGGATAGCAATACAGAGAGCCACACGCTTAACCAAAACGCCACTCTATAGCCACAAATAATGCTCAGAACAGCACCTAACTTCATCAACAGGACATATAGGGTCCCAGCCATAGTACTAGCCACCAAACATCTTTTTAACTTTGCCTGATTTCTTGAGCAAATAGACTAAACACAATTCACCTACTCCCTTCCAGCAGCCGCTTGTTTCTACGGACTGCTGCAGGATGACACAGCTTATTAAAGAACATTTATGATCAGTTCTTTATCATATACTTGAAGTAATAATCATCATATTAATCATTTTGCACTGCAGACGCGGTAGTTTTTCTGCCTTAGCGTCTCAGTCTGATTGCATTTCCATGAAGTAATGATCATAAATGTTCTTCCTTGAGCTGTGTCACCCCGCAGCAGTCGATGGACTTGCCCAGAGGTCTATTGTTTAGTCTCTTTGCTAAAGCAGGCAAAGCTAAAAAGATGTTTGGTGTATAGTGCTGTGGCTGAGACCCTATATGTACTGTTAATGAAGTTAGGTGCTGTTCTGAGCATAATTTGTGGTTATAAAGTGGCGTTTTGGTTGAGCGTGTGCCTATCTGCAGTCGTTATGAAAGTTGATATAACTAGAGAAGCAAACAGTCTGCAACATTCATCTCTCGATGGGGTGTCTAACTCGGTGTTACAGTGTGATTGACCCTAAATTAATTTTACGCCGGAATATCCCTTTAACACTTCATCACATAACAGCAAACTAATCTATAAAACCCAGAGTCCAACGCACCCAAGAAAATATTTGAACTGTAAACTAACACAGGCTAAGCCAGCCGGTGTGGCATGTCTGTTTTTATGTCTGTATACATGAACCGCAGAGCAGTACATGCAAGAACCAAACAGAGGTCGGAACAAGGCCAGATCTTAGATATGTACCATGTTGTAATCCATGGCACGGCCTCTGGCAGGTTTCAGCGTCATTTGCATTCTTACAAACAGTCCCTGAAGGAAACAAAGCCACACACAGTGAGACCTCCCCAACTATACGACAGCAGCATCTCTGCAGAAAACAGCTGCCTCTCTCTGCAGCTCAGGTTGCATTGTCATGGACACGGTGTGAGGCGAGGGGGGAAAACCGGTTCGAAACAGAGACGATTGTTATGGTAACAGGCGTTTGTTTGGAGGAGTGGTGTAAATGTAGGTGTGGCTAATTGCACTCTGTTCTCACAGGGTCACCGCCAAAGTAAATGTCTTGTTATTCAGAGCTGAGAGATAATGTCAGGTGCCAACAAATGCGGAGTATCTCCTACCCCAGACTGGATTAAAACCTTTAGGGCAAAAAAAAAGATGCTCCAGTCCCTCCACATTCCAGGATTGGGGGCTTTAACCGTGTTTAAACAGTCCTAATCAGATCTGTGTGCAGGATGGTCGAGGGTAGGACTAGATCTCCATTGTTGCCGTAGACAATGACCTGCTTTAGAGTGGTGGTGTGAGGTGACACCTGTAAGGTGCGTCTCTCACACCCTGCAAACAAGGTATTAGAAGGTCATTCGACGAGTAAGCCTTATTTGTGTAGCGCTGTTCAAAACAAATTGATTTCCTGACAGAGACAAAAGACCAGAAGCAATAAAGGTGTTAGAGTCATTACATTTAAATAGTATCTCCTCAAAAAAGCTGATAGGTAATCATAATATTGTGATTCTCTCATTTGAAATCCGATCATTCAGTGTGGTTTCTCTCCTTGTTAATTTTCCTCCTCTTCTAAATTCTCATTTGATGCAGGATATAAATATTCAGCTGTCTGTGAAATGATAGTCTGGTGGTTTGCTTTCTGTCCCTGGTGTTTCAAACTGACCGATTTGATCACCGCAGGGTGTGAGAGATGCTTCAGCTAAAATTGTTTTTTTGCAGGAAAATATCATAGGACTGAGAAAAATAAACCCAACACCCAGAAAAATATGCGGCGAAACCAGCAACATTCATCTGATTGAAGAAAAATCACAAAAAATCAACCTCTTGCGACCACGAGTTGAGGATGATACCGAGTCTGAAGAACTTTGTGCAATTAAGGAATTCAGCTGTAAAAATGCAACACTGCTGTCAACACATGCAGCCTGTTTGTACTCGAGAGTGACTGTCACCAATTGAGACCCACACAAGACTCGTGAGCAGCAGAGCATTCAGAGAACTGACACCCCTTCAAAATAAGAGACAGCCTCTCCTCTCTGTCGGAGGCTAGCATGAATTCAGAAAACTTCAGGGAGCTACAGATGTTTATTCCTTTCACTGCAAACTAGCTTGACTGGAGATGAGCGCAGGCTATTTTGGACAGGACCCCATATTTATTTCATGGCAAACACATCAGGAGACATCAGGAGAAGGCTCAGTCAAACAGAGGCTATGAGAGGATAAAAGGGTCTACCTCCAATTTCTAGGTCAAGATTTCGACCAGCACTACAACCAGGAGTAGTTTCAAGACATCAGTACGAGACTGTCAAGCAGCGAGACTTGTGGCTATTGGACAGATTCATTAAGAATTCATTTTCCCATCACTTGTAGCGTCCAGTATTTAAAATTTTATAGCTTTCATCAAAAGTTTTATTTTTATTTGTTATCCCTATAAAAGGAAAATATTGTACAAATCCTACAAACCTACACACATATCAGTGACTCACCACCGGTTCTGTGCAGCAGATGCATGAAATTATTATCTATGAAATAATTTCACTCCCATTCACAGCAGCACTTAGAGGCTATTTTACTCCAAAATGACAGCTTCACATTCAGATTGTTGGCACATCGACTTGCAATGGAGAGAAAGGAACCCTTTTGATTCTCAGTCTTGGCACCGGAGCATCTTCTTGATCGGTATAATTTGAATTGAGCAGGAACGATCTCCCACGAGAAGTGTGTACCGCTTCGAGGCAAAGGTTTTTGGTTTGGAAACAAAAAAAATAACAGGAAGATAAAACTCTTCCAAACTGGTCTTAGCTTGGTTTGGGTTTGTAGACACATCACCAGATACCAAAGAGGACATTTTAGAGAAAAGTGACAAAAGTAGGCAGATTTACGAGCGGCTTTAACTTGTTGAAAAAGAAATCTACTTTCACAAATCATGTAGCTTTTAACGCCCTGTCATTAGTTTGAATTAGAAATGGCTTTTATAACTACAGTGTGAGAGAAAATCTGGTTATAATACTCTGTAAATTAAATGACAGATTTCACTTGAAGTATTTTTACACTCTGTCATAAAAAAATGAGATTTGAGAGGATAAAGTGAGAGCTGTTTGAGAGCTTTGCTGTTAAAGACGGAGAGGAAGAGTGTGCCTTATCCAACATATAGGACGTAACAGGCGGCGCTATATCATTCAGTCTTGATTATCAAACCGTATTTTTCGCACTATAAGGCACACCGGATTATAAGTCAAGGATCAGACTGATGTACCAAACTCCTGCTTTATTCACATGCTAGCAATATATACAGAGAGAGCATAGTTGCAGCATTAGCACTGGTGTACTGAATGAATGAACGTCCCAATGCATGCTGGTTCTGCATACGAACAGGTGGTACGGTGGCTTCGCTAGGACAAACAATCATACAGTCATCGGTCAAATGATATACATCCCTTTCCTTTAGTTTGCTCTTCTGAAATAAACAATACATAACCTTTATAAGCCAATAAAGACACCTGCAATATTTTAATAATACAAAAAAATACTGACATGCACAGACATACCTAGAATCCTAGTTAAGTTCCAACATTTCAAATGCAGTACGGCATATCAAAGTTTGAGGGGAAGAATTCAATGACGGTACCAGCAATTTTCACATTGACAATTAACTGGAATCTTAGCATGAATACCCAAAATATCAAATGATCTACAGCGTCTATTCACGTCTATTTTCATACATAAGGCGCACCGGATTATAAAGCGCACGGGATTATAAAGTGCATTAAGCCAAACAAAACAGTCAGATAAGTCAAACTTTATTAAACTCATTCAATAACTCTGCGAGGCTACGGTAGCTGCGGTGCTCCGACAAGCCAAAAGGATTTTAAGTGCACCTTAAAGAGTGAAAAACACGGTATGTTGGGGCAAAATCAGCTGTAACTAGCATCTAGATTTGTTTGACTGAGGAGTTGGTTGAGACCAAAACAGAGGTAAAAATGTCTAACTCCCAGTCTAGCTTTCATCAGTTAGCCATATAAATAAATCACAGTGATATCTGCTGGTGTGTAATCCTGCTTTGTCATATGCAAGAGTGTTTTTTAGTTATTAGTTGGATTTGTTCTGTCATTCTCAGTGTGGTGTCATTTTAAGATGATGAGTTGTATCATCCAGCTGTGTTTTTCTTCAGTATTTTATAGTTGAGGTTTAATTTAGGTAGATACACGCATAAAGATGAAGCTAATAACCCCCACACAGACAGAGTTTTTCAACACTTCTGCAAACTCGCTTCTCAGATTGCTAATAAGACAGGTAATAATAGCAAAGCATACATAAACTGTATCAACTCTGACATAAATGCAAATATCAGACATGCACAGATGCACTCAAAGCTGTGTACAATTATCAAGTCTTGAAGAAAGCCCTGATCAGATCACGATTGCTATTATTATAACTCATTATTTGTAAGTGTCAAAGTTATATTTATTTGCTGAAGAGGTCATAGTGACATATGACGTGTGGTTTGTGTTTGTGAGATCAGTTTTGTTCTTTCTGGGTAAAAGTGAGTTTTTATTCTGTCTTCATGTCTCCAAACCACATCAGCTTTTAGTGTTGTGATATGTGGTTTTTGTACAAATGATGTTAAACACGTTAATAAACACTCTGATAGCTCTCAGAGAAATCGATAGGCGTGTTTTCTTTTACCACACGTCCGCAATAAAGCTGCCCAAACCTTACCTGGAACCACATTTTTCAAAAAGCCATCAGTGAGGAGGATTATTGTAATGTATGCAAAGCTGAGAAACAAAACTCAGCATTCTTTCCCTTTCACACAGCACAAACTGCATTTTGATGAAATCCACACAGACTTTAGTCCCAGACAATATACGGCTCCACCTGATTCAGTTGTTGAGGGGGGAAAATGTTCATCTTTTATATTTGAGTACTTTGTCCCCTGTTTGATATTCCTGACATGCCCTTTTACACTCCAATATATCAAGAGATCCTATCTGGCTTTGGCCGGTATCTCTTCTCGTCTGCTTTAAAGATTATCCAGCAAACAGGATGTCAACCTGCTTTCACCACTGTATTAAAGGAAAAGAAACTGCAGCAAAAATGTGCTCAAACAAATTACTCCAAAAAGTTTCTCTTTGATATCTTTACACAGTGAGGAGTTATTACTTTTTTTAATTCCAATAACAGAATTGCCATAACATGACTTATCTTTTGTTTAAAAGTTAATTTCATGGAACATTTGGGTGTTGCGCGCCATGATGAAAATGTGGCAGAAGATGTATTTTCAGAATACTCGCTGCCATTTAAAGAAAGGAAAAAAAAAGAATAACAAGGATCTGCCGTTTGTGTTTATTCTGGGTTGTTGCTCAAAGCATCAGCCCGCAGCAGACTGCGTTTAAGTTCTCCCAATTGCAACAGCAATGAGCCGCCATTAGCTGACAAACCAACAAATAGTTTCAGGCTCAGGTGAGAAATAAACAATACTGACAGCTGACAGATGCAGGAGTTGTAGCACACAGCGCTACATCTTCATGAATAATTTCTCAGCCTTTCAAGTTGCCAATGAATTACATTTATGCATTCACAACCAGGTAATTTGTGAAAACAGTCACAACTAGGTGCCAAGCCTGCCAGACTGGGTCACATATATCACACGCAAACAGCTGCATCCGGCACACAACGCAGGCAGATACAGATGGTAAACATTTCACCTGTTATACATCTGAACTCAATTTCTCCCCCGTCAGCCGGAGGTGGAATTGGTTTTTCCTTACAGATTGATCCAAAATCAGCTGGATTAATTTCATTGCCTTTCATATTCGCTCCTGGTTTTGTGACTTTGTGATCTTGGCTTCTACTTAGACTCTGTAAAAAATCTCGACGCATAAATCTTCAACGCGGTATCAATACATTTTATTCTCACAAGTTATAAGTCTCTGAAGTCTTTGAGGTTTGTTTTATTTAAATATTAGACCTCCCTTGATCCAAATGTGAGGCTGAAGTGAACCCTCATGAATCATAAGCTTGTTGGTTTACTCCGCTGTATATTTATGATGTAATTTCCTCCACGGTAGACTTGATTTGTATATCGTATGATGGTGAAATACATCCACGAAATACTGCTGCATTTCTTATTCGTATTCTCATTCAGCTCTCCTCTGCTTAACATTACAAATACTTTAATACTGTTTCCTGTTACAACTTCCCAGCAGGTCAAAGTCCTGTAGGAAACCTTTTCTTTTCACAGAGCACAATGGCTTCACGAGGAATTTGTCTCGGTAAATTTGCACCGCCAAGCCTCTACACAGTTCCACAATATAGGATTATCTGACAGCATGCAGAAGGAAAACCTTGCACATTGTGTTAAGACATTCAATACGACATTAAATCAAAAACAGCTCCATAGAAAACAGTCCAATACAAAAAGACACTCAAGCACAGATCAAGGTGCCTGTGCAATGAGATGTCCTCGGACAGAGATGAGGACTCAACAATGTGGAAGGTGACAATAGTCCGGCTGTTTGTACGTCAAGGTTTCGGTGTCCTAACTGGTCAAATTCTGGAGTTCTACAATGATAAACACAAGTTAACCACTTAAAGCGGAATTAAGGTTGAGACTAGTGTTTTGCAAAAGCTATCTCACTAATGATAGTAATTGTACCTTATATCATAGCTCTCAATCACTGCCACCCACTCCTTCTATCTGTAATTAAACTGCCTCTCTTCTGCTGTTAATAGCTTTGAAACAAACTGTCTTACAGTGGTGATGGACAGGGACAGAGCACATTACAGGGAAAAAAGGGAAATGCCAGCTGGTGGTATTTAAACATCTGTCAGTGTTGTTCTAATAAAAGCAAAGCTCTCTGGATTGCAATGATTTTTTTTCTCCCTTTGACTTCAAAGTTTCACTTGTTAAAGGCACAGTGAGGAGTCTGCATGTTGTGTTCATGGCTGTATTCCTCATGATGGTCCACTGTCCTAAAAAAGTGGCCCTCGCTAAAGTGTGAATTCATGGAGGCAAATTAATGGAATACAGATTCTTCAAACATTGTTTTGCAGGAGGCAGAGTGATAACCAACAGAGTATATTGCTCAATGGTTATCATAATTATTTTGGTTAAGTACTTGGAGATCAGTTATGCAACTCACAGTTGCTATTTGAAGTAAATAGTTATTGAATAATGGGTTAAAGTGCAACATCTAAATTCCGTCTAAAATTATCCAAATTCTAGACGGTTGAAATTCGGTCTTTCACCTACTCTCTTCCAGCAGTCGCTTGTTTGTAGTGAGACCTCAGGCCAGTCCATTACAGACTGCAGCGGGGTGACGCAGCTCAAGGAAGAACATTTATGATTATTTCTTTATCATTTTCTTTAAGTAATAATCATCGTAATAATCATTTTGCACTGCAGACACGGAACTTCTTATGCCTTAACGTCTCGGTCTGATTACATTTCCATGAAGAAACAAGCGGCTGCTGGAAGAGAGTGGGTGACTTGTGTTTTGTCTCTTTGCTAAAGAAATTAGGCACAATTAAAAAGATGTTTGGTGGCTAGTGCTGTGGCTGGGACCCTATATGTACTGTTGATGAAGTAAGGTGCTGTTCTGAGCATTATTTGTGGCTATAGAGTGGCGTTTTGGTTGAGGTTTGTTTATGGCTCCTCAGACCGCTGTGTATTGCTATCATGCGGTCATTACTAAAGTTGATATAACTAGAGAAGCAAGCGGTCGGCAATATTCGTCTCTCAAGGGGGTTCGTCTCTCTTAATTTTACGCCAGAAAATCCCTTCAAATGCAACATAATCTTATATCGCTGTAAACTTTAATTTATCATCGTTTCCTCACTCAAAGTTGATCAGATTAACATTCGCAGGTTGTTAGAAGAACTGAAACAAGACTTTTAAAAAACATGTTAACACATTAGCCGGATTAAACCCCCACTCAATTAAACTTCTCATAGTCCGACCGACAAACCTCGACATTGTAGTTGGGATCGATCTCTCTTCCATGTATACAGCTAAAGTGGACCGAAACTGGCCTAAGCATTCTACATGTGCTCCAAAGGTTATCACACCCAGCTTTGAACCAAGGTCCTGCCAGGTAAAGAAGGAGACGACCAATAACATGCAGAAAGGAGACATCTTGCCACCTATAATGCGACTCCTACCTGAGAAAAATCAAGCTATAACCACAGCTTGACTTTCCTGGAAACGTTCAGACTGGTTTAACGTTACAATGCTATGACGTGCGCACCAGTGTACAAAAATGTCAGAATAAAATTTTTATGTGAAGTGAAATACTCACAAACTTTCAGTTCATGGCTATTTCACCTCTTAACTGAGCAAAGTCGTGGTCATCAAGTTTCCCCGTTTAAAAAAAAAACACCTTCACTCACAAGAGTTTTTCAGTTTCTTTCAACTTATTTTCTTTGTGTTTCAAGGTCCATCAGTTTATTGATTTGGCCCAGACTTATGATCTGATAGATGTTATATCCTTTTTTTGTTGTTGTTGGAAAAATGTTTGAAGAAAGGTTTTATAAAACTCACCACACAATACCAATTGGAAACTGACAATCACTGCTGAATTGGTAGGGTGAGTGTATAGACCATAAACTGGGCTTGGATTCTTTTGGCTGTCTGAAAGTAAAAGGCATGTTTCTACCTACATTTTTAAGAATATTTCTCAATCAACATTGAATGTTACAAAGCATCAGTGCTATGCCAACCAGTTGTTTCTTTGGTTTCCAATTGGCCATCTCATCAGATAACAGCGTGTTGGTTATCCTGTTACCTAGTTTTAGTTGTGACTTATGCCTAGGGTGACCAAACATCCTGTTGTCCTGTTTTTATGCCCTGTCATTGTCATCCTGGTTGTTTTTTTACAAAGTAGTGAAAATATCTTAGTTTTCATTGTTGTTCATTGGGCCACCAAGATGAAGAAGAAAACTAAAGTTATAGAATATGTCATTGCCGCGCCAAGTCCTGGTTTTTAGTCACCAAAATATGGTCACCCACCCTACATATGCCCAGATTTTGATAGTTTACCATCACTAGGCCAATCTCAAATGGAAATATAAGCGGTCTCTTAGTCTTTATTTCTGGTTTCTGTTGGGAATTTTCCACTGAGCAGGCAGACAGAAGCATGTTTGCCTCTGCTACAGTAAGTGGTGACATGCTCCCTTTTAGTTTGTTACTATCAAGTCTTTTCACGGTTGACGTATTATGTTGCTAAACAGTTGGCAAAATGCATTAACAAGAGACTAACAGGATGTACGTCTAACGATGAAAACAATCTCTTTACCGCTCTGCATCATCTCTTCGGAAAATTTCGGTTTTGTTTTTTAACCCTCATCTGTTGTGGTTTTGTTTACTGCCCAGCACCAACTTCTGGCTCATAGCCTGATGTACAAACACTGGAGCATATGCAGAACACTCAGGCTAGTATCGGTTCGATTGAGGACAGTTTGAGGTAAACGTATTACGCAGCTAAACTGGCAAAATGCACTAACAAGAGACTAACAGGATGTACATCTAACGATTAAAAAAAACTCTTTACAGATCTGTATCATGTCTTTCTGTGATAGGAAAACTTTTTTTAACTCTCATCTGTCAAGGTTTCATTTACTACCCGGCACCAACTTCTGGCTCATAGCCTGATGTACGAACACTGGAGCATGTGCAGAACACTCAGGCTAGTATCGGTTCGATTGAGGACGGTTTGATGGTAAACGTATTACGTAGCTAAACTGGCAAAATGCATTAACAAGAGACTAACGGGATGTACATCTAACGATGGAAAAAAATCTCTACAGATCTGTATCGTGTCTTTGTGTGATAGGAAAACTGTCTTTTTTTTTTAACCCTCATCCGTCAAGGTTTCGATTACTACCCGGCATCAACTTCTGGCTCAAAGCCCGATGTACGAACACTGGAGCATGTGCAGAACACTTCGGCTAGTATCGGTTCGATCGAGGATACCTTGGTTGTTCACATAACAGCTCTTAAACTCACCCCAGTTTTCACTGCGATAGACCTGACCCCGATCAGAAACTAGATGCTTGTAAAAGAGCGACTAAAACATGAGTTTGCAGATTCTTCTGGCCCCCCCTTGAGCTCAAGATCAGATTGATGCTAAACATTGTTGGCACAGTTGCCCTTTAAGCCTGGAGGATCATAACAACCTGGCAACATAACACATACCATTTGGTCCTCTCATTTGTTTCACTGTTGCTATCAAAAAGCAGTTACCATCGATCAGCTTTAATAGAAGTGAGCTATGGATGGCATGAGCGGCTCAAACAAAGAGATCCATTCTCCTTTTCTGTGTGTAAATGTGAGGATTAGTTAGGGGGAAAAGTTAGGCTCTTTGGAGAACAATGAAATCAATAAAACACAGACTCCTCTCAGAAAGAGAGGTAACTCTGCATCGACTGCTGGCTGCTCACACACTCAATCAGATTAACTAATGAAGCAATTATTGATCCAGAGTAGGGATGGTAGCCAGCACAGGACTGGTCATTAAGTGGATCTTCCTTTCCCTTGGCCACGCTGGAAATGTCAGGGTCACTGTGTTCGCTGCTTGACACAGTTTACCGAAGTCCAATATGTGGGAGACTAATCACTTGTCTGCCTCCCATGAGAAGCTGTGAGGGGGGCTGACACCTCCACAGGGCACGGGGGAGAAATCTGATTTCTACAAAGAAGAATTAACCTGTGCTGTGTTAGCAGCTTCAATGAAGGAACGCCAAAGAGAGGTGACCAAATGAGCCGCTCAGCAGCTCTGCCAATTCTGGCTATTGGCGCTGTCGCTTTCATTCAGGCAGAGCTGAATTTACTTATTTTTATAGATGAAACACACCTTGGATAATTAGAGTAGACCTGCAACATGAGTCAGTGGGAGAAGAAGGAGAAGAAGAAGAAGAAAAAAGGTTCCTGTCTGCAACCTCCCTGAATGTCAAAAATATGTACTTGCATTGCCCGAGTCCATAGCAACGCGGGGTTGTTTGTTTCTGGGCTCAAAGCAGGGAGCAATGTCACAAGATATCTCACTAGATGTCAAAATGAGAGCGCTCATTCTTTCATCAAATAAAAGACAGCAGGAGCACGGTACAGCAGTTCCTCCAGTATGACATGATATATTGTAATTCATTAGTCTGTGTGTAATCTCTTTCTGCAGTCATGGGGACTGACTAAAGATGTTCTCCAGTGAATACGAAATGAACCTGAGCTACAGCTGCATTTATTCCAGTCAGAGGAAAAGGCATAAGATTAAGTTTCGGCATCCTGCTTTCATTTTTTAATTTTTTTTTTATTTACCCGAGTTACGCGATCTTCAGGTTGTTCTGCTATTGTTGTTTGTTGTTTTGCAATATTTAGTCCTTGACCAGCCTCACCTGAAATCCCAATTATGACTGAGTTGTTGTTGCGCAGTAATTGAACACCTCGCTCCAGGCTTGGTCATCACTCAGTCTCATTCACTTTCACCCACATTGGGAAGAAAAAAGAAAGCAAATAGTTCTTTTTTTTTTTTCTTCTTCTTCGCACAGCTCACTGAGGCAAGAAAAATATTGCTTTGCGGTTAACTTCTAATCAAATTGCATTAGGTTTTCACAGCCTGTGCCCTCACTCCATTTGCACAAACCATCACAGACCGACATGAATTTCACACCCCGGGTGAGGAATACTTACTTTTTCGCCCTGATACATTCCTCCCTCAGCCGCACACACCTTGCGTGCGCACGCCGACACACACTTTCTCTGATCAGACAAGCATGATCACGCAGTTACAGCACAGTGGTAAGTCATTTTATTTGCAGCAAGTGGGGTTTTAATGACATTTTACATGCCCTGATGTTATTTTTACCAACTTCTGGAATGGACTGTCTGATACTGTCACTTCTGTGCCTGTTTTTTAAGACTTCTTTCTGCATTAAAAAAAAAAAACTAAAACTGTCATCCAAAGTCACGATCTGTTTGTCATCTCACAACATCTTGACTCGATACTACGCCATGCGAGTAAATATAGACAACTGCTGAGCAAAAAAAAAATAAGAAAGAGCGAAGAAATGTGGAGCTCTGTCAGTGCAAAGACCTTCCATTAATTCTCATAATTAGCATAGCCATTATATGGATATTAATTATTGTTGCCCTGCTCTTGAAAATAATTGAAAAGTATGGAGATATGAACAAGGAGTTTAATAATTAATTATGGATGAATTATTAATATAGGATTTTCTTCATTATAATTAACTTTGGACTCTCATCCTATAGCCTGCTCTGCCTTCTGTCCTCTGCCTGCGAGGCACAGAGTTGCTCCCTGCATGAAATAATTCTTGATTGAAAAATAACTTCCGTATCAGTGTGTGTGTGTGTGTGTGCGTGTGTAATTGTGCATGTGTGAGACAGCAGAAGTGGAGAACAATGTGTCTCCCAGTTACAGCAGTTAAGTACAAGTTTGAGCTCCTGGCTTTCTATCTTGGCAGACGTCAAACTTTTTTTTACAACACTTAAGATGTAAAACGTTGAAATGTTTTTTTTTGTATTTTTACCGCAGTGCACCTGTGTGATGTGTGTGGTTACAAGTTACTTTGCAGATTCAGATGTCACACTGAGATATGTTCGGCAAATGTCATCGCTGTCAGTCGAAAATAACAAATAAATAAATAAGTGTTAAAAGCTGAATGTCATCTTTCAGGTACTCTCGAAAATAAGAAACAGACTCGTCTATCCAGATGAAACGTACTTCAGCTCACACCGTTTTAATGAGGAATTTTCTTTTTTACACATTGGTGGAATTTTAATATGGAGATGATACTTTAAGACATCCCTCATATGATTATCCAGTTAATGAATTCAGTGATGCACTGAAAATCATCCAGGACCTTTGGGCTGCATTGTAATAACTCTTCAATAGCTTTGGGGCCAAGATTGAACTCCTTTTGAAGACTATTAAAAAATGTAATTTCTGACTCTTGGAAATGATTTTTGTTTTTCTCTTTTCCCACAACTTTATTACCGAATCAAATATCGTTCAACTGGGTAAATAATTGCCAGGCTGATACTTGTGATGCCAAGGTTTACTCAAATGTACTTCCGTGTCAGTAAAGCTGTAAACGCAGGTTTGGGATTATGTATTCATTGCTATTTTGGCTTATTTTCCCTGCATGAAACAAGTCTGAGGTGCAGCTGATTGAAGGTTTCCCTCCTTTTTCGTGTGAGAGAGAGAGAGTGTGTGTAAGAAGAGTGTTGGGGGTAGGAAGGAAGGAGAGGGAAAAGAGGAGTTGAGAGGATGAGAGGAAAGAAAGGAGTGGAAGGAGAGAAAAGGGTGGATTGGGGGCTTCTTAAGAAAAGGGGTGGGGTGCACATGTGTGTGGGTGGGGGGTGTTGCCGGTGTCAGGGGGTGCTTGGAAGTTGTGTGGGGGGGAGCAGAATGGAGAAGTGGTGATGGTGGGGGTTTTTGGGGCGGAGCCGCAGACAACATCCCCCGCCCCCGCGCTCGTCTGTGTGCCCCTCACAATTACCTGTTCCTCCAGAACTGATGTGAGCGCGTGTTAGTGGAGCACATTGCCACGCTGAGAGAAAAGCTTGAAGTTGATCTGAACTGCACCGGTACCAGTTGGGCTTGCGTGGACCTTTTATAATAGAAAAAAAACACACCTGAAACAGCAACACAAACCTTCTGCGAGAGGTTTTAACCCACCAGCGACACAAACTGAGGACCTGAGACACTCGCGAGGATGCACTTGTTCGCCGGCTGCGTGTGCGCCCTTCTCTTCACTGCTCTCCTCCGAGGTAAGCTTTTGTCTCATTTCACCGGCCACCGTGGCGAGGTTTTTTCACGCGGAGTGGAGCGCGCTCTTTGCACCAGAGCCGCAGGTGTACGGAAGGGGAGAAAGTCTCACGCAGGCTCTGACAGATACTTCATCCCGGGTTATCGAGCACGTTTGCAGTGGGGGGGAGAAGTGAATCTGGCACGGTGGTGGTGGTTTTATAGTTATAGGCGACAAGTTCGTTGGCAAGTTCTGTGTTTTCTAAAGAGCTGGAGGGTGATTTCAACGTGTTTGTTCTCGTCTCAGATGGTTTGCCTGCTAATTTGAGCTCATTATTCCACACTGCTTTTTGTTAATTAGCTACTTGAATAAATTAAGAGCTAATTCATCGTCTCATTGCTGTTTGGTGGCATATAAACCACACATAAAGCAGTTATCACCTCTAATCAAGAGTTTAATCTGTCTTAACATGTACATTTCTGAAAGTAAAGATAAATAATCAGATTTTTTAACTTTACTCACGCTGATAAATGCTTATTAATGCTCTGCCTGTGTCCATAAAAGTGTTTTTTTTTCTGTGTGACTTTGAAATATTACCCATTGTGCCACCCCCCATTCTTTCCCCAAACCCCCCACATGATGGGAGAGGCAGGCAGTGAGGGAGGTAGTATTCATCACCCATCCCTCACATGTGCTTGTGCCATGATGTCATCATAATGCCTCATTTTTTGTGTGTGTTTTCTGTCCTGTTAATGCAGGCTGCTGAGCATAATGATGCTGCATTCACATCCTGTCTGATTTATTGTAATTATGGGGCTGCCTGTTGGGTTTGAGGAAACAGCTCCTGACAGGCTCCCTCTAGTAATTACACCTAGGATAGGACTCATTTTTGGACGCGGATGTGTAATGGATTGTAGAAGTGAATGCTTTAGAGTATTAGCAGGGAAATTTAGTTCCTAAGTTGGCAAATGAAGGCAATCACTTGGCCTTAAGTAGTGATTGAAGTATTTTTCGGTAAAAAACAAAAGATGATTTTTTTTTTATTTCCCTGGCGCCTGATGAAACAAGAACAAGAGGTTTTTTATTTTATTTTAAGAAAACACTTCTCCCCCTTCTCTGTTTCTTTCCATTTCCTTGTTGTCTGCTGTGTCAGGCCAACAGGTAGCAACGCCATGTGCTCCTATCACTCAGCCAGGCCATTAAGCAGAGCTGCACATGAGCTCAGAAGCCCCCCCTCCCTTGGAAAAGATAGGGGGGGGGGGCGAAAGGTTGATCCCACTGTACTCCCTCCAGCTTCGTCACACTACGGTGGCGCCTGTTGTTGTAAATTAACACCATGCAGCACCTATCAGTCAGGCTCAGGTGGTTTATTTGAGAGGAAACGAATGGCCCTTTCAAGGTGTTTTTACAGCGCTCTGCCTCTGCAGTGCCGTGTGCTTGAGACTGGAAGAGAGTGCACTGAGTTGGTAATGAGGTTACACTTTATGGCTGTCCACACTGCTGTGTGTTTAGCAGACGTGCTGCCCGGAGTGACGGACAAAACATGTGTGTGTTTGCTTTAACAACAGATGGTCACTTCTCTAAGATGAACCCTTGCGAGTGTCCGACGCAGAAATGCCCGCTGATTCTTTTCCAATTTGATCAGCATGAGCGAAATCTGACTGAAAGGGGTTTATTGAGTTTGGGATTTGCAATAAAAACCGCGTCGATACCCGTAATAAAAAACAGGCCTGTGTTTATTGTGTTTGAAGTTATAAAAAAAAAAAAAAAGCTACAGCTTGCGGGGGTTCGGTAGCTGAAGGCCACAAAAGAGTCAGGACCACAGGAAGACAGATGAGGAAAAACAGAGCCCTGGGTTAGCCACTCTTAGAACAAATACTCAAGCAAGAAGGATGCATCTGTGTTTTTTGTTCACTCCCTCATCCCCACCCTTCCCCCACCACCACCACCACCCTCCTGGCCCCCCTCCTCCTCCTCCTGCACAGACAGGCAGCACTCGGTGTCACAGCTGGTATTACTTGTCGAGCGAGAGGGGCTCTCCCTCTCACTAATGGACTAATCTTGTGTAGGGGGGTCACCCAATTGCACCTGAGATAGATTCACTCTCCCACCTTTCATCTTGAACTGGGTTACGTCCGGACTTGTCGCACGGATGTTTTGATGTTAATGAGCAGGGAGAAGTACACTTATGCTACACGGGGAGATTGTGCACTGCGAGTACGTTGGAGCGCCTCGCCTTGTTTATAGGCGCTTTCCTCTTGATGTTTGGGAGCTGCTTGAGCTTGTTTCTTCTTTGAACAGAGATTTCTTTGTGATTCGCAAAGTATTGTATCCCTTCATGTAAAATTCAGATGCAGTCATGGGAAGTATGGCAACTCAGGCGAACCGTGGCTTTGAATAAAAATGCGGCATCTGCTCTCAACTTTTTTTTATACTTTAATACTCCCTTTCTCTAAAATTTGTCATTGCCTGATCAAATTCTGCAAATGGCTGTCTTGCCAGCTGCAGATCAAAACTGAATTAGGAAATCAAATCTGACCATCTGAATAACCACAAACACGCTCAAGGGAATAACAGAATCAGCAGAAGTTAAAAAATTGAATTGGGCTGTAAAAGATCTTACAACACCATCGTGCACAAACTACGGAAACAAACCTCTCATTAATCCATAGTTCGTCTCATATATTAGAACAGAAATGCTCAAAATGGCCCAACTGGGATATCTGCACAGCTCATTATCCTGTTGGATGCTTAACCCAAATCTGGCAGCTTCAAATGTCCCTCAAGAGGCTCTGTAGGGCTCTCCAGCCCTGTGTTTGGAGCGGAGAGTGTGAAGTGGGATCTTTTGTGCCATCACACACTTGCGACACTTGTGTTTCTGCAGAAGAAGACCTCGGTATTGAGTAGACAGTGAAATAGATGCTATGACTCACCCAAGTAAATGAGATATGTGAAAGAAACAGATGTTCAATGGAGATAATTGTTGTGTTTTATGTGTGTGCGTTTGATTTTATGTTCCCTCCAGAAGAAGACATAAATGGAAATATGGACAGGAAACAGATCTGCTGCTTTTGGAAACCTCTCAAAGGAAGAGAGTCCAGTTCAGACAGGGGAGGCCATACTGTAAATCGAAGCAGGATTGGAGAAGGGAGTCCCCTGTCTCATCCCATCAGGGGGTGCAGGATTCCTGGCAGCGCCCCTGGCAGCGCCTCTTTATAGCTTGGATGTGAGGATCAAGCTTAATTAACCACTCGCACCCCAGCTAGAGCTTTAAATTACAGGCAAATGAAGACAGGAATGAGGATTGGGATACTGTTGGAGCTACCTGCAGTTCTGACGAAATTAAAACAAACTCCAATGCAGCAAATGAAAAGAGCAAAAAAGGTGTCAGGGCAACTTTAAAGCAGCAAAAACCTGAGATTAGAGAGGATCTTTAACCTGCTCTGCTTGTGCAAGAAGAGAAACACACTGAGAGTTTGACTTGAATTAAGGTCAGTGCACCATCTTGTCCTTAGAGAAGTCTGGCTTATAACAAATGCATCATGGACCATATGCTTAACCTGACTTTGAGTCTGCATTATTTAACGCAAACCGAAGCTCCTAGACTTTAAAAAACCAGCAACAACTGCACAAAACCACAGCTCTCATGCAACACAGCTGAATATAGACGTGCATCTGGTATCTCTTCTCCTGGTTTTTGTCTGCCCTGCACCCCTGCATGAGTCGACACCCACACACACACACATTTCACTCACACATGCACTCACACATGCACTCACACAGCCCCAGCAGGACACTGAACAGGTGGAGTAACGTTGTTTTTTAGGGCCATGAAGGGGCCAAGTGTCTCTTTATGATTCCTGTTTGTGTGTGCAGTTGTTGAAAGAAAAGCTGTTCGCTCACACCACAAACATTGAAAAAATAACTTCTTAACCAAGTTGAAGTCGGTTGCGAAACAGTACCAGTGAATATTTCTCATTTCTTGACCTAACCTCAGCTTTAAATTAGACGCAGCGACAAAAGAGTGAAGAAATACGAGTTACCACATGAACACGCTGAGTTTCCTACATGTCACAGAGAGCAATTCCCTCTCAGCTGGACTCGCAGAAGAGAGGGAGCTGTATGAAAGGGTTTGCTTTGAGAAAATGAAAAGACTTGTGTGGCAAAAGTAATCACTCTCGGGCAACGACTCGGTGAGAAAAAAAGGCCTTTTGTTCGCCCCTGACAGTTTTACACACAGGATTATCAGTAAAACAGGAGCAAGTGAATCTTAATTACACTTTGGTGATTGGCTTGCCCCACTTCTGGAGCCGGAGTGTGAGATATATACAACTCTTATAATCTCAGTAAAAAATTGCCTCTTCAGCTATTACCATGTCAGGTAACAGATTGCAGGTTGAATTAAACACTTTATTGACTTTTGATATGTGTTGTAACACAGTGTATGTGTTTCTACTGAGGTGAGACGGTTAAAAGTGAGAGATAGCTTCGTAATGTCGCACCAGACTGACAAACATTTCAGTTTTTCCTTCGCTGTTTTACACCTTTCCTCGTTTTGCGTGCAGGTTTCTCGCTCTGCTGTGCTAAATAATGGTTTATTTGTTATCCAGAGGGGAGGGGACCTGAGCTCTGTTGTTTCAACCATTAAGAAAGGCTTAACAACAGGAGAGAGACGAGTATGCTGTGCAGTAGTGCCTCCTTCTTTATGCAGGAATACCCCCATTGAAATGCATGGAGGTATCCTTGGTTTTGGTGAAAGACCAGCAGCACTCTGGAATCAGGCGGGCCTTGTTTCAGGGACAAAAAAAAAGTGAGGTTGTTTCTGTCCTTTGTCATTGACGCAGCCCCCTAGCTTTCACTGGATTCCTGTGGACTCCCGCCGACTGTATTGTGAGGCCGGCTCTTTTTAAACAAATGAGAGTATGATAGCGACTTCTTGCTCCCGCTCCTCTCTTTGTCATTAATATGGAACAGCACACACCCCTCTGAGAGGGCACAGAGAAGCTGCTGCCTGTCCCCCGCACTTCACATGTGCAACCTGACGGAGGGAGGGGAAGGGAGGGAGGTAGGGAGGGAGGAGGGGTGTGTGCAGGGAGGGGGGGAAGCATCTCTCCTCCATATGAAAAGCCTGTGGCCACACCCAACTCTAACAGGGGCCTGGATCTTTGTTCAAATCCTCCATTAGAGTCAGTGCCGTGTGTTAATGAATTCTTTGAGAGGCCTCCATTAACTGTGATGGTAATTATTTGACTCCAGAGAATATGAAGGAGAATATACCATGAAGGGGTGCATGTGTATGGAAAGCCAGAGGCGTGTGCTCATGAGGTCTTTTGTTTTTTTGTGAATCACATTACATGAAGCTCTTTTTTTCTCATTAAAATGTATCTGATAGTAAGAACAGACAAAAGCACCAGCACTGTAAGGACTTCTGACAGCTGCAGGGGCTCCTGCTGACCCACAAAAAGAGGGGTCAGTGTCGGACCATTGATATTTATGCCCGCACTCCCATAAAGTCATTATTTCTGCTTATTTATGGGAGTCAAACGGCAGGACAGGAGGTTGCCATTGTGGGAAACCTTTATCTTAACTTTGTCTAAGGTTTAGGGAGTCAGTCAGCTTTTGTTGAGAGGTGAAACATTTATTTCCAGCCCCAGGCCAACTACTAAAACGACATGGAGTTTTTTTTTTTTTTTTTTTTTTGTCTCTCCGTTCATTTCTGAATCATCTTCTGTTGGATCCAAAGCTCTTTAGCATCACTGAGTAGCTGCTTTATTCACTCAGACACTGTTGGGCAGTTTTTCATTCATAAGACATCACGCTGCTATCCATTGCGTACCGCCTTCGGGACTCCACAGAACGGTCTAGTGTCTGCGTTTGACCTCACATTCTTGCCATTTTAAAAGCTGTTTCTTTGTGTAGCGCTGATGTCCACCATCCTTCCCTTCCTGCAGCAGCGGCAGCAGCAGCAGTCTGCGTAGCCCGAAGCTATCTTTGATTACACGCTGCTGCGGTTGAACTTGCAGCAGACAGGAGTTCTCATTCAGGGAGACACTTGCTCTCAGGGAATAGCCTGAGTGTATCTTTGATTGGAATTAAAAGCCTGCCATTTTGTCAGTACCTAAAGAGGATACTAGATGGAGGATTAAATGGTTGGCGGCTTTCTCTGGGTCATCGAAGTATCAATACACTCGGGAGTCCCTGAGAACTCAATAAAGTCTATAACATTGTCATCAGGGAAATAAAAAAGCCAAACCTGCTTTCATTCGATGTACCTGTCTGACATGAAATTTCAAATTACAGTTGGTTTTGAGGGTGTTTCACTTACAAAGGGAGTTACATGCTGTAAAGCTCTCATTTAATGGGTTTTAAACTCCTCTATGTTTAGGAATCTCAAGCAGGTTCACTTTCTAAGCTCTAGGGAGTCTGCAGACTGAGGATAAGCTTGACGAATTCAACACAAGTTACACTTTACAAAAGTTCTCTACACTCATTTCTGTCTTAAGTGCATACGTTGTAGGTGTGACGCCGATATATAGCTTTCCCTAGACTTCAAAACTGCGGTCATTGTGTGTCACATCGTGGTCACTCACACCGGGGTTGCGTTTTAGTGCCAGGATAAAACTGGAAAGCAACGTCGACACTTTGAGGGTAAAAGAGGTGAGATGGTATCTCAGAAGGAGTCTCTGAGTAGAGTAGACGCGTGCTGCTGTTTAGCGACTATTATGGTTTTGGTGTATAAGTAATAAATGGACGGATAAACAGTGGGAGCAGTCACCTTGAAAATGTACATGTCAAGTAGCTCAAAGAAAAGCACACAATAGGAGCGCTGAATCCTGGTTTACACTTTTTGTATTGACTACATAAAGCGACAACATAGTGGCATTAGAGCGTCTGCCTTACACTTAATATTCTCTGGATTGCGTTGTAACTACCTTACATTGTGTTCTCTGCAGAGGGCATGAACTGCATGCCCTCGAACATAAACTGCTTGTTATTTGTCCTTTTCCATCGGCCTCTGTTGCTTAAAGCGTCTGTGTATCGGCGTATTATCATGCCTCTTCTTAAAGAAGGACATTTTCACAATGCAGTCCTTGGACACCCAACCTGAAAAAACACGATGAAGTGAAAAGAAAAGTAAAACACTCAAAAGAGATTACAGCTCATTATTCCAAACAATCTAAGACAGTGGGCCAAATGCATCATCACAAGAGGGACTGCACCCTCAGACTCAAACTGCAGTTTTTTTTTCTTCTTAAAGTCAAGTAGTCATTTTTTCTTTTTTGAGCTGATGCCTGACGCCGATGTTTTATGATAAGGTGCTGCTTTGCTGTTAAGTATTCAGCTGTTTCATTGCCAGACCTTAGGAGGAAGGTGAAGAGATGCTTGTCTGGTAATTGGATGCAATACTTAATTTTCTAATGGGACATCTTAAGAGGTCAAGTAGCTTGATGTTCCTGGGGGGAATTTTAAAGCATTACACATCCCAGCGGTGCATTTTAAATACAGACTTTTTCACTTACTTATCTTCTTAGCAGAGAAATTACATTTATCCCTCTAATTTTCGCTCTGCCTCGACTACAAGGTGGTCTCACGAGAGAGGAGAAGGAGCATTTTAAACAGTTAATAGCAAAGTCAAAAGCAGCGTGTCCACCAAAGGCCTTCGCCTCATAAAAGTTGCTCTTTTATCCTGCCGGGCTGCGCTATAAAGCGAGGACTTTCTTATATTAACTCAAAAGTCTTTAATTTTGAGGAATGAAGATGTCATAACCCATTATGCCGCCATTCATCACCCCCCTGTTCACGAAGAAGATACAGAATAGATGACACATCATTTCCCCGTGTAATGATAGCGACTTCATTGGAAAGGCGCAGGGTCACACAGCCAATAATTTGACACTGAGGAATGAACAGCAGCCTGGATTTTCTGCTCATTTCGGGGGAAATCTCAGGATTACCTGTCTCATTGTGAAGGGCTTGCCTCAGCATGTTCATCCATTAACAGAGGAGGGACATAAATAGAAACACCAAACCAAAGCTAGACCACAGCCACAGTTTGTTATTACAAGAATATTTGCTTAGATAGTCTTATCCTCCGGGGGTTTTCTAATAATTAGACAAGTTTGTTACCTTTCTGCTGAGGGTGGTGTTTCCTCTGATTTCATGCTTGGAGAATTTTATTTCTTATTGTTTCTCTAATGTCTTATGTTTCCTGGTTTACTTATCTCAGGTCATTACATTTGCAAATTTTCATGTCCTTCATAATAATAAATGGAGACAAGAGGGAGTCGTGGAAAGAATACTGGATAAAAGTAAAAGGCGGATCAGTCCGGCCGCACCACTTTTCAAAAGCTTGTTCCTCTCAAAGGTACATTTAGAGGAAGCAGAAGTAAAGTGTGCAGAAATAGGAATTTTGAGCAATATCTAGTGGTCAGGTTTGAGATTGAAGTGCTCCCTTGCTCACCCCCGTCATTAGAAAAGACTCCTGTAATGATCCCACTGAGCATTTCTTGGTCTAAAAAAGGTCTAATAGACGTCTAAATGTAGCCTAGATGACTGGTCTAAAATAAGACTACCACAGGTCGAAAACTGAAAGTTTTTTAGACGTCTAAATTTAGACAAAGTTTAGACTAGCCGGCTAACAGACGACTTTTCTGAGCATTTTTTGCTTAACGGCTATCATAATTGTTTTGGTTAAGTACTTGGAGATCTGTTATGCAACTATGTTATCAAAATGCAACGTCTAAATTCAGTCTAAAAGTATACAGAATCTTGACTGTTGAAATTAGGCCAAGAAAAAAAATTCAACGTCTAATAGCGGTCTATTGCTCAGTGGGATGGTAAGTGTGATCCTCCAATTTTTAAGATTTCGCCATTGAAAGTCTTGGTGTCTGACAACATCCTTGTTCTTCTTTGTTTCTCTAATCCCTTCAAATACAAAAACTCATATGTTTCTAGTTTGTCCATTCTGTGCTACTGTAGATGGTTGCATCTGTGGAAGGGGACCCATATGTAGATATAAAAGTTTCATTTAAAGTTTACAAACAAAACAATTGAGAATACTAATACATATCATATTCTGTTCTGCTAAGTCGAGCGAAATGTTACACTCTGTACCTTTTAATTTAATAAACCCAGTGGGGTGCTGGTTCGACTGACGTTAAAATGAACAAGCAGTCATGGATCTAAGTTGTTCAAGTCTCTGTGAATTGGTGTAAAAGTTCAACTGTGAACTCCACATTGTGAAAAGAGATGTTACTTAACTTTAAACATAGACATCCTCACACAGGAAGGAAGTCAAACCCCCAAATATTTACCCCCAGATATACTTCTGCAGCTTCTCCTCAGACCACACGACTCTGAGACTCGGACACAAACTGAACACCAACACTCCAGTGATGACTATTTCAAAAAGCAGATATTTTGCAAGTATGATGTTATTTCAACAAACTCACTTAAAAAAATAATTTGTCAAAGTCCCACTGAACCCTAAGTCCTCTGAGGGGCTTGAACAGTTTCATTAGCAATTCAAAACAGTTTTAAATCCTCAGGTGATTAAAACTTGATTTTTCTTGAAAACCCACAAAGTTTTGATTAATTTTTCTGATGGTCAACATGTAATTATTGATTTTTCAGCTCAAATATGAATCAAATTTAATTGCGAACCATCTTCGAGTTGTCAAGGCATATCAGTCAAAACCACACGTAATTGGGCAAACATGACAGTTTCACCCTCCTCTGCAAAAAAGGCGCCTGAAGGTTCATTATCTGAGTGTTTGCGTGGAGTCCTGTAGTTCTATTTTCTTGAGTTCTTACTGTAAGAAACAAAGAATAGACCTTGTTTCCATCAGTGTGTCCGTACTGCTTGTAGCATAGCTAAAAATATATCCTCATTGTGCGCGCTGTGTGGTTTTTATAACTAAGATGGAGTTTCCAAATTATCAGGGGTGTTTCGCTCTGTTACAATTTATAGCCTCTTCCTCTCGTTCAGGAGAGTCTGCGCCCCGAGCTCTAGACTTTCTGTCTGACCCAGCAGCAGCAGAGGCTCCTCTAGAGGACTTTGTGAACACCGCGTTGACTCAGTTTGCTTGAAGGGGAGTAGTCTGACTGTCCGTGGAGAATTTCACTCCTGAGGGCTCCTTTTGGCCACTGTAGATATTTTTGTATAGCGTAGATACAAACCAGTGAAAGGAGAGTTGTTGGCACATTTTTTCGCTTATTGACGGGTTTTGTGTTTCGCTGCTGCTCCTCTATCAGTTTGATCTGCAGGGCGTCTCATCCTCTTGTTGTTCAGCGCAGCAGAAGGAGCGGGATGGGGGTGGTTTGATGTGTGCAGCGCCGGTGAGGACGGTTAAAAGCACTCTCCTTGATGTGTGGTCTCTCTTCATGTCATGGTGGACTAAGAAAATGTATTAGCCCTGACTAATGAAATTATTAGCCCTTTAAAGGACCTGGGCATCCTTGACAAATGAGGCATATGCTGAATAACAAAATATGAGGGTTGATTCCACCTTACAGGAAGAAAAAGCACATACGAAAGGGCAGGAGTGTGTTTGTTGAGGCCTGATAAATAACCTCCTGGACATGCGTAAATGAAAAGACCACAAATCCATCACAAGCACAGGGTGCAGACTATTTAAACCTTTCAAACAAATCATGTTAGCGTTTTATTCCCACCACGTAAATCTGAAAAGTTCTAAAGTCGGAGGAGGACTCAGTGGTGTGACAGCACCCGCTAATCTCCAACCTTTCACAGCTCTCCATCAAAGCAGACGCTGGTCGGCGGGTATTAAACGTGAAACCACCCAGATTTGATGTGCAAGCAGGTACATAATCCTTTGTATGTACTATCTGCATTCCACGTATTCCTCCCACAGCGCCGGGCTCTGTTTAGCCAGCAGAGGCTTTAGGACCCCCCTAGAGCCAGGAGCTAAAGCAGGACACAATTCGAAACCCTCTTTAATACCAGCAGGGCTGCTGTGCTTATTAGGATGGGGAGCATCGCCCGCGCTGCTTCACAGCGAAGGGTTAGAAGGTCATGTCTGTCATTATTGGAGCACAACAGCATACATGACTCGGTGCTCGACTAATGTTCAAGTATCATCCTCTCCGCGGCAATTACAAGAGATGAAAGCAACAGCGGCTATCTGCTGAACAAATGAAAATATCTACCTGTTAATATTTTCCTCTGTTTACAGCCTAACAAGGCATACATAATTGATACAGCAGTAGTGGAGCAGTGCATTACATTCAGACGGTATGAACGCTAGCGCACATATTTCCATTTATCATTCGTTTTATGTTGGGAAAATATTAGTCCTCGCCTCATGCAGCGTCTAATGAAGCACTTTAAGATCGATAAGTGGATCCGTTCTTGTTTACCCGCGTCGAGAAATGATGGGCCTCGGGCTGATTTATCTCCCTCTTTTTTTTTCTGGCGCTCTGGTCAAGGCTGTGTGCGGGTTTGTTGTTATGTTATGTAGAGAAAAAGGATCATTTTACCTCCACCGGGGCGGCAGGTTTGATTGGTATCCTTGGGCACTAACTGCAAATGTAAAATGGTCACAGAGATAGTATAATAGTAAACACAACAGCTCCCTCAGGACCGGCGCGCTACAGATGTTCAAAGGCTTTCCCATTGATGGGAGGCGTGGAGTGGGGAGGGCAGGAACAGGGCGGGGCCACTTTACCAGGAAATAAGAGCACTTGTGGTGGAGACGGGCAGGCAGGCAGGCAGGCGGGCAGGTACTTGAACAAAAAAACTGATTGCACTTTGAGTAAACAGCGGAGTCTGTAGCTGCCAGCTGGGCTAATATTTTCCAAACAAGAGAAATAATGTCGTTCAGTGGAGCTTCTACCAGAAGGAGGATGCTTTTAGTGTACTAGTGGAGGAGCTGACCCATTTTGATCCTTTTGGCTGCTTGTATGTAAAATAAAGTGAGCATGAGGGCTTTTTTTTTTTACTTTTCTTTTAGATTTGGCTGCGTCTAATGTTTACTTTTATCCTCTGATTTAATGTATTTCAGTCCCAGAGCCAAAAGTGATGCAAGTGTTGAAGCAATAGACTCAAACTGTCAATTAAAAAACAAATTAAAGCATATTATTCGAATCTATAGATATGGAAATCACCATTAGTTGCAGCCCTGATGTTTCACAAGATGATTTGTCATGGGTTTTAATTAAATTACAAAATAATCTGTTGTTTATCCTTATTTTAAATTGACTAATTAGTTAAGGAAACAGTGAACAATTTATTCCTAGAGCCCAAGGTGACATCGTTAAATTGCTTGTTTTGCCTGACAAACAGCCCCGATTCCCTTTTATTTTCATTCCTATAAAGCATTTTTGATTACACAGACTAAAAAAGTACAAATCCTTCGAGGCTGGATCCTGAAAAGAAACTTTATCCGCAACATAAATGTAACATTGATTATGAAAGTTTATTTCCTGATGATTGATCAATCAAATTGTCCACTTATCATTCCAGAGAGACAGTCTGTCTCTTCTCTTTCTTCAAGTGCAGGATGACATTATCGCTCAAAATCCCTCCGGCTAATGATAAATTGATCAGAAACTGTGTCCTGGATTTAATTTAAGAGGCAGACACACACTCGCACACGCACATTAGAGGTAAGTCCTCATCGAGTCGGCCGGTTTGCTCCAGGCGTGCACAGGGCTGGCAGGTTCATGGTCTGTGTGCCACAAAAAAAGAGACCCCTCCTGTCTGATGTGAAACCTCTTGAAGAGACCTGGTGAAACGCGACGCACTTTGATGTCAAGGAGGTTGTTTTGAATGTGTCGGGAATATCTCAGAGGCTCCTATTAGCACATCTGGTTGAGCAAAGAGAGGGGAGGGTGGAAAATGAAAGTGTTATAATAACTCCAGGATTCATTTCCTGCACTTAGATTTATGGATTTCGGTTCAAAGATGTCACAGATTCAAAGGGCACTTTGGTGAAAAGCATTACTCACCGTTAAAAGTCTCCATCTGGAGTATCACACCATCTGCTGCACCTCCTTAACCCCCACATTTATTTTACAAGGCTATAAACATTTATTGTATTATCTGTGTGACTGCATTTTGAGCCTTAAATGGGTTGATTACACTTCCTGTGATTCCTGGAGGAGAAGCTGAGGTTTTATTTTAATTACAGGAGCTAAGAAAAGTGCACATTTATCTCCATTTTTATCTCCAACCCAGTAAAAGCACCAGAGAGTCGTGTGATCAGATACCTGCTATCAAGGCGCTGCTAGAGTCAGATTCAGACGCCTCAAGTGTTGAAGGTTTAGGAAGTTAAAGGAAAATCCTTAAAATACACATAATGAGCGAAGATAGAAGCTGCAGGTGATGTTTAGAGGACACATGTCACACTTGATGCGCACACGCAAGGTGTAAACCTGTAAAAGCTATTAAAGTGGGCTACACCATTGCTGCTGAAACATTACCCGGATCTCCCTGAGATAACAGAAACCCCCTGATTCAGATTTAGCACGACTTAAACCTCAGAAAAGACTCTCAGAAGAAGTGTTTCAGTAACTGCAAGATTGACAAACCTGAATTCAAAGGCTCTGCGATAAGAAGCAGAGCTGATGCCGTGCATACGAGCTCTTCATTAGGCACGGGGGAGCAGGGCGAATTCAATAAAGCTCCTTAGATCTGCCACTATAATAAAGTTTGAAGCCTTCCTGGCATAGGAGAAAGTTATCACTTTTAAATTACCCAGAAATAATTAAGATTGAACGAGTGGTTTCTAATCACACTTCTGAATTGGCTGGATGGAGAGTTAATAAGGCCTTCAGCCCCACTATCCCCTGAACACAAAGCTTCTCTTTAAACAAACCCAAAGACTCATTTTACAGACTTCCTGTCTGGAGTGTGTTACTGTGCACAGGTGAAGAGATTGATGGGTTTTAAAGGGCAGTGCACCTTAATAGATGAGTTAAATGTATTTCAGGTTAACATAGAGACAGATGTAGCTGATTCAAAGACTCAAGGTTAGGACTGGGTGATAAAACAGTAACGATATAAATCAAAAATTAAAACATAATCAATATAAAACATGGTCAATATGCTTTTCAATTGTCGGCATTCTGTCACATTTTGGAAGACTATACAAATAGCCAATGAAAAGGGGAGTTGCTCTGTGTTCACTTTGTGCTGAACCAATCGTGCTGAATTAGAACCAAGTAGCAAACAACTGAGGGGAGTGCTACCCCCGGCAGAAATGCAGATGAAGGCTCAACAGATGATGACATCGTCGACAACACTGGCACGAAAACGTTGGTGGTGTGGAGGTAGAGTAGTGTGCCTTGTAAATAATGTCGAGTACATGTTCCCACAAAGTCGGGGAGTACCTCAAATCTTTTTCACCACCTGAAGCAGTGCCACGCAGCAGAGCACGCGCAATGCAAAAGGTTACAAACCCCAAGTGGAGCAAGGAGCCCATGGCGCCTGTGCATCCGAAACAGCCGAACATTCAGTCCGCTTTCTTTAGCGCAACACCTTTCGTCAAAACGTAGAGACACAAAGACCTCACAGACAAAAGGCATGTTACCAATAAACACTGTTAAATTTCACTGAAGAATTACAGGGAATATATTTAGATTGACAACTGATCTTTTTACACTCTTATATATATCAATATCGACTAAAATGATAAAAATATATTATGATAAAGTTTTTTCCATATCGCCCAGCCCTACTCAAGGTCATTATATGAGTGCATTTTTATCAGTATTTTCGAACCTTCCTGATTGACTAGTCCAAGCTTACAGATGCCTTAAAGCAAGTTTCCGCACAGCCCAAATTAAAAGAGTTTTATCCATGCGGTTGGTGATGCCCAGTTTTCTCATTTCGACCCCAAATTTGCCCTGCAAACTAATGATTCGTCTGCAGAGTGTGTCTGTTTCTAATAGCTTTGTTATCTCTTTTTTTTTCCTCTCCTTCACATTCTTACCTGAGCAATAACGGTCATTGTGACATAGCAGAGGCATGTCGATCCGTTAAAAGCTTCCCACACAGAGCAGAAATGTAGAAATCTATCATTTTCATTCATAGAGGCTGGTGAGGTAATGCCAGCTCTCCCAGAAACAGAAGAGTGAAGTCCCTGCCTAAATGTTAGCTGCTAAGCTGCATTACAAGAGTTAATGGACAAGTAGGAAGCCGTGTGTTTAGTTAATGGCCTAATGCTGCCTTTAATGGCACGTCGTTAATGCGGGTCCTCAGTGGATGTTTTGGTGTCTGGACTCTGAGATCTCCTATGATCTGCCCTCAAGTCGAACCATCAGGCTTCTCACAACCACTTCTCCCCCCCGGTGGGTCCCGTGGCCCGCGCCCCTCGAATACATAATTCACAATGTAATGGACGTGATTTCTGAGTGCACTTACCGTCCCGAGATCACTCCTGTGGCCTGCTGTCTTAAGAGCAGTCCCTGGACCGGTGAGGCTCATCTGCAGAGGCAATTTATGACATTTTTTAAGAGGGCTTAACGGATGCTTGTGGGGTGGAGAGTACAGAGGAGAACATTTGAAAGACTAATGATCACGCCACAAGATCAATTCTGGGGAAACCTTATGGCAAGTCATTTAGAGTGATAATCACCCCTCCTGTAATATGCTTTTATCTTCCCCATCTGTCTGGCCCAGAGGACAATGAAACTAAACGGATCTGTGAAACTGCCTGTAACGCTGCAGGGCATATAGAAAATGTAAGACTTTTCCACAGACATTTAAATAAGCAGGTGTGTCTGTGCGCTTTCTTATTGGCTTAAGGGTTATTCTATCATTATTTTTTGCGTCAGTTTATCGATGCGCTCGCTTTTCTTCCAGGATGTTAATTTTCTCTAAGTGCTTCGCTGGAACGTAAGATGACAATTAAAGTTAAATCAAAGCAAGTTATTTCTCTTTGATAGTGTTTTCAGCATCTTTAAAGGGATCTATTAGAATAAAGGAACTTTAATATTATTTATTTAAAGTGCTTGACAAAAGTGTCCTCTTAAAACCCACAACTGCTGTAAATCAAAGAGAAAAATGCAAGAGGGTCTTGAGTCGGCTTCATTTTTGTAACTGCGCTCAGTAAATCTTGAGATATGCCTCTTACTCCTCAGCTGCAGACTTGAACTTTTATTGAATAATGATGTAGAAATTCACATTGCTTTTACATGCAGTGTCTTTCTGGATATACGGGGAGCGTTGCTGTGCAGGTAGAGCTAATGAGACAAGGTTGAGGCAATCTACCTGGCAGTGTGAGGTCTGTTTTCTTGTTTGGCTCTGTGTTTTTTCTTATTACCTCAGATAACATTCAAACATCGACAGTCTGACACCATGTTGAGATGTTTCCACCGCAGCCTGGTTAGATATTTAATAGAAAACTTTTTACGTCTACTACAGGAACTTTTTGATGACACGCTTTCAATCATTACAAGAACATTTTGATGAACAAGGTAGACAACAGAAAGATAAATCACCCTGACGGTGCCCCTAATGGACCGGGATGCAATGCAGTCACGCGGTATCCTTTTGTTTTGAGCTGCAGAGGAACACTCTTCCTTTGGGCTTATTATTCTAGCGCACATGCGATTACTTTCCTTAGCTACAGGAATAACCTGCAGCTGATGTAAAGTGTTTGCACCTGCTCCCTGGGGATTGTCAGCGGGTATGCAGGGAATTGTTGGACCTGCGTTAATCATGTTATGTGCTCCCAGAGAGAAACTCTCAGAGAAGGAGAGGAAAGGAGAAATATAAGAAATCCTCAGCAAACTGCGTCGGAAGCTTTGGACTCAACAATGTTGAAACTAAGCGCGTCCTACTCTCAGCCAGTTGTAAGAAGTAAAGAAATGAAGTAACCTCTCGTGTTAGATAACAACTGAAAGAACTAGGGCAAGAAAATTATATTTTCATGTAACGCTGCAGCAGGAAGAAAAACCAGGTGAAATAATAAGAGGGACGTTTCTGGGCCCATTAATTCCAGCGTCAAACATCACATCTTTACAATCACACAGACTTTTTCCTCCTCCGCCATACGAGCCCTTTCTTACTTAAGTGGTTCGAACACCTGAAGGCAAAATAAATCCTTCCTCTCTTTCTGAGCCCCCCTTCCCACGTCTTTGTCCTCTTGTCCCAATCCCTGACGAGAAGCGGAAGCAGCAACCTGATCCCCTCGCAGCAGGTCTGCACAGGTACTGAGCCCTCCTCGGGACCAGTCTGCATCCAGAAGAAATGGAGCCAGCATTTTCCTGTCACAAGACAACAATGGGAACCCGACAGGTGGGACTGCAGGCGATGCTTTAGCCCTGTTTCCACCTGCTGTCGTCTGTCGGTATCTGTTGACCACATATGATGCGACAAATGAACATTATTGTCTTTTGCCTGAGGGGGGAGAGAGCTTTCTATACGTCTCTATATAAAATTCACACCAGAAGCAGCGTGTTATTTCCTGCTAGAGGGCTGTATGAAGTAGGTTAGGTTCCTATTTTCCAGGTACATGGAAGTATAAAGATGCCTGAGGAACTCTGATGAGAGTAATTTACTGCGCTTTAGTCCTCTGTGCCTTTGCATTTGTATTTTTCATGCACATTAGAGTTTTTGCCTTTTTTTTCCCCTGAATAACACCGAGTACTTACATGAGTGGTGTGATTGGGTATTTTGTTCGCCAAGCATGGATGCTATTGTTGGTTTGGTTGCACAGTGGTCTAAAAATGTACTCATGCAGTGGGGGTGAAGGAGGGGAGCCATTACGCCTAATAGACTCACACTAGTAATTCTGTGTGTTGTGTATCCTCCATCATTCTCCATTTGCTGTCCGTCCTCTTCCTCCTTGCTTCGCCCCGAGGTGACACACATGGCTCTGCTCAGTGTGGACTGTGGAATCAGATGGAGTTTCATTTGTATCAGTGTTCTCTCCTAAGCTTTTGGAGTTGTGCCATTTTTTAGCAAGAAAAACTCCGAGGAGGAATAAAGTTTGATCTTTAAGATCACGGCAGGTTGACAGACAACTTCCAACCTTTTGAATAAATGTCATCCGAAAGCCAAAAACTTCGATTTCTAGTTACAGCTCCTCCGGTATAAAGATTTTCTGCTTTGACAGGATGTGTTTTTGTTGAAAGTTGTTCAAATTAATCTTTTCCCTCGCTGCTTTATCAATAATTGAGAAACTGATCTTCATTTGATGAAGTAAACAGCATCAAGAACTTGTTTCTGCAGAGGTTTAGAAATGATTGTTGGGTGGATTTTTTCGGGGTTGTGTGTTTGAGGAAACATGTAATCATAATTGCACTCGCCCTGCAGGGTTTACGGTCAATACTGCTCAACATGAAACAATTCGTTGCTGTATATATTAGATTAAATGCTAATAATTGTCCAGATCAATCAGATTTTATTATGCCAAATGTCAGAAAACATTTCCTAGACAATACCCAGGCTGAATTAAGCTTCCTGCATATTTTTCAGCTTCAAATTGAAAGATTACAATATCACGAAGAGAAGAAAACCAGCAGATCTTTACTTTTGAATCGCAAAGTTGAAAACAACAAGCGCTTAATTTGCTTGGAGGATGACTCAACCATTTGTCAAATGAAATACATGTTTTCTCACCTTTTGTCTGAGTTTTGCTGGTAAAAAAAATTTTGTGCATTATGAAGAAAAACAATCAAACGGCGGCTGAATGTCAGAAGTGGATGAGTTTATTAAAAGATTGAAGACAGATGCCTCCAGAAGCGTATCTTTGCCACGTGGTTCTGAGAGAAAAAAACATTTTACCTCAGAGAAACTTACCCTGTCTGCTGTTCTTCTATCTAATTTCCCGTTTTCATATTTCCATCGCGTGGCTGAGCATCAGTTGGACTTTATATTAATGTCAGAGGATGTCTCACTGTGTTTCCCATCATAAACTAATAAATGTGATAAACTTTGGACAACTTATGTAGCTTGAAGATAAGCCTCTGCAGAAAATGGATCACTGATTAAAACAAAAACCGTCTGACAGGCAGCTCATTCAGTGGGACAGCAGATATGGCCTGTGGGGAACGCTGTTAGAAAATAAAACCTTTGTTCTCCGTCTTCCTATCCATAAATGGACCTTCTTCTCTCTCTAAGACCTTTGCACTCACATGAAGGTCAATGAGGTACAGGGCAACCTATAAAGAGTGGCTTTTTGCACCCTGAGACAGATGGTGCGGTATGAAATGAGGCTTTGGAAATGGCTCAAAATCTCCACGTCATTGCATTTCATTTCACATAATGTGGCTTTTGTCAACCCTGAAGTACTTGGACAAACTCAGGCCTGCTGCTTATTTCTGCAAAATAGATTGAAACAGGCAGCCTGTCAGCACCGGCTCTGGACCTGAAACAGTTTTCAGCAATTACCGAGCAATCGATCAGTTGTAAAGCCACTAAACCAAATCAGCGTCTTAAGATGTCGCTATCAGATATTAAAGTAAACTGAATACCTTTAAGTCTCGACTGCTCACTGGAAAAACACGGAAATGGAATATTTTAACTTGCATTTGATTGAAAGTATGATCAATCAGTAGTTTATGAAGAAAACACAATTTATAAAACGGGATTACAGATTCTGTGTTTGAGGACGTCAAATTGGTTTGCAGGTCTGATCAGCGGCAGATTTTGTCTCCATTTACTCGATGAAAATACTGCAGAACCACAGTGAGCTATGAAATGCTGTCTGTTATTATCTGTCTCCGCTGAAACCAGGATAGTCGATGGGGTTCTGGTACATGTTTGAGTCTGTAAACAATCAATTACCAACACGAGATAAGAAGGTAGCATCCTCAGGTCATCCCCACCACATGTCCTGTGACGTCAAATCAAAATGTTATGTCAGTCCACCCATTATTCTCGGAGCTATTTCAGTCCAGACCAAAGAATTGATTCACTGATTGACCAGCATTGCCATCAGAAGGACTCTGCTACCAGCATGGTGTCACAGTTTGAAGCCTTCCCATAAAAATGACAAAGGCACAACTTTTATAAGAAAATCTACCATCTCTACCACATCCAGGACAGAACATACTGGAGGATTTGTTGTGCATGCTTCCTCATTACCTTTTTTGAAAAACGAGTCTCTCAGCCTTAGGCCTTTTTGACGCCCGGCTCCAGACATCTGGTAAAATAAAAAATAAAAAAAGCTTGATACCCTTAGTTCACTGCTGCAAAGACACTGACAGGCAATTACAGTCGGTAGGAAAAAGTCAAAATTATAGAGCACACAATGTTGACGTTTGGAATGGTGCCTTCAGTCTGCAACAGAAAGGAAAGCATGTGTGAAAAGGGATGTTGTGTGAGGGTGCTGTCAGTTATCCATCAGTGACGTGATTACACCCCTTCCCTTGAGAGAGACAGACAGAGATATGAGGATTTAGCTCTTTTATTTAAAAAAGAAAAAGAAAAAAGAAAAATCCCTTTCCAACTGGTCTTGAACTCTTCCCCAGCATGAACTTATACTGTACCAGAATGTTAATACAGTCATATGCTTGTCATAGTTAGTCGAGTAACAGCTGAAGATGCTTGCGAAAACAGCAGCTTACTCAGGAAACCGACATGTCAGCCATTTTTCTGTGAAAGGCTGTCAAGCTCAGGGCGCTGTTATAGCCGTGTCTCCTTTTCCAGGTTGTTTGTCGAATGCGCCATCGTTTATTGTGTACACTGAGGCGGAAATTGTATAATCAGGCTGACACCTACCCCCTCGCTCTGGTTAAAGCATTAAAAATCAGGATAAAAAAACACTAATCTGTACCTGATTATCCTATGTGTGTGGGATCATAGATTGTATATACTATGGACAACTTGGTTTCGCCTTCTGCCAGTATACTGATTTGAAGCCAAAAAGCTCTCGGTAATTTTGCATGTTTCCTCCATTTGCTGAAACCGACATTGTGCACCAGATCTTGTAACTTCCTGCTCGTTAGGCTTACGTTACACAATGTGGCGAGCACCAGGCTGCCAACAAAACATGACATTCATAGCACCATTACCAAGAAAATAATAAAGTACTCAGTCCAGTACAAATCAAGGAGACCCCTGACCGACCAGCATAAAAGCTGTAGCTCAAGTGGAGAGCAGGTCCGGCAGAATGTCCGATGTCATGCATGGGGGCAGATGCAAATGTGTTGATGTGTTTGTGCTGATTATGTGGATGTGAGTAATAGCACCATTTCCAAGAAAATAATAAAGTACTCAGTCCAGTACATGTAACAGCAACACCTCCTGCTCATAATGAACAGAGTCACTTACTTATCTAGCAGTACATCAGTGTCGGACCTCAGTCCAATCTCCTCATGCAGGGGTCTCCATCGAGGAAAAGCAAGGGCGATGTAAATCCATGTTAGTCTTCTCAGTTTGTGACTCTCTTTCTTCGCCAACAGACCTAGCATAAGCATTGTACACATTAGGCGGGAGAGTCGCCAAGAGTTGCTGTGATGACGCTCGGCTCAAACAGCGTATCCCCCGGATGAGGTACATTATCTTTGGACGCCCGTAAGCTGTATCAAGTGTCAATCACAGAAAACATGAACCCCCTAATAACTTTTAAAAACGGAGCTGTATGGAAAAAAGAGGACTTAAGCACAAACCAGTCTTACAATAACTACAAGTCAACATCGCAAGCAGGGGGGAAAAAACTTAACATTCTGTGTAATACATTTCTAAAGTTTGTCCGCAGCTCCATAGGAATTGCTGGTGGAGGCGGGGTTAATGACCTATACTGCAGCCTGTCACCAGAGGGTGCTGTTCTCGGAGTGGCTTCACCCAGCGAGGAGGCAGACACTGTCCATTCTGTATACAGTCTATGAATGGGATATCATTATAAATCTATCTAAATCTACGAATTTCAGTCTGTTTCGTCAATGCTGTAAAATTCTTTATAGGAGCTTTAATTGACTTATACGTTATTAGGAAAATGTTTTTAAAGACTTACTCCAGCTTACAGTGAAACAAGAGTTTCAAAGGTGCTTTTTGGTCTGAATAATTTTCAGCAAAACCTTCCCACACTTTCCACATGACAGCAAGCCATGACAGATTGACTTGAATAGAGCTCTGATCTCCTGTAATTTCAGAAGGTGGGGAAGGCTAATCAAAATGCAGTACTTGTTGAATTATTTAGGAAAAGACAGGGACGAGAAGCTGAAAGTCATGGAAGGTTAGGTTTTCCTTTAATTCTTACTCTTTAGCCGAGCACCGTTCACTATAAGAATCCAGCCTCTCCTCAACTATTATTGATCCAGCCAAAGTGATTCTGTCTGCCCTCCTCGCCGCTGAAGCGCTTCTGAAGCCGGGGTATTTGCCATCAAGCCTTTGTGGACATGCGCCATGGGATCTCCATTCACTGCACAATCCTCATTTTCAGCACTTAATAAGTTTAGGCCTCTGATTTCTTGTTGATGCCGGTGTTGAAAGAGGAGCGCGCACACACTTACAGACACACACGCGCGGAGAAAGAAATAGGGGGGGCGCAAGGTAGCAAAACAGGGATATAGAAAGTAGTGAGGGGAGGTAGCTGATTTCCCTGGTGAGCTTATATCCGAGCTGTCGTCACCTGTCTCTTCTTAGAGAAAGAAGAGCCTTAATCATGAACATGAAAGTGTCTCCTGTGGTGCTGCCTCCTGTCTCTGTCACTCGCTTGTCTATTATTTGCTACAGACAGAGTATTACTTAATTTTTGTGCCCATTATGAGAGCTGTGCTTTGCTAAAGTAAGTCGAATTACACATCAAACCTGAAGACCACAGTTATTTCGGGTTGAGAGGACTGAAGTTATAATGAACGATCTGTAAAGACGCATGAGAAGATGAACCACATGAGAACAAAGTCTCTCTTGGCCTTCAGATCTTCTTTTTCAGACCCTGGGTCCTCTTTAACAGCCGTAAAAATACCCTAATAATCGGATCTTCAGCCTGATCTTCTCTGCTTCTTATTTGGAAAATTCGCTTATAAATCTGATTCAAAAAGGATGAAAGATAAAACTTGTACTATGAGATTGTCAGTGAACATAGCTTTACATTTCACTGTTAATCCCAGATGATCTGATTTATATTCTGACTGCTGTGAAACAGATTGAAACTGACACTGATGCTTTTTTATGATGTTAAAAAGCAGACGAGACCATCAGCAACAAGACGAGTAGTGTCTGTTGTAATTTTTGATGCCTGAAATTGCTGTGAGGGTGTAGGTTTACTTCTGATGAAAAAAGGAAACAGTTAATACTCACAGTGAGTGAAATGTTTCATTGTTAAAAGACAACAGGATAAAGATTCTGTTTGAAAAAGCACAAGAGAAAAGAGGTATTACTTTATCCACAAGGGGGCGCCAGAACCAACACAAATTAAAGTTCCTTACAGCAGCTTTAACCGGGGATTACTCTACAAGATCATCCTGCAGATTATAGGTCAGATTTTCCCGCTTTTGACCAAAGTAAACAAGGGTCTGATCATCAGAAGATTATTTTTCCAGATTTTTCTGTGGTGTGAGGTGTGTGAAGTGTGGATTTTTCTTCACCCTGAAAGACGATCATTCAATATTTATGATCAGAAATCCGTGTATGCGGGGATCCCTGAGGATTGTCATGCGGAATAACTTGAAAGCTTATTGGGATGCAAGCCAGCTCAGACAGGAGGCAAAACAAATGTAACCATGGCAACAATGACAAACAGGAAGCCTAAACTGAGACAAACAGAACCTGCTTGTTGACATATGTGGACAACACAAAAACAGAATGAAACCACAATGAAGAGAAAATAATACTGAAGTGGAAATACCATAAAGCTAAGCAGCTAGCGAAGCCTAACTCCCATTGTCTGCTTAAAAAATCCCATTTGGCCACAAGAGATTTGGGGTTATAAGAGTCTGTGTTTATAGCATTGTTGCTCACCACACAGTTTAGCAACAGAGCTATTAAATCAGTCTTTATTTGTGGTCATGTGTGGGCTCTCTGGCGGTGGTAAAATCTGTGTGAGTGCCAGGCTTTAGACAATGAAAGGCAGGAAATTTCACATATCTCTGTTTCTATCCTTTTTACCCCCCTTTTTCCCTTTCCTTTGGCATTATTTGAACTTTGAAAAGGCACAATGGGTGTTTCAATATTTGCTTTCTGTCAACAAATGTCCAAGCCCAGTTTGTGGCATCATCGTTTTAATGCTTTTCTTCACACTGGGCAGCAAAGGTAAAAGTTTTAAAAGGGAAAATGAAATCATTGTAAGCAGTTTTACTTGAACGGGGTCTGCAGAGTCACAGACAACAACAGAGCGCAGCCAGACTCGACGAAAAACAGGCCACCACTTCCTGCTGCCACCTCATCCTATAGACAGCTGGTGGAGGTGATAATTTTATGTATGCATAGTGTGCCTGCACGTGTTTGTCGATGTGAAGTCACAGTGTACACCTACTTTTGTCAGAGAGGATTACCTTATCTCAGTAAGCAGCAGGAGCTTTGTCTTCTCCAACACAACATGTGCGATTAGTTCTCATTGTGTTACAGTGTAATCTGTGCAGATAGAGCCATTTCCTTAATGCACACTCATATAAAGTTCTCATAAAGAAGCTCGACAGAAGCTTTGTTGGAGTATTCAAAAAGGCCCATTTGAGTTTGAGTCTATTATACCAAAAGTACGATAACCTTTCCAAACATGGCAGAGAAACCTGAATTAACTTACTGTTGTTGTTTGGCAGTTGTGAGATTCAGTGGTTCAGGTTGAGCAGCAACGTCTCTAAGGACTCAACACTTGGAAAACATACGCAGGCGAGAGCTGCCAACCAGGCTCTGGGAAAAAAAAAGATGGTGATTTTTTTCAGCTATTAGACTTTTCCTGGCATCAACACGCCCAGGTGTAGCACGTAGCCTGGATCCCCAAAGATTGTCCTTGGCACCCCACAGACCACTGAAAATGAAATGTAGCAGAATACTATCAAATTTAAGACACATGCAAAACATGTCCCCATGTCTCACACAAAAAGCTCATTAAAGGCTTCATCCTAATAGATTCACCACGTCTCCTTTTCCCGCTCAGCGTGTACAATCTTCTCTGTCTGGACCAGAAACCTGCGTGTCTAGCCGAAGCTTGTTCAAGCATGAGAGTCGGTTTCATTAGATTTACATCAGAAAGACAAAAACAAGGAAATGTGGGATGGCTACATGAGCGTGCTGTGTTCACACCAGCAGTCAGCATTACCATTTCAGGTGTAACAGACTGATGTGCACCCTGGTGCCAAAATCTGGATGTGAGCAAAAGTCTGTGAAATGCAGGCGCAAATTTACAGCCCAGCAAACCTCCTATTTTCTGCACTGAAATACCTTTTCCAATGCTTCAAAAAGAACTACTCAAGCCTGCTCACGAGTGCAGGAGCTCTAATCTGCAAGTATCTGGAGATGTGTGATGCTTAAAGCTGACATTTTGACCCAGCTGAATCACTGAAAAGAATGCATGGCTTAAAGGGCAGGCGATTAGATGTGTGGCAAATCAAGAACAATTAGTGTAATTATCACAGAAAATACTTTTTAATTCTGCCGCTGCAGTTGACAAGCGACGGTGCTTATCCCTGTTTTCGGTGAATAATTCCTGGTAGGACTGTCAGCAGCTGAAATGAGTTGAGGTTTGTTTTGTCGCGTGCTGTCACTTTTAAATGTCGCCGAGCCTTATTTAAATGCAGAGGCTGAATCTGTTCGGGTGACAGGCTGTGGTATCGGTGTTCCTCAAATAACTTTCATTGGGCGTTGCTTTGATGCTCACATCTGATGCTCCTGCTTCACAGATAAAGCTCTGAGCACTGATCATTGCCATCACTGCTGATAAACCCGGTGCCTTTTTCAAAGCCCCTTTTCTTCTCTTTTGTTTCTTGTGTCTCTATTGTTAATTGCTTACGTTTTTGTAAACATCAGTCTGGCTCATTTGCACAGATGTCATATGATACGAGCGAACATAATCAAGTCTTTGTTGTGAATGTATTCCTCCTTTTTCTGTTCAGACAAAGTGAGAAAATACCTGAAAATTTCCAGTTGATTGAGAACAAAGTAAATCAGACTGTTATGGCAGATGATTTGACGTATATTACGAGATAAAAAAGACAAAATTTTGAGCAGAAGACAGACTGTTTTGTGTTAAGTTGGTGTGCGGGTTTAAAACTTTAAAAAAGATTGAAGAAATATTAAAGAAAGCTTGATACCATACTCTCTCGTTCAATAAATATGCCTTTACAGCCAGAAGTTAGCCAAGGTAAGAGAGAGAGAGACCTCCTGCTGTTGTAATTTTGATGCTTGTATCTTTTATTGTTAAAAGGATTTGGTGTGCACCGTTACTTAATGGACTTTTGAGATGCAGTCAGGGTTCTTTGTCTTCTTTTGACAGGCTGGGCCAGGCTCTCCGTTTGATTGGTTGGTTAACTAGCTGAAAAATGGTGTTTTGAAATAATCGGCTGATGCCTGCGTTCTCAAGGCTGATTAAAAACATAAAGAAAGAACGGGCAGATTTGTGAGTGCAATGGAGAAAGTCTGTTTTGAGCCCTGTACCTTTACTATAACTCTTGTACAATACTATCGAACACTATATGATATGATTTGATACAAGACAAAGCAATGTGATATAATACATGATGATACTAGAGGATACACTATGATACAAGATAACACAATATGATACGAATATGATACGAGATGATAAGATACGATATGATATGACATAATACAATAGGATATTATTCGATACGAGATGATACGCGATAGTAAAACAGATATGTTACGAAATGAGATGATATAAGATAATACAATGTGATTTTAGATGATACGAGATTATATGATATGATATGATAAGATATGATACGAGATAATACAATACGATATGTTACAATACGATACAATATGATACGAGATAGTAAAATGCGATGTATGACATAATACAATACGAGATTATATGATTTGAGATAAGATTTGATATGAGATAATATACGATATGTTATGATACTATTCAATATGAAATGAGATGATATGATAGATATGACACAATACAATAAGATCTACGATACGAGATGATAAGATATGATACAATACAATTTTATACGATACGAGATTGTAAGATACGAGATGATAAGATATGATACGAGATAATACAATACGAGATGTTACGATATGATACAATATGATATGAGATGATAAGATACTATATGATACGAGATAATACAATACGATATTATATGATACGAAATATAAGATATGATATGAAACAGTGATTACTCAATGAACAACAAAAAAGGACATCAGTCACGTTACACAATTTGGATATTGTACTTCTTGATGCCTTAAACTGCTGCAAGGCATCAAATTGAATCACTAAAAGCACGCTGAAGACACCATCTCAAATGTGTCTCATTTGAGAGAGACAATTTGACTGAAGAAAATAGCTTGAGAAATGTTGTTAGGAACTAAAGCAGCGAAGTTACTGAATGTACTGTACATCTTTGCCCACAAGGAGCTCCAAAGTCAATACAAAGCCAAAGTCGCTCCCAGCAGCTTTAGCAGACACAATTGATATTGATCTTCTTGTCTTACTTACCATGTAGAAAATAAATTAAATTTCCAAATGCCAATTTATTCACTTAAAAAAGTTAAACTAGAGGCCATGTGGTAAATAAATCAGTGACAGCAACGGCAGGAAATAGCTCAAAAGAGAAAAAGTACAGCAGAGCTGAAGATGAGAAAAAACACGCCTGTCTTGAAATCATATTATTGAATTGTCTGCTGCGTGTCATCTGCTTTCTGTTGCAGTTTAACTGACAGGCTTTACAGCCGCCGTCTTCCAACTGGAGGTTGTTTCAGAGCTGACAGTTTATATAGATGAGTGACAGGTGTCAGAGCGTGAACTTTGTTCTGCCTTGTGTCAGGAGGACATCAGAAGCAGAGGAGTCTGTTGACTTGAGGCAAACTATTAGCTGTTACAGTTGCTTTAATAAAGTAAGCCATCGCAAGGGTATACAGCCGTTTTTGAACTTGAAAACGAAGTTTCACATGAGGGAAAAACTACAGAGAGAGAAGGAAGCACCTCAAAACTTGCTCTCTCATCCTGACATCACAGGCGACTGTGCAAATATGCTCTCAGGGGTCCCGGTTGTTAGTCTGCCCTAATGAAGACAATGGTAACCATAGTCAAAGTATTTACTTTCATTCAAATGGGATTCAAATGAGTATCAGGCACATGGCGAATGAATTTTCCTCCCTGTCTTTGCATGGCACCAGGAGAAGCTTTATTGTCTGATGAGTTAAGATGAAGCTGAAACTTTTGAGGTTCAGAAATGACAGCTCACAGTTTGCAGCTTTTTTTTTGTTTGTTTGTTTATTTTGTGCATGAACATAATCAGACAATTTCAGGGTTGGATGCACACAGATTATTTCAGCATCTTCATCATTTGTTTTGGCCTGTATACACTTCAACATTGTTAGTGACTGATCCTACAGAAAGAAACCGCCGGCCACCGCTTTGTTCTCGTACACTTTCCTGAACTGCTGATGAGCTGGTTTGGAGTCTTGCTGTCAGATCCATGCACCCACCCATGCGTTTACCTTAGCCTGAACTCAGAGGTTTGAAATGTGGGTCTGAATAATGAAAATGAAAAAAAAACACACACCACCTCATTCACAGTCCTGCCATGCCACCCATTTCTTCCCTGTCGCCCTCTGGCTTTAACCCCTCATCGCCTCATTGAGACACTTCGGCTGGCACCCTTCCTCCCATCCCCCCTCTCAGGCACTTTGTCTCCATGGAGATGTTGTGAATGAAATTTTGGGCAGCGAATTTTCCTTTTCAAAGGGTGCTGTAAAATTATCAGAACTCCATAGAAACTTTGGTTCTGAGAGTATGTAGGCGACAGCTAAGTGGTATTGATAAATGCCTGTCAGATATTCACAAAGAGGTTGAACTTTGAAGCATTCAGAATAATAACGGATTTCAATTTTCAGTCAAAACATTTCAAGCTGTGCTGAGGCTGACCAGATTAGCCTCTCACTGAAAAAGTAATTGAAAAATGTGTCTCTGCTTTTCTCTTTCGCAGTCAGCGGTTTGGAGACTGTTATCGGCCTGTACGGGGACACACTCGAGATCCCGTGCAACAATGGAGCTGTAAAAGCCGAAGACGTCCTGATCCTTAAATGGAAATATGTAAGTCACAGTGGAGGTCAATGGATTCAAAATGGTGAAGTCTGTCTGACACCCACTTATCATGTCTGAGCCCCGCCCAGTCTGAGTGCATGCGCTGTGCATTAGAGCGTGCATCTGTGCCTCCATATGACACCGCACGAGCAGAAGGTGCTTTCATTTGAACTGGAAGCCGGTGCCATATGTGACACACAGTAACCCGTGCACTTTGCTCTGCTTTCAGGACAAAGGAGAGGGACTTCCAGGAGACCTGCTGGTCAAGCAGAAAAACCAGAATGTCTCAATCAGTGCCGCTGATGAATACAAAGACCGTGTGACCCTGGCTGCAAACTCCAGCCTACTTCTCTCCGAGGCCAAGCTGAGTGACCAGCGCACTTTCACCTGCATGGTGGTCGCTGGTGCAGACATCGCAGAGTACCCTATTAATGTGGTGATCTACAGTGAGTCTGGAGATAACTTCTATTAGCTTTTAGAGTGACTGCGAACAAGCAGAAACAATCACCCTGAACAACTCCGCGGTTCATTAACACATTTTCCATGTACTGCAGAGACGCCGGCGAGGCTGGAGATTGATGACAAAGCAGAGGAGCTGGAGATTGGCAAACTTACCAAGGTGAGCTTTTAATGACAAACATTGCTTATACCTACAGTATTTTAAGCAGAAAACCATCAAGGGGAAACCCCTCACCGAGGTATCCGGAGGCACAGCAGCAGCCATGTTACAACAGTAATGAGTTCTTTGAAGTGACTCTCATGAATTAGTAAAGAGTAGATTCTCCCCCTGCTTCAATTAAAATACCCAAAGGATCTGAGGGGCCTTAGAAACGCTTTGGGCATTTCATGCTCTGTTGCGCAGAAAAAGTGCTCAGCCCTCCAATACTGGACAGGTGCTAAAAAAGCTCTTTTCCTTCAGTGTTTCGTCACTTAAAAAGCATGCAGATTCCCCTCTCATGTCATGAAATAGTGATTTTCTCTCAGTATTTTCGACTTATAAATAAATGTGTTATGCCTTCGTTTCACAGCTGGGAAGATGTGTAGCAAAAGATGCAAATCCAGCAGCGAATATCACATGGTTTAAGAACAACAAACCCCTGGTGGCTGACGGGGAAGGTGGGTATTCTTCATCCTGTTGCATGATTATAAATGCCAACAGCTTTTCAGAGTGCTCCTGGCATTTATTAATATTTCAGGCTCAAATGTATTTACTCCTTGTGTCTGGGACTTTTGCTGTAAATTATTCTGCTGTGACAAATTGAGCCACATTTCCAGACTGTAGCAAAGCACTGTTTTGGTCATTAAACCTGAGTTGTTGTTTTTTTTTGGTTTTCCTGGTGTTAAAGTTTGGACTGAGTTGTTTGTTTTCTGTCCAGGGGTTTCCATCCAGGCCTCTGTGCTAGTAGACCCCGATACTGGCCTTTCGACCACCACCTCCATTCTGGAGTACTCAGCTGAAAGAGAAGATGCAGAAGCCCAGTTCAGCTGCAGCAGTCAGCACTCTGTGGGCCCAGAGCTGGCGTCCTCTTCTGTAACCTTCAGTATAACCTGTGAGTTACTGAACCTCACTAACAGCATTCACACAAAACTTTAGGAAACTGGCCGATGTTTTCTGCAGACAGCTGTAACTTCTGAACAAAGTAAAAGACCGAATCCAAGATGATGCTTTCTTTTTATTAGCCCATGAAAATCAATACTTCATCCTTTATTGACCTCTGTGGAGTCAATGTTTTATTCATTAACAAATTTAAAAAAAACATTATAACTTTATTATTGAGTTGACTTGAATCACATCTGTTTCCATCTGACTGAGGATGGCGAGTCAGCATTTTTCATTTTTTCATTTAATTTATTCAATAGCAATAAATTTGACACTAAATATCAACAAAATCTGCCTCAGAGTGAGACTAGTGAAGCGGATAAATCATTCGTTTGAGTGCAGGCGCCTCAGGTGGTTGTTTTTTGTTTGGTTTTGGAGGCGAATAGTTTTGTCACCCATCAGGAATTGGCCACACATTTCCAAAGAGGGATTAATTCAACATTTATTTACTGTTTTTATGTCAAGTTCAACTCTTTAACTCATCTGAGCTGTCATCATTGGAGACAGATTGTTGTATTTCCTTTTGTATCACCAAGATAGACAACAGGAACTGCACCCATGGAGGTGATTTGAGAAAGAAATGTGTGGGATTCTGCCCGGTCTGTAGTGCCTTCTAAATCAAATGCAGCATAAAATATTGAAGTTACCTGCTCACCGAAGCTTTATCACTCCTGGAACACTCTCATACAAGAAATGTGATGGTTTGTCTCACATGGAGCAGAAACATTGAGTCTGAGAGAACTGCTTGGTCGGCTGCCTGAGAATATGACTGCAATTTAAACATCTCCTCAGCTGCATTTTGAAGTTGGTTGTACCTAACACTGTGACAAAAAAGTTTCTGCACTGTGTAGCGTACGAGCACAGTCAGTTTCTGCAGTCCCTGCAGCGAGCTGCGAGGGGCACACGCTCCACTTAATACACCCACTCGTACACCCCGTCCCTGACTTCATATCTCGTATTTTCCCCGCAGACTCCACAGAGAACATCGTGCTTCAGGTCATTGCTCAGGACCCTCTGGTGGAAGGAGACAATGTGACTCTGAAGTGTGTGGCTGACGGCAACCCAGCTCCTACCAGCTTTAACTTTAACCTCAAGGTACCCATTGGCACCTCACCAATTACTCATTATTTACTTGCATTTAAGCTCATAAAAGCCTGGAATCACCTGAAGAGCTGTAATTGGGATTCAGCCTGAAAACCTCCCAGGGTAGTTTAAGGAAGCTAATTCCATCACACATAATGGAATCTATTATAGACATTTGACAGGATGAGACAGTCTGAACATCTGATAGGAAATGTGAACCTCTTAACAGTCGGTTTACCAAAATTCTGCAACTACTAAAATGGTCATAGCGGTCATTTTCACTGCTTAGTCTTTATTTGCACATAATTTGGATAATCAACAATGAAAAACTAACAGTAAATCGGTGGAATAGATAAAATATCAGTACACAAAATGAAAATTATAATGAATGAGATTTTTAAGAATCTTCCTCAAAACACCAGGACGCATCATTCCCTGAACTTGCTCATCCATCGGATTCTTCCTCATCAAGGCTCTGAAGCATGACTAAAGGCTCCATACATGTCATCTTTCTTCTAGTTGTCATTTTTGAGTCTATTGAGTTTTGAGTAAAGTTATAGCAAGATTTTAGCTTCACAGAGCTTAAAGTACAAAACAAACAATAGAGCAGGAGGAAAATGCAGCAAATAGTGAAATATAGCACCCTTTGTAAAAAGCATACAGTCACTTTGACTGCTCTGGTCATTCCAGGTAGTAATATTCAGATCTCAGATTTGTGTTTTGAAATTTTAATGACAAAACAGAATAATATACACACACATTTAGGAAAAGTAAGGCTGCGATTGGTGTATAGGTTATATTTTTAAAACGTTATGACACTGTGAATTTTTGAAAGCAGTCAAAATAACTGCTTTGATCATTGAGTGTTAACATGAATGATGTCAACCCCATATTTGACAGTATTTACCCGCTAAAATCAGCACATTAAGAGGGGCATAACTTTAAGAATAAGGATTGGATGGTCCAGTATTTCTCTGCAAAAGGAGGCAGGAAGTGAGCAGCTCCTTTTCTGTCTTATTTCGGAAACTCAAACAGCTCTCATAATGGCTGACACTCAAAGGCTTTCAGGTCATTTCACTCTGTTACCCTCCTAACCAAAAATGACTTTTCAAACAGGTCAACGGTTTCTACAGGCCCTGGACCTGCCTTAGTTTGGATAGACAGATGTGATTGACCTGAACTGAATCATGTCAGACGAAAATCTGTTTGCCAGAGTGAATAAACTTTACCTGAAGGGTTACTTTTTTTTGCAGCTTTTCCTTCCAATAATGTTCAATTCTCACCTTCCACCTGTTTGATTGTATGTCTTTAAAGGGAGAAATGGTGATGGTGGAGAACACAGACACCTACACCATCACAGACGTCTCACGTGACACCAGCGGTGAATACAAATGCTCTCTTGTTGACAACCCGACAATGGAAGCGTCTGAGGACATCGTTGTTAAATGTAAGAAGCTGAAATAACTATTTTTTCTTTTAACAAAAAAAAGAGGAAAGAAATTACTGTAATTTTACCGCATCCAGCGGCATTGTCGTTTCAAACTGATGTAATCTTATTCGTCGGAATGAAAGTGAAATACGTTTTGTGGAGGAATAAAGTCTAATGTCTCTCTTTGCCGGCCTTCCTGTTGTGCTGGGCTTTGTGCTGAAAAGTGTTGTGTCAACCGCACTGCCTCTAATAAGCTGCTCCTGCAGGGCTGTGAGCCAAGAGCAGGGCTGTATGGTTAACAACAGGAAAGCTTTCGACCCTTGTCAGGCTGCTGAACCATCCTTTACTGTTCTCTCCTCTCTCTTCAGACCTAGACATCAATTTAAGTCCCTCTGGAAATGTCGTCACGAGCGCCGGCAAGACCTTGGATCTAAACCTCCAGATTGATGCTCCCGGTGACACAAAGGTCTCCTGGACAAAGGTGAAAGGAACCTCTAATTTAACACGCTTAAAACCAGTGGAGAAAAGTTTGTGCTTGTTAGTGACCGCTCTGGTACTCTTATTGAATTCCAGGATAATATGAAACTGGACAAAGAGCCAAAGTTTACCAAGGTGACATACGCAGACTCTGGCCGCTACGAGTGTGAGGTGACGATGGGTCTGCTCGTCAAAAAAGCTTCTTTTGAGCTCTCTGTCGAAGGTAAGAGCAAAAGGAGACTCAGACGTGTGGAAGTAACGTGATTTGCTTTGTTTCTGTGTGAAGAGGTTACAGTCATCTCTCTTCACTCCCAGCAAGACAGCTAGCAACAAAAATAAGCATTTCCTACGTGTAGTATTTTATCCTTTTGCTTTCAAATCAGCTTGCTTTGAATGCCATAAATAGGGTTTATTTCTGTATATTTTCATTGAATAAAAAACAACCACTCTAAAATCAAGTTATCTGAAGATGTACGTCCTGTTGCAGGTGCTCCAGTTATCAGAGATCTGAGCAATCGCCCCAGTGATGACGGCACTCACGAAGTTTTGATTTGTGAGGCTGAAGGATCTCCAAAGCCAGCTGTTTCCTGGAGCATCAACGGCACCGTGGTATGATTACACACTCCCCGACAGCATTAGCCTTTATGATAATCACATATAACTCAGTGCATTACCTCAAGGTTAGGCTAAGCTGCATTTGTCAGATCCCCATGCACAGTTAGATGCAGGACTTTCAAGTCTAAAAACATGACGTCTGAGAGTTTAATATGCACAGACTGTGGTGGCTGAATTCAAGCGCATGTAAGCTCACAACTGCCACTGGGAAAAAATCCAAACCACAACTTCCCTTTTTTCCCTGGAGGTTTTGTTTACGAACATCTTAAAGATATAATCCTGAAGATTTCAGCCCCTCTGGACGTGGTTACCGTAGTAACAGTAAGTTTGGTTTAAGACTCCTGCAAACACGTCCTGAGCAGCTCTGCCAGAAACACGACAGAGGAGCATCTGGTGCGTCTGTTCTCAGTGCAACCGAGAAAATTCAAGTTTTAAAGAACAAGTTGGGAAGTTTTGGGGTAATTAACGAACAGCAAAGCTGGATTTCATGCAGCATCCTGTTCGGTGAATCTCCTGAACAAAGGTACACAGTTTGAACCTCTTATGGATCTACAGAAGTCACCGAATCAAAATGACTTAATAGAGTGTCTGTTGGGAGGATTAAAACCCCGAAATGAGCAACTGCCAAAAACTACAGGTGAACACTAATACCACTTCTTAATTGACTCCAACAAAAATGATATCTTGGGGGTTATTCTCAAAGCTTTTGTTGATTTTTAATCCGTTCTTTGCTAAAATCAGTTGGAACGGCTTAAAGCTCCTGTAAGGAGTTTTTTATGAAATACACTGAAATTAATGTTAAGGCGTTTTCATGATATCCAGAAGCAAATAAGACCATTAGCGACAAGATTGATAGTTTTATAACCTAATTGTTGATGACTGAACCCAGAGTGAGAGAGTAGGTGTTGGTCCCACATCAGATACACAAAATAAATAATGCATTTGATTGTTAAAACCAAGTCAGACGAGGTTCTTGTGTAAAAAGTTACTGCTTAAGCTTGTAAAGGAAGAGCTTAGCAAATACTGCTTTGACACTCTTCAGAGGTTGTTCACAGGAGCTTTAAGTGACCTATGATGGTTTATATTGGCGGAGAGGGTTTAAAACCCTCGGGATGAGTCATGATTTACAAAAGCCAGCTATTATAAAACCGCTGAAAAACTGTGCACTGTCCCTGTTTGAATAGCAAAAGAAGAAAAGAGCAACAGAGCCAGGTGTCGATGAAAGATACAGAGATTCAAAGCTAGAGAAAACTGCAGGGACTTTAACTGTCTGAGAGTTCTCAGACAAACTCCCTAAAAACTTGAGGTCAAGAGCAGAATTTGTCAGGTAAAACTCGCATATCTTCGCTCGAAGACAACTATGCTCAGAGAGCAGAGCACCTAGCAGAAAGGCAGACAGGAAACTACTCAGGTAATTGTTGAATCATCCTCTGTGACGATAGAGCAGCTCTTCGGCTTGAAATGTGCATTTCTTTGTTTGATTAAGGACTGCGAGGAGTTTCTCTATCGCAAAAATAAAGAAAGAGTTTTGTCCTTGTGCTTTTAACTTGCTCTCCATGTTATCATGTAAAAAAAACAAGATTCTTATCAGCCTCAAAAGTGACCACAGTTCAATTTTCTTCCTACTGTCCACTCTTCCTCTAAACACATTTAAGCTCAAATCAAGTCCTTCAGATTTCTTGAAATGTTTCTGTCAAGCAGTCAGTCCTTTCGCTGAGAAATCAATACTGGTTGTCATAGAAATCCATCTCCTGTCCATGGCCATCCTATGCGAGAGTGAGACGGCTTTATCCCACAGTAACAGCTGCAGTGATATCTTTGAGAGAACATTTCCCTAATGTTGTGAACAAACAGCCCAGGCATGAAAATGGAGGTTTCTACCTGCAACTAATTTTGTTCTCACCTTGTCTCATATTTAATCCCACTCTAATAGATTATACATTTCTTTCTTCTATGGACGAGTAGATGATATAAATAACAACCTCAAGTCCAAAAGTAAAGATATTACAAGATTTAGACCAGGTGGGATGATTATACTGAACCTAAGACTGACTTCACAGAGGAATGAGAGAAAATACAACATGACTTATGATATCTTCTTGCATACAGCCGCTTACTCTGAATTCAGCTGTATTTTCTTTGTTCCTTTATTCCTCTAAGGTGGTTGCTTTCCTTGTTCATTGTCAAATAGTTGAAGCTAATATTACTTTAAGGAGTAACACCAATAAGATTATAAATGTGCTGCAACTCTTATTTCTATTTTTCTCAGTTTAAATGTGCACAGCGTGGTAAAAACAGACAGAATGTGAAGGAAGTCATATTCCACTATAAAAACCCTTGAGCGGCAAAGGCAAAGCATCCAGATGCAAATGTAATTGTTGGAGTATAATGGCCCTGTTTTCCTCCAAACAAACCTCTGAATAACATCAGCAGTGAAGGTGTGACTAAACAAAGACGGACTGTTCGAGCGTCCCTCCCTCCGGACTCTGCGAGGAAACAAAACAATCCATGGGTTGTCGATGTCTTGTCTCGGAGACAGTTCATGTTTTGCTTTTTTGCCACTAACCCTGTACCGCAGAGCGAGTGAACGCTCCCTGCTATGTGCATGGCTGTTTGCACTGCTAAGTATTTTCCCCAGCTGTCGCTCTTTTGAACTTATCTAGTCCAACATTTGCAGGTGGTCGTGCTCAGTGTTTGGAAAGACTGCATTTCCTTACTTTCCCCGAGGCTCAAACTGTATTTTACAACAAGACTGTCATTTTATCAGACCTGTTTTTCCCTCCTTTGTTTCTGCGGCTTACCTGCTCGCACACTGGCAGCAGATCCATTCAGTGAGGCGGTTTGAATTGCATATGCACCTGAGGCTGTGTGTGGGATGGTTATGATTCCTTTCAGCCCTTTCAGTCTGTATCTAACCTCAAAAACAACCTCAAAACCTGAACCTGTGTGCAGTAGTTAATCAGCTCCAAAGGTGCACTGAACTCTTTAACCTTAGGACAATGCATTTTGGAGGGAACACACTTTTCTACATTTCAGCCAAAGTTCATTTATTCTGCTCTCATTCAGAGGGAATAATGCAGGGGTTTGAAAACAGGCTCAGTAATGGGTCTTTACAGAATGCCTCATCCTTCTGTGTACGAAGAGGATACGAAAGGGGTGTTGGCAGTTTGTCTTTGTGTCTGAGGTTTTCCTCCGAGACCCAAAACTGTCTACATCCCACAGGCGCACACACGCACACACACACAGGCTTTGTCATGGAGAGGCTGAGTCACATCTTAATCCAATGTCGCCCCCTAGTGGTCGTACGCAGACACTTCCTTCACACAATGGCAGGTGTATCTCAAACAAAGCACAGTCGAATTTGACAAAAATAAAAACTACTCTTTTTCTTTTCTTGTGGTTCAGCTGGATGAGAGTCCCTTTGTCAACGGGAAGATCACACACAGGATCAAAGTCGTGCCTCATGCAAATCTGACTGTTTCTTGTATGGTGTCCAATGAGTTTGGCGCGGATTCCCGAGCTATAAATGTGTCATCCTGTAAGTACAAAACGGAGGTATTTATTAATTATACTTTAACACTAACCTTAACTTAAAGATTAGCACCAAGAATCAGAAATAAGAAACTTGGATGAAAACAATCATCTTAAAAAAAAAAAAAAAGTGATTGTGGCTAAAATCACAAACGCCTGTGGCTCTGTAAAGATTAACTTTCTCATCAGTATGGTTCTCTCGTCTCTCTGCTTCTTATTTTCCTAAAGCCGAACTCCTTAATCTGCTTCTGTAGATGTTTCTCTCCTCTGCTCACTAACTCTTTCCGTCTGCATGTTCTTTCTACACAATGTGAAGATGTTTGAGCTAGATTACCAAACCCGTGTACGTGCGGTGTCACTTCAGAATGAAAAAAGGTCTAAATAAATAAATAAAGTTACGCCTTAAGAGATGAGATTTAAAGATTGTTTATGAGGATATGATAGATTATGATTAATGCCGTCTCTGAGGTATTTAAGATATCTGATTTGTTATATTTGTAGCGGTGAGTGAAGATCTAACTTTCTGCTATCGCCAAACAGTGTCAAATGCATGCACTTAGCTCTTTGTGCACATTGTGTCTGACAGCATGAAGTAATCATATTATCCTGCGCTCTCTGTGCTTCCTCATTCCTGTGTGTTTGAGGCACCATTTCACCTCTTTTACCCTCCTCTCTCGACGTGTGCGTGTGTGTTGGGATGCTGGGTTTAATCTGTTTCCTCTCTGAACTTCCTGCATGCCGAAGTAGCATAGAAATAGAGTAGTAATTGTTATTTTTTTTCTTTTGGTTGGACGTTAATTTTATTTCATATCTGATTTCAGTAAATGGGGATGTGAAAATGCATAAACGAGGTAAGTTGGAGCAGTCTTTTTGTTTGTAAGAAATGGTGGGAGGGGCGTGAGGAAAGACTGTGGCTGAATCAAATGTTGCTTACTCAGAGAAGTCTCCTTATAAAGGATTCACCTTTCACACCGTTTTGGACTCCACTATTGGAAAATCAACATTCGGACAGTGTGTTTGATCATTAAAAGACAGGTATAAGAGGAATGGAGCTACCAGCATCCTGACTAAATGTCAACATTGTCCCTATTCCCATTGGCTGATGAAAAGAGTCATAAACAGAAAGCTTTGTCATTAAACTTATTGGGTCATATCCATGTCCAGTGCGGATGTGTCCACTCATCAATGCATTTACTGCTTTTCTGTATTCAGGGTGTTTACAGCTGTAGTTGAGTACTGGACCATGTCTGGTTGGTGTCGGGTCTGTGACGGGTCCTCTGTTTTGTTTTTGTTACAGATTCATCGGACAACAGCGACCAAACCAAGCTAGTGGTTGGAGTTGTAGTCGGTCTACTTGTCGCTGTGATTGTCATAGGCATTGCATACTGGGTCTACTCAAAGAAATCCAAGTAAGTCCAGGTTTTAAATCTCTGCACATCGTTACGTGAGGCCTGATCTACTACAAATGTTGTAAATAGTTTTGAGGAAGACTCTGATTTTCAGTATAGGGTTCAGATCACACACCAGCAGACTAAAGCTTCTCATAAAATTAAGTGCAGTCGACCTTTAAGGATCCCTATGGCTGTTAAAGGTACAGTCTGCCTTAAATCTACATATTATGTCTCTCTTCTGTCGCTTCTGACTGCAGCTTCATATTTAACAGCATAAGAGAGGATTAATCTTCTCATTGTTATTATTATTTTTTTACGCCTCCGAAAACACAATTTGACCCCCTGAACGACCTCGAAAAATCCGAAAAACGCAATGTTTTAAAGCGACCCAAAAGAGCAATTAAAAATGGCTTACTAGCGTCCCTTACAGAGCGCCAGGAACGTCAACTTCTTCCAATGTGTCCAAAATTTTACAGGCAATGTATCTCAACAAGATCTTTGATTTTGCACACTTGGACTTTTTTCTCAGACGCACGGTTAAAGAGTTATTCTGCTGTTTTCAGCCCCTTTTGGCCATTTGCATAGGTCACGCCAAACGTATCTAGATTTACTCTGAAATACCAGTTTAGTTAAATTGCCTTGCAGTTGACCTCATTAGGTTTTGGGTTTCTGTAGCCATGTTGGGACATAGGAATGGTGGAATTCCACTTTTGGTGCTCGATATGTAACAATGACCCAAAATGTAATTTAAAAAATGTAATAAAACCCAAAATGTAATAACTGGTCGATAATGTAACAAGATGCTGAGCCTAAAATGTAATAACTTTTTGCCCAAAATAGCAACTTGTTAAATTTTGGGTTTATTACTTTTTTTATTACATTTCAGGCTCACACTTTTGTTACATTATTGACAAATTATGACATTTCAGGTTTTATTACTTCTATTTTTATAACATTACGGGTCATTGTTACATATTGGACTTTGACAAACCCTTCTTGTCTGCCTGGTTATCAAACCTGCACTTGATAAATTAAGGGGCTCAGCTCCTAATTGATCACTTACCCTGGTGTGAAGTCTTCCTTTGGTATAAATGCACTTTTTATATTTAAGATTTTCCTGCACTTGTAGGTTGTGCAAAGTTTTTCTCTTTAATAGGAACAGCTGTCATGGTCAGAAACCGTCAGTGTTTCTGGTAACAACTGTCTTTGTTTAAAACAGGCAGGGAAGCTGGAAGACCGGTGAAAAAGAGAGCGGGTCTTCTGAGGAGGAAAAGAAACTGGAGGAGAAAGTGGAGGAGAACAGCCAAAAAGCTGAGGTGTAAAAATCAACCGCCATCGTTTGGGAATGTGAAAGGTAAGAAAACAAACATGTCCAGTTAAAGCAAAAATAACACTAAAATAAAAGGCGTCCTAATCTGATTAACACGTTTTTTCTCTTTGCAGTGAGAACATGGAACTTTTGCACATTTCTCTTCACCTCCCTCTCTCTTTGGGGGAAAAAAAAATCAAGCGTACATTTGGATGAAGACAGTTTGGATTTGGTTTCAGGGAGAATTTGACTAAAAAGCATATCCAAACACCTCCACAACCCCTCCTCCCTCTGAACCTACACCCCTCCGCTCCTCAAAAAAAGAAAAAAAAAGAAAAAATGAATGGATACTGTATGTGATATACATAACTTGTCTGCACTACTGATACATGTGTAAACCTGTCTATTATTAGGATCCATGTTTGTTAGGATGGAATTTGGGAAACTGAGAAAATGCCCATTTAGTTTTTTTTTTTGTTTTGTTAGTTGATGCGAGTAAAATAACTTTTAGACCAGTTGCCTTTTGCTGTGAGGATGTGTCAGCCCGCGTTAGTCTGTTGGACTCTTTCACGTCACCACAACGGCATTTTAGTTTCACCTCATCACAGTCAAAACCTCTGCCTTCAGCATCACCGTACCGAATCTCTTCATTTTTTAATTTTATTCAGTCAGGCATTAAAAAAAAAAATCACGTTGACTTTGAGAAGAATTCCTGAAAGGGCTAAGGGTATAATATGATACTCGGCATTAGTTGTAGATGGTTACCTGATTTATATGTTGCATTGCAGGAGATAGCTGATGTGTCACTGAGTTCTTTGGTGTTACATGATTACTTGTCGTTAATTTGTTTGCGTTGCCTTCCAAGAGAGGGAACGACAAATCTGTTTTTCAATTGAGCTGTACATTCAACATATCCACTCGATCACAAGCAGGTAGATTATTGAGAGAATGTGAAGTGAACTCATTTTTCCACCATCTCTAGTCAGGCTGCGCAGATTCTTCTTCATTTTCGGTTTTACATGCTAAAGAAGAAACTCTGCCGTAGTCAAAGATCCTTTTAGTTTTTCTGTGATTTCTCCACAAGTGTTTACGGTACGATTGTATATCGTGAAGCTACGACATTTTACGATTGAGACCAGAGGAAAAGGCGTCCGCCTCAAAGTAGCTGTTCGAAAACATTTGCCTTCTCATGAAAATCTACCTGTAATCGCTTCAGTTTGTGATGTGCACTAGCGTTCATGTTTTCATGTCAGATTTGTGTAGAATACGATGGAAAACTCGCAGCTGTCTCATTGTTGGTCCTTCAGGAGCATTTACTCCGCTTTGAAAAACGGATCAAGAACCAGGATGTGATTGTGAAGTATGTGGTTTTGATTTTCTTTGTTTTTGCTATTTATGTTGTGCAAGAAAAAAACTGTCCTGGTAGGCAAATTCAATAATCATAACTTGGATTTAATTTGTCGGTAAATTGCTTGCAGACTTTAAAAAATATAAATAAGTTGTGAGTCATGAGTAGGTTGCTCAGCATCTGGTTGAATATAGATTCAGCATGTGATAATCTCAGACCTCTAAGCTGCTGTCTGTCGCCTACATCGTTTCAAACCATCTAATTGGAAGAATGACCAAAGAAAGTGGACGTTGCCATGCAAGTATTGTAAATACCTGATGTTTGTTTTTGTACTTTTGTTTAAAATAAAGTGTACATTTGGAAAAGTTATGTCCACTGATGGTTCATTATGCTGTTCTATATGTTTTACCTTTTAAAATAAAGAAAAACACGGTTCAGAGAAGTGTTTGGCTGGTGCTCGTGGGGAGAACTTCTAGTGATGGAGGTGGACGGTCATTCTGCAAAACCGACCACTGTGCAGAATCTGCTGTGTATGTCTGTTTGTGTATTTGGAAAAGTCGTGGTTATTTGAATCCATTTTGACTTATGAATGAATATTTACAAAATATTTCAGCAGTGGGAGAGTAACTACTGGAACATGTTTTCAGTATTTAAGGTGTTTATATTTGCCTTTTCATTTTACTCCAACTTTGCAGGAAATATTTTGATTTTATTCAATAACATTTATGTCACAGTTGAAGTATCCTGCCTGAAATATAATACACACATTATATGATCTTTACGTGTTACATAAACTGTAGAGTAAAATACTGTACCTCTAAAGACCCTGTGAGGACTTAATAACTGGTTGTGAATCAGACTAAAACTGGTACTTAATTCCTCTTCATGACCTACAAAAGCAGGTGAGACCATCAGCAACAAGATAGCGATTGAAAGCACTCTGAAGAGGAAGAGGTCTATTTTTACTCTGAATGGTGACCTCCAGTAGGTAAAACATTTAACTGTTAAAAAATTGAGGTTTTTGTCAGAAAGTATTACTTTCACATGAGAGGACAGGAAGGGCAAAGAGATAAAAGGTATTTCTCTCTTTCACTAGAGGCTCTAAAACCACATCCTAGAACGTTTCAGGACCAGAGCTTAAAGCTCCTGTGAGGAACTTTAGATTTGAGTAAACTTTGGCATCCCCCTGTGGACAAAGCAGTCTTGCTAGAGTCTTATGAGAAAATCTTATCCTGCTAAGTTTTGACAGTAAAATGTCTGATTTTGCAATATGTAATACATCCACAATTTATATTGACTGTTACTGCAGCCATGGTGTCTTAGTTGAACAAAAGGGTGGTCAAACAGTTCTGAATGTCATTAAAGCTCCTATTTGAAGTTTTTTTACATTAATGAAATAGACTGAAATTCAGATCAAGATTTTTTTGTGATATCCAAAAGCAAACGAGACCATTAGTGTCTAGATCATCGTTGCCTGAAATGCCTAAAACTGGCATGAGGGGGTAGGTGTCGGCCCAGCAGCTTTAGAAACAGTCATGTTTATACAATATCTAGATAAAATATTCACAATAAATTACATTTGATCGTCAAGAATCAGCACAATGAGATTGTTCTTCGAAGCACACTATTTAAGCATGTGGAGGATGAGAAAGGCAAAGAACACTTGACCACAAGGGGCGCCAAAATTGTTACAAACAGAAAGTTCTTCACAGGAGCTCTAAGTGAGAGCATACAGTGTAAGCTCTTGTAAGTACTTGTTTATATTACGAGTTCAAGAGATTTTTTGGTTGGTCTAAACATGGCACATAAACCTACTTAATACTGAAATCCTGGCTGGGATGGTGTACTTGTTTGAATTTATAAGGGGTGACACTGAGCCTTCAGTAAATCCTATAAACAACTTTAAAAGACTGAGTAGATCACCTGTCAAAGACCTGTGTGCACATTCATGAAGAAAATAGGATACACTTTGATTGTAATAATCCTGCATTTTTAGCAAGATCCAGTGTGAAAGTTCAAATAACTGGATTCAAATATTTACTTTTTGTACAATCTGCTTTTAAATTTTGTGCAATACTCACATGAAAATAATATAGCAGCGCTCAAACAAGTTCAGTCCCTTTGTCCTGTAGAGGACCAGATTATTATACCTCATGCCATGTCTTGTTCAGCCAGTCAAAAGGTCTATCACTCTTGTAACTTCAAATGAAAGATGCACTCTAGGAAATCTAAGCACCATGGGAGTCGTCTCCAGTACAGCAGACAAAATGAGCTTCTGCTGCCCTCCTGTGGTCAACGAATAAACTGCTAGATGTAGAGTTGGAAACAAGAAAAATCCTATCTATCTGAGCTTAACACAAAAATAAGGAAGTTTGAGTTTGGTAGATTATTTCCTCATTGTAGCAGTGCTTCCTGGCAGTAAATCTTGCACTGTTGGAAAGCCCATTTAATCCCCTTTTGGATGGTGTCACATTTGTAAGGAACATGCATTTGAGGGATGGGCAGCAGAGATGTTTGTGGGTCGCACCCATGAGAAAGCGGTCAAATCATCTCTGCCACTGCCAAATAGTTTATTCTCCCTCTGACTCTTGTTTGGACTGGATGATAGAAGTCTGAAGAAACAATATTGACAATTTAACAATTTACTAATTTAAAATGTGGGATCCTCAGTAACATGTAGAAGAACCATACACAGCCACAACAGCCTGGCACTTCCTCCTCATGCTGGTCACCAGTCTGGTCACACACTGCTGTCGGATGGCATCTCATTCTTCAACCTGCATTTGTCAGAGGTCAGCCAATGTGGTTGTGTTGATCACTCTGGCACAAACAGGACCCCAAAGCTGATCCCACATGTGTTCAACAGGGTTGAGGTCAGGACTGCTAGCAGGCTACTCCAACTTCTCCATTCCCAAATTCTGGGGGTAGTCCCTGATAAACCTCACTCTGTGGTGGTCAGAGCTGTCCTCTTGGAGTGGAGATATTGGATCGACACTGGTTGCAGAATCTTGTTTTGGTTTCTCTCTGCATTGACACTGACTTGTTTTCCAGAGAAGCAAAACAGTCCCTTGGCGTTAACCAAAGCTAGAGCCCGGGCTAAAGATAGATGGTTGTCCTACAGTCCAGGCTCAATATTTGAGCAGCATTTGGGGCCTTTTAAATATAAATATTGTTAATTAAACATTTCATAATTCTGGTGCTGAAAGTAAGGGTGACAACATTTAGCTGTTCAGCCGACGAAACACACATCCCCACTCATGACATCTGTGGGCTGAAATAAGAACTGAATTTCATCTTTTGGTCAAACAAACAGAAGACGAGTGACACACCAGTCATGTTTTTATTCATTTCACTTTATCAATTGCCCTTCCCTCTTTTATTTTGCACTTACTGACGTCTGTGTTTTCTGGATCCTGCTCTGCGGGTTTCACACCTCATATGTCAATTGGATCCACCTGTGTCATGTTACTCTTTGATTCTCTTTGTATATACAGTATTTCCTCTATGTGTTTACTCTTGTCAGTTTGTTGTGTCCCTTGGTGTCACCTTGTTCCAGCAGGAGTTTTTGTGTGTTTCTTATGATCAAAGCCTGTGTATTAAAATGGCCACCACAAATGTTCAATGATTATTTTGGCCATAAGATGTAGGGCTCCCTCTGCTGACTGGCTGCAGTACACAAATGTGCCTCTGGGACCAGAGCAAATTTAGGTGCATTACTTGGAAACTGGCAGTGTCAGTAAGTAGATGGTTTGTGCACCAAAATAATTACCATGCAACGGTCAATAAATGAAATGATGTAGCTATTGGTTTGTGTATTCATTTCCATTTGCAGAGCGGGGTAAGGGGGTGTCCAACAGGGCTTCGGCTGTAAATATTAACCTGAAAGTCAGGTAAGCTCAGGTAAGTTCCTTGTAGCACGGAGTGGGCAAGGTTATTGTCAGTTAATGTTAGCTTGCTAATGTTAGCTTTGATTACATACAGTAATATTGTGAGTTCATAGGAGTCATAACACAGAAGAGTGTCGAAGAAGAAGCAGCAGCTGCTTGTGAGCTTGCTGCAACAGCCCTCTTGGAGATAATTGGGCATGTTTAACAACAGCGTTAGAACTTGAGCCCTTCCAGTTACATTTTAATCTTCTTACTTATATAAAAAAAATTATATTCAGTTCTGTTACTTACAATTTATTAAAAGAAGTATACTTCAAAATAAAAGCATAGTTTTTCAAGTCACGGATTGCAGGCCTGCAGCCATGGCACAGGAGAGCACTAGAAACTGGTCACCAAATTATACCATTTACCGCAAGAACTTACTACCTGATCTTCAGCTTTGGGTCGCACCAGCTATGCATGAGTTCAAACTTGGACAAATTTGAACCTAAATTCTGGTTAAAGATGGAGTTTACGCTTCATAAATGCTGTTGAACCAGCTGAGATAGCTGCAATAAGTTTTCCACAATAGATTAAGTCAGTCAAGAACAAAGTAACACATATCTTTACTCCTGCTGTCAGTTTCTTTGTGCAGAGACCTGCATCGAGTACCATAATTCTATCATAATGTAGCTGACGCGTCATTCAGTGTTCATGATATCCCAAGATGCTGAACAAAGAAGGTTGGTCTAGACCATTCTCTTATGTACAAAAGACCCAATGGGATAAGGCTAAGCCCCATCTTGTAAGGTCAGTCCCACTCCCATACTATCTTTAATCACATGAGTGTAGCACTTAGCAGCCTTTAGCAAGTTTCAGTGGAGAGGAAAAACTTCCTTTAACAGACAGAAACCCCGAGCAGAGTCAGATTCATGTTACACTCATCTGATGCTACTGCACTGGGTTTCGAAGTCAGATAGAGAGAGATGGACAGAGGTGAGACTGATGGATGTAGATGAAGCAACAAAACGTCTGCAGCAGCGATCGAGAGGAACTTACAGCATGATGGAGCTACAAGTGGTCTACAAGTGAAGATTGACCTTAAGTCATTATGGTGCAGCCAAACGAATTAACTTAAACAGCAACCAAACTAGTTTCGGTGTATGGGTTAACTTAAGACACACTTATGCAAAGCTGGTGCAACAGGCCACAGGGCTTTTTGAGGTGTATGTCAAACCTGCTTGATATCATCTCAAGAATAGTGCTTCAGTGTGGCCAATGCTAATGATTTCAAATACTTTACCTCCTTCCTGACACCCTTTGGGACTTCACATAAGCCTGTTTGACGATCCAGATATTTAGAGATTTTGCCTCTGGAGGTTTGCATATGTCCACCTCAGGATGTGAGCCTAGCTCAAAAATTCTCAGCCTCTAAAAGAAAACCTTTAACCACAATCATCATTGATAAGCTTTATTTTAAGATAAAATAAGAACTTTATTTATCCCCGAAGGGAAATTCAATTGTCAGTAGTCTCATTTGTCATGTCTCAAAAGGTCATCTACTATTTTATTTTATTTTACTTCATTTTGTATTTTTTCTTCTCTAGTTACAACTTTATTTTTGTTGTATTTTTTCATACATTTTATTAGGTTTAAAATAAATTTAATGTATTCACACTCTTAAAATGTCTTTTATTAATGATAACAAAGCTGTATTTAAGCAGAAATGAAAGTTACAGTGTTTGATTGATGATAGATTGCATAATTTTAAATGAAATGTCGCCTACTCACTTCTTAAAGCAGAGAGAAGAAAAAGCTCAAACAGTCTGCTGTGATGTCACATTATATGATATGATATGATATAGTGTAAAATGTAATGATACAACACGACTGGACATGACGTGACATGACAAAATTATATGATATGGCATGAAATGATAAATGATCTGATATATAATATGAAATCATTTGACTTGTCCTGATATGACATTTCATTATATAATATGACAGGAATTGATGCTATACGATACGGTACAGTAGGATACGATACAATATGATACGATACAATATGATACGATACAATATGATATATGATATGATATATGATATGATACAATGTGAAATATGCTCAAAACATTGAGAGGCAAAAACATCATCGAGCATTAGTGCAGTCAAGTTATAATGGAGCACATTCTGCTTTGCTATGTTTATTTAAAGGCACAGTTAGGGGATTTAAATGGTTAAGAAACAGACTAAACCTATACTAATGCCTCTTTATTACCTTCAAAGATAATTAAGACCATCAGTAACAAGGCTTACGATTTCACATCTGTAATTTTCAATGCTTCAAAACACTGTGAGGGTGTTGGTCTCAGACCAGGTTGTTAGAAACTAGCCTTTCTTAAAATATACACAGCAAATACTCACAGTAAGTGTTTGGTTTTGTTTCAGAATGATATCAGGATAAGGATTTTGTCTGAAAACACAACTTCCAGATATACAGGGCAATAGATTAGAGGGATTGCTCTGTCTACAGGGGGCGCCAATATCAATGCAAAGTTCTTCACATAAGCTTTAAATAACATTGTTTACAATGGCTTTTAAATTACATCACTCCCCCTCTTTTCTATTTTTTTAAATTTGATATTTCAATAAAACTTGTGCTGCAGGCACATACATACCCCTGTTTGTCTGTCAGTGTTCAGACTCCATGGATAGTCCTACAGGGGGAGGAAGTCATCACCTAAGTGGTACATGGAAGATGAAGAGAAAAGGCATTTTTATGGGGGGGTTAAATGCAAATGGGTTCTGCTGGTTTAGGAAAAAAAAACTCAAATGTTCAGAAAAGCAAAAATTTGAAATGGCAAAAATGGCAAACCACACCGTAGTGCCTTATAAATAAATCACCAAACTTCTAGCTAACTCCTTACTTTAGATCATTTTTATCTGCTGTGGCAGGATGAACCAGAGAATTAACAACCATTTGCTGTGGTTAGTAGTTACCACAGTCTGAGATGAAGTATGGAGGGATTGGAGAAGTGAACATGTTTATGTGAAGAATATTTCTGAGAAAAAGCCATAAAATTCACTAAGAGCCACACAGGAGGAAACAAAGATGTCAAATTGTCAGCTTTCATTTATTAAAATTTAAATAAGACCCTTTCTCTGATTATTATTATTTATTTATTTTTTTTTGTGGGCTAAATTGTTTGAGTATCACACTTTTTAGTTGAACTGTGACATTTTAGTTTGAGTTTCTTTCATTGATCTGATTGTACAAATCTTGAAGCCTGAAGATTTAGTGAGACTGCAGAACACAAATAGTGTTGAATGAAACTGGTTTATCGAACTCAAATCAATCCAACAGAAAATAACAGGTTTTTTTTTTAAAAAGATAATTAGATTGTAAATCAACCCCAACATGCTATTGTGACTACATTTACTATGAGGGATGCCATTATTATTGGCATAATAAGGCTGTTGGCTAGAAAACAGCTTAAAAAGTTATTTCTGCAAATAAGAATATAGGATAAAGTGTATGTTACTTATGTGCCACAGACGACAACAAACACACGCAAACAACAAGCTTCATCATATCAGCTGTATTTAAGTATCTTAAGGTGTCAGACAAACACATTACCGAAAGTCTATGTTTGAAAAATAGTTTATGTATCATTTATGGAATTAAATGATATTCTTAGGCATTTTGACATGTAAAACAAAAAGACTTTATAACAAAAGTTATAGGTATATTCAAACGTGAGGGAGACAGAATGAAGAAGATAAGAATAGGTATCAATATAGATATCTATATCACCTTGCACTTTATACTATCTATGTTCTTGTTTGTTATTTTATTATTGTTATTGTTATTGTTATTATTATCATTATTGTTACTTTTATTATTATTGTTTTTGTTATTATTGGTATCATTTAAAAGGCTGACTGGAGTGATAATATGAACCTGTCAATTACTAAATTAAAAAAGTAATAAGACGTGAAACAGGAAAGTGCACAAGCAAAAGGGCTGTGTATGAAAGAAAGTTATCACTAACTCACCGTTGTAGATGTTGCAGATTAAAAATTTGTACTTACATCGGACACAGTGTGACAGAATATATCTGTCCCGGACGGTAGCAACAGGCCAACAGTATTTAGGAGACAGACAGGGACACCACTAGAGTTATATGAGGCCTGTAACTCTGGACCAGTTAGATTTTATTCGTCATTGGTCCATCCGGGTACTTTATTTTTTGATTGACAGTTGCCATGGCAACAAGCTAGAGCATCGCCATTTTGTCAGGAGGGTTTTTTTTTCCCAGCTACAGTCTTTTCAAATGTTCTCCCTTCCCGCCGGAATAATGCTGTCAGTGGATATATATTTGACGTTTTTGGATATCGAATCGCGTCTGGTGGATCGGATTAAGAAGATGAAAAGGCCGGCGTTGTAACAGAGTTGAAATAATTAGGCGGCGCCGCACTAACTCGGTTGTCCGCGTCTCTGGTCCACCGGGCCGGTTCACTGCGCAGGTTTGGACCGCGCGCCATTTTGTGAAAATTGACACAAAATTCCTAACCAAAATTATCAGAGGACACGGATTCCGCTTCATGTTTGAAATACTCCGGATTTAACCGCGCTGTCGCATTTATCGAAGCGGCCGACGCTAAATCCGCAAAGACGTCGTAAAACCCGAATTTGGCTTAACGTTTATTTAACGGCAGCTAGAATCGTTAGCTCGAGGCTAGCCAGAGAAGCTAACAAGCTAGCCAGGGCAGGTAGCTAGCCAGTCCGCTAAGGTTAGCTAGTAAGTTATGCGTGCTAGTTAACGTTAGCATGCTGCTAGTCATCAGCTGATAGGTTAGGCAAAGTTGCTTCGATCGTCAATGATGTTAATCAACGCTCGGGATATGATTGTTTTAAATCTGGTTGGCGAATAATTTTAAGAGTTTGCCGATCAGAGGACAGGGGGGATTGGATTTATCGTTAACATTACTGTGCAGGGAGGGGAGAATCTCAAGCTGGATAAGTTTCCTCATCATACAGGTTATTGGACTTTAAATGAAGATCGTGCCATCAGAGGTAAGCAAGTGTGGAAATCCCTCTTTGGCGTTCAGGTACATGTGGAGGTGTATTTTATGTAACAGGATGGTTAACAATGATGGACGCGGCGGTGAAGTTGGGGATGGTAGCCGATGGTGTGGCGGCTAGCTAACATTTTGCAGACTTCACTGATGCCAGCGTTAATATTCATCTCCAGTCAGTAGGTCAGCGGACTCGTGTTAATGTTAGGCAGGGGCAGGTTGTTGTGGGCTTTATCGAAGAGTCATGCTGGCTGAGCTAAGACGCTGTCATTGTACGATTAAAGCAGATGTAGCCGCGTTAGCCAGGAGGTCCGCTTGGTTCGCTACAATGCGGGGTTTATTACTGTGTTAGTTTAGACTTAAACAGCACCTGGCTAAAGCCTGGTTGCTAACTCGGCTAATGGTTAACGTTGACTTGTTGACGAACCAGCTGAATGGGCCCCACAACCCGCTGGCTGAGCACAGCGTCACCAGCTAACGTTAACGTCGGATTGGTGAGAGATATGCTCGCTTGTCCCGCAGTTTTCAGGGTAACGTTAACGACGACAGCGTTAGCCTGTTAGACTGCTACGTTTGCCATTTATAAGAGGGAATTGGTGGCACACACGGACGATATGTAGCAAGAGAGGACGCGAATTACCACTGAATATGCTTTCTAAATCCCAACCATGACGAGATCTACCCCATCATCTGTAAGTACAGAGCCGCTCGGGCACGTTAGGTGTTTTAATTGTTTTGGATGGGTTACATTTGATTCGGCTCCGGGAAAGGATCTAATCATCTGGGCGTGAGAAGATGACTTAAATGCGCGTTAAAGACTTATGATATGTTACAGCTACGAAGAGCAAGCTAGCTGTCGTTATATTTACACCTAAATGGGCCCGTTGATGCCGCGATGAGCAGAGCCAGGAAAGGAACTGTTCATATGTCAGTACTGAAAATGAAGAATAATCAAACGTTTAGGGAGCTACAAGTGCGCTAGTAAAATAGCATTGTGTAAAAATACAGCTTGGATTTTCCCTCTACGGTTTAGGAATTAAGAAAAAAGGCCAAATTCACCCTATATATATGCAAGTCTGATGTCAGGTATTTTTGCAAAATGGGCTCAAACTAAACTTTTGCAGCTATTTTAAATTTGCATACACATTTTTAGTAATTTCATCCTGTTTTAGTAAGCATATTACACAGATTTAAATCCAATATTTATATATTTGTAGAATATCCTGATTGTGCAGAACACTATTAATCCTGACTGGTTTTGTCAGGTGTTAAAATCTGGGCCTCCTAAAGTATGAACAGTTTTACATGAGCCTCATACAGATATACATTTCTCTTTCCTACTGATCAACAAGCAGCATAACAACAAATAGATACAAAAGTTCTAGTATTTATATCAGGAGCACTTAAAGTTTGGGGGTGTCCTCTGTTCTTTACGAGGCCTTTTGACCCCCTTTCCTAACAAAACTTAAACCACCATGAAGTGAAATCCCCACCAGAGATGCACAATGATCATAATCTGTTTTTATTCTTTGTAGTGGGTTGTGGTTTGCTGCTGGACTCTCCTCCCAGGATGATATGAAATTTTACAGGAGATGATGCATCCAGGTTAGCTGCTATACATTAAGCCTTAACCCTTTGATGGGAAGTGGTGAAACTAACACTGATTTTGCTGTTTTCAATCTGACATCCTTGCTCGCAAGTATTAGGACATTACGAAGTTGGAAACTGTCAATATTAGATATTAAACCTTAATTTAAAACAATTAATAAAGCATGTAAAATTCTCTTAAATGCAGACTTTTTATGCTGTTAAAAAGTCTAGCTAAATTGCCTAACATTATTTCTATAAGCTCCTAGCTGACCACACAGGAAACTAGACTGTCTAGTCATCTTGACAAACCAGTCATATTATTGTGACAAGTGCTTTAAATCTAATATATGTATAAAAAGATTAAACTAATTGGATTCAGGCTTATCAAATTTAGCTTAATGAGTTTTTCTCTGAACAGTAGAGAAAAATACATTCATGAAACATCAGGTTTGTTTCAATCAGTATAAAAAATATTTTCACTTATAAAGAATATACATTTTTTTAGATACTTAAATCACAAATATAAACTGAAAATTTATATTTGATTTTTTAAAAATATAAAGAGTAAAGCAGAGACTGTCGTTGCTTGAAATAAAGCCTTTGCCTGTGCTCTATCATCTTACAGTTCCTCTTATTTCTGTCAGTGGATGTGTATTTTTTCCTTTTCCAAAGCTGGGTCAGCTTTCTAATGCTCTTAGATGGAGTGCAGGTTTTGGGCTGTGCAGCTATTTTGCTGTCAGGCTCTTGTGTTGAAAGCAGCGTCTAAGTGTGCCAAAGTTCAATTTTATTTCTTGTTTATTTCTTGTTTTCTCATTGGAAAATGGGAGCAGCTCTGCCCTGGCAACAAAAGTAGGCTATTTGCATACTGCGTTGTGATTGGTCTGTGCATTGATGGGCTTGCCAAATCACGCTGTATCTCTGTGGTGATAGGCTATGCTAATTAGGTGCTGTTGCTGGGATTCTGAATAGTGGTTACTGTGTAGCACTGGTGAATTGTGTTGTCTGGTGAGAGATGCTGATAGCTGAACATGCTATTTGATAATTTTTTGATTCCTTCTGGCTTAAAATGAAGGATGATTCACTGTATTGTGTGGAGATGCTTTCTTTTCACTGCTTTTCTCTGTTAAACCTGCTGTTTTACTCCTTTTTATTCACAAAGGTTGATATATTCCTTCTATCCTTGAATTTGTGGTTATCCTTTGATGCATTTTTTTGACTTTACATGTCAAACAAAAGACACTATGCATTAACCTGACAATTATTTTCATAATAAATTAATTGTTGATATTTTCTTAACATTTTATGGTCTTTTTTGTCTGTTAAAGTATGAACTTGATAGTTTTAACTTGCCTGTATAAATTACAAATGCACTATTTGCATTTTGCATGTGAATAATTGTTTATTCTTAAGGCAAATTGAGACATTTTCATGTAAAGAAAATCCTTGCTGGTTTGATTGAGCTGCTTTAAAGCATGTATGTGTTTGATCTGTACAATAAGTAGCAAATTTACTAATCTTTTTTTGTTTTATGGGCTGAACATCTCTAATGTGTGAGATTATATACAGCTGTGTTACTTTCACACTATGCTCCTCTTTTTTGTGCTTTTGTTAAATGCAATATTGAATAAAGGTAACGTGCTTATGGCCATGTTAATTTCTTCCAGGAGGAGAGACTTCAGCATGCAAACCTTCGTCCGTCCGGCTTGCGCCCTCTTTTTCTTTACACACTGCTGGTCTTCAGATGGCTGCTCCAATGCCCCATACGCACCAGCAGTACAGTGACCGCCACCAGCCAAGCACTGACCAATCTGTTACGGTCTTACCGTACAGCGACCAGACACCACAGCTCACTGCCAATCAGGTACACCTACCCTGCCCTACCACTGATGTTAGATTTCTTCTAGTCTGGATATGCAAGTGTTAGGAGGATTGTTGTACTTAATGTGATATGAAAGTGTACTTCCCTTTTTTGCTGCTGTCACCAGGCAGAGTAGCTGCTTGTCAAATGTTCATTCAGTGCAGCCATTTAATATTGTGCAAAATATATTGTATGAATGGCCTCTTAGATTTTGGAGCTCCTATTTAGCAAAGCCCCTGTTGCATTGGAAAGCGCTGTGCATATTGTTTGTAAATTAAATGCCGTGATTTTTTTCTTTTAAATACTACAGAGGCACATGCCCCAGTGCTTTCGTGACCCAACTTCAGCTCCCCTGAGGAAGCTCTCCATTGACCTTATCAAAACATACAAACACATCAATGAGGTTAGTTCTGTTTTATTTAATGTATCCGTCCATATCATCTGTGAATTTAAGTTGAATGCTGGATGCTTTTCCTTTACAGTGATGATAAGGAGTGTCTCATTGTTACTTTCTAGGTGTATTATGCAAAAAAGAAGCGACGGCACCAACAGGGTCAGGGTGAAGACTCCAGTCACAAAAAAGAGAGGAAGGTCTTTAATGATGGCTATGACGATGATAACTATGACTACATCGTCAAGAATGGGGAGAAGTGGATGGACCGCTATGAGATTGATTCCTTGATAGGAAAAGGATCATTTGGACAGGTGTGTAATTATAAACTGAAGCCACACAGACACTGATTAGTTTGTGAAAATGTTCTTAATTTTTTTTTTTTTTAGAGGAAAAAATGTGTCTTTTAATTTAGCTTTCTACACATAACCTGAAGACATTTAAAGCCTCTTATTGAGGATTTTTCTTGTGCTGTTGGTGTTTGACCTCTTGATTGTTACTATGAACCAAAAGGCCTATTATCAATGAGAGACATTAAAGTTAGATATTTCTCTTCCTTTTTTTTAAATTTATTTTTGCATCTTTAGGTCGTGAAAGCATATGACCGTGCCGAGCAGGAATGGGTTGCCATTAAGATCATCAAGAACAAGAAAGCTTTCCTCAATCAAGCCCAGATTGAAGTGCGCCTCCTAGAGCTCATGAACAAACATGATACTGAGATGAAATACTACATCGGTAATCAACCCTCTTAAGTTTACCTCTGGTCCTACAAGATGAAAAAAGTATAGAGAAGACCTTTCACTTACATGGCTTTAAATTTCGTTTTCCACAGTTCACCTAAAGCGTCACTTCATGTTCCGGAACCACCTCTGCCTCGTGTTTGAGATGCTTTCATATAACCTGTACGACCTACTTCGAAACACCAACTTCCGTGGCGTCTCGCTCAACCTCACTCGGAAGTTTGCCCAGCAGCTATGCACGGCGCTGCTCTTCCTGGCCACGCCTGAGCTCAGCATCATCCACTGTGACCTGAAGCCCGAGAACATCCTCCTCTGTAACCCCAAGAGGAGTGCCATCAAAATAGTGGACTTTGGCAGCTCATGCCAACTGGGACAAAGGGTATCTTGCTGCACTTTTTCCTTATCAGCAATAAACTGAATGTATGGAAGAATGTCCCTGTGAAGTCAATGATAGTTACTGCCTGTTTATATTAGGTGGTAGGAAAAGGAAACTCAGACTTGGGCGGCAAATGAGAGAATGGTTGTGCTTTCTTTTTGTAGATATACCAATATATCCAGAGTCGCTTCTACCGTTCCCCAGAGGTGCTGCTGGGAATGCCCTATGACCTGGCCATCGACATGTGGTCCTTAGGCTGCATTTTGGTAGAGATGCACACTGGAGAGCCTCTTTTCAGTGGAGCCAACGAGGTAAAAAAAGAATGAACTCTTCAGAGATGGTCCTATGTTGTGTCTTAAAACATGATTGAGAATTTAAATGGCCCAATAGAAGTGACAGTTCCCAACTTTTCACCTGACGCCTGCATGATATGCCGTTTCTAGCAGATTTCAAGCTTGAACTCAAGTAGTTAACAAGCTTGAAATTGTATCTGATGCTCATTTTTAAAAACTAAGATCTGTTGTCTTCTGTTGTTGCAGCCATTTGTCTCCAGCTTCAGTTTACAAGATTCCATAAAAAAGATTGTATTTGACATGGGTGTGAAACTGTATTCAGTTTGGAAGGCAATGAGCAGATATTCAGTATGATTATTAAAACTTAATTTGTGATTTCATTCCTAGGTGGACCAGATGAACAAAATAGTTGAGGTTCTTGGTATCCCGCCTAATCACATAATGGACCTAGCCCCAAAAGCCAGGAAGTTCTTTGAGAAGCTTTCGGATGGGACATGGAGTGTTAAGAAGACCAAAGATGGCAAAAGGGTGAGCCCAAGTTTCTCCTGCAACTGAAGAAAAGTTTGTCTTGATACCACAGGGGACTTCTGATGAACAGAAGTCACTGCTGAGTAAATCTCTTAATCTTTGTGTCCTCTGACTTAAACAGTATAAGCCTCCTGCCTCACGGAAGCTCCACTCCATCCTGGGTGTGGAGACAGGGGGTCCAGGTGGCCGGCGGGCGGGGGAGTCTGGCCATGCTGTTGCTGACTACTTGAAGTTCAAGGACCTGATCCTGCGGATGTTGGACTATGACCCTAAAAGCCGCATCCAGCCCTACTATGCCCTGCAGCACAGCTTCTTCAAGAAGACTGCGGACGAGGGGACCAATACAAGCAGCAGCGTGTCGACAAGCCCCGCATTAGAGCAGTCCCAGTCTTCAGGAACCACTTCCAGCACCTCCTCGAGTTCAGGTGACTGCAGCCTGAACGCTCCGAGATGATGTGTTACTGCGCTTTATGTCAACTTAACCCTTTGCTTTGTCTGTTGTGTGTTCTTAATTGATCTGATAACATGGAAATTATCTCTTAGTCATTACTATCTGGTTAACCTGTTATCAAGACTCATTCAGAGAGTATCTTATTAAATCTTCTGGAAAGACAATCCAGACGATAATACTGGGCTATGAGCTTCAAATAGACCTCTGTACTTGGTATAGTTCATGTTGTTGCTGAGGCTGTATCGTGACACTTCTGTTCACCCTTAGGAGGGTCATCTGGGACAAGCACCAGTGGCAGAGCGAGATCAGACCCTACCCATCACCACTTGCACAGTGGAGGACACTTCGGCACGGCCTTGCCTGCCATTGATGGTGACAGCCTCTGCCCACAGGTCAGTAAGTTGCCCAGAATGGAAATACATGATATATTAGAGCATTTTGTCTCACACAGCATGGGCACTGCAGCTGTTTTCTTTGCTTTTTAAATTGATAGAAATATTATCTCAACTAGTGAAGGGGAAATACTTCTCTCTTTGATTTGTCCAAATATTTTGGCGGGCAGGTTTCTGAAGAACTTGTCTTCTCTGGCGCTATGTCAACTCATAAATTATTCCCTTGTGTCATCAGAAATGAAGTACCTCTCAGTGTTATGGAGTGAAGATCAGATGGTCTTTGTTTAATCTTACAGTGATTTAAAAATGAAACAGATGTAAAACCCCTTCACTGCAGAAACTTGACATCATTTCTGACTCTTTGTCTACTTACCATTGACAGGCAAGACAGCCTTACCCACCTCCGCTGGTGTGGGGAGGTGGCGTAGGACCAGAGTCAGTCACTGGAGAGACCCACCCAGTCCAGGAGACCACCTTCCATGTTCCCCCTCAGCACCCTAAGGCCCTGCATCCCCACTCACATACTCATCACCACCACGGGCAGATGATGGCCACACGGCCACGCCCACGCCACTACACCTCCCCGACACACAGCTCCTCGACACAGGACTCCATGGAGGTGGTTCATGGCCATCTGTCCATGACCTCCCTGTCTTCCTCTGCCTCCTCTTCCTCTACATCGTCCTCTTCCACTGGGAACCATGGCAACCAGGCCTACCAGCTCCGCCATTTGCCCGCCGGAGCCCTTGACTTTGGTCAGAACGGTGGGCTGAGCATGGGGCTAGGTGCCTTCTCGAACCCACGGCAGGAGACTGGCATGGCAGCGCACCCTGCATTCTCCATGGGCTCGAACACAGGGCCCGCCCACTACCTAGCGGAGGGCCACCTGGGCATGAGGCAGGGCATGGACCGGGAGGAGTCTCCAATGACTGGAGTGTGTGTGCAGCAGAGTTCAATGGCCAGCTCGTGACTGCACTGACATTTGGCTGTGTGTTCCCCCCTGTGCGTCATTTTTAAGGTGGTGTTTTTTACTACAAGGTGTGTTGAGAACAAAAGCTGCTCACGTCAGAAGGGAGATATCACTGAACCGCTACTACAGAGAAAAACCTTTGTTAAAAAGTATATATGTAATTTTCATCAGTTTTTCTTTTGCAATCATTAGGCACAAAATAATACTGCGGAATAACCATAGTGAGATTGAGACTTCCATCTTACCATTTCACCAGTTTCATGTAACCACCAAGTAATCACCATATGGTATTATGTGGCAAAATCTTCTAAGGAGCATTTCAGAGCAAAGTTTGAAGCTGTTTCGCAGGTAGCTGTTGGTGATGAAATGCTTGGCGTCCTCTTTCGGTTCAAACAGTGGACTGCCTGACATTACTGTTCCACTGGTTCTTAATTACTTTGCCCTTTTTAAGTGAAATTTCTCGTAAAAAGCTGCTTGTAAATCCTGTAGCTTGACAATGAGGGGGAGTGTTTGCGGTGATATTTCTTGTTGTTGGTCGGTATTGTGTAACTCTTGTCAAAGGGGAGCACATAAGCAGTGGAGTCCCTATAGCGTGCGCTGGCCGGGTGGAGGAGGAGACCCCACAGGTGGATGCTGACACCAACCGGGTCAGAGGAGAGGGAGACACCACCCCTCAGGCCTTGAGGCCCCGGTGGTCCTGCAAGCTGCAACCGGGCCCGGCACAGAGGAGAGCAGCGAGGGGCGCGGGAGACGAAAGGATCCAGCCCAGTGAGAGGAAGACAGTCAGCGGCTGGTTCTAGATAACCCTTTGGCCTTATGACTCATGGACTTGGAATGGGATGGAGCTGGACATTATCATTTGAATTAAGATGGCTTTTCTCTATTTTTCTCTCTAGACAGCCCTTAATTCTTAAAGGAAATTAAAACAACTTAGAAAAGGTAAATAAGAATGGTAATTTGAGGCCTTTCTCGACAAAGATTTCTTCTTCAGCAGGGCCCCACATAACAGGGTCTTATTGTACACAACAACCTCCTAAACATTACTTCCTTGAAAATCTTATTCACTGGTTAAGGATTTTGCAGTGGAAAGAACTATCTATTCCAGAGTCTACCCTTTTATGTTTCGTTATTTTTCCCTTTTGCATGTAGTTCCTCATCAGAACCACCTGCACAAGTCTCTCCATCCAAAACATGGAAACTGAAGAAAAAAATGAGTTTAGTGACTGCCTTTTTTCTCCTCAAATTATGCTGTGAATTTTACAAGAATTTATTTTCCCTTTGGATATGTTTTTATACCAAAGCAGTTGTTTTATAGCATATAGGTGTCTGTAACCAATAATGTAGCAGTTCACCACTTTGACGCAAAGTTTATCAAGATCTTATTTTAACGTCAATACAAACAGCTGCAATATATTACTTTAGCAAAACTGGAGACCGTTGTTGAGACCGTTGGCTATTGTGTATTCTGGCCAGATTTGTTTGCAACGTTTTACCAAAACTGTTTCCATATTAATTGGTAGATTATTTTGGGAGTCTTTTAAAACTTTGGTATGTTAGAGAATTTGGTAGTTACTCTGCAGGCTCCGGAGTAGCAAGATAGAAGCTGATGGTTTAAAAAAAGGAGACTAATGCGTTCTATTTCTGTGTCGTCGTTTTTCTTTTGCCCCCATCATACTATTTCAAAGGGTTTTGCTGCCTTTCATACATCATTTGGTCAACTTGGCTAGTTTCTGCCGTGAAGCAAGACTTAATGTCATCATCCTGGCAGGGTAAGGATAATTGTGGCAAGTCAGTTTGTGTTGAATGGTATTTTTCTGATTTGGTAGGGCAGATCCCCCATGATTGTTGTCCTATTCAAAGGGAAAGGGTGTTCATCAGCCCACGATCACATGCTTTGCCCAGGCAGACCTGCATGTCCTCAAAACATTACAGTCAACCAGATTTTTTTTTTATATCAGGGATTTTGAAGTGCTTTCTTTCTTCTGTTGCTCATTTTACCAGTTTTGAAATTAGAAAAAAAAAAAAAACCTGCCCACAGCCACCTTTCAGACGAAGGGCAGGCCACAGGTCATGCTGTTGCCATTTATAAGGAGAAACCATCGTAAGAAATCATGCTTGGTATTTCCACAAACAAATGTAAAGCTACCTATATTGAGATTGGGGTTTTATCTGGATGTCAAGGTTAATTGCAAATTTGCAATCATTTTTCATACCCCGCAGAATTTGAGACATTTAGAAATTGCCAGTGGTTTTATGACTGGCACTCATACTGGTACTAAACATTCCAAAAATAAAGACTGAAAAAGAAAAAAAATTGACTGCAGTGACTCGTAAGTGTGCGCCTATTTCAGATCATGCTGATTGACCTCTTATTTAGAGCAGTTGTCATGAAATGCAGCCCCTTTTTAATAGTTGAAATAGAATTTATGTATATATTTATATTTTTTTAATAAAGGAAGTATAGAACTCACTACCTTGCTCCTGCTGGTATGTTGATTATGTTTGTCAATTTGGTGACCATTCAGTGGGCAGGAACTCCTGTTTTCTTAGTGGCAAAACCTTGCCTTTTGGCAAAGGTACTTGACTACATCAGGACAACACTATGAGGTAGGGTTTGAATCAAACAGGGAAAGCTAGATCTTCAAACCTTAATAATTTTCACAGGGTATATTGTAAGTGCATGTACATCACAAACCTTACTTTTTGGTTTTATGAGAAGCACATGGTTGAAAAAAGGTTCCATCTTTCATAAGCCTGTTGAGTTTGTGGGTTATACACAAACACGTATACTTGTTGACATATCTGAACACCCAACAGAAGTTGAAATCCTCTTATTTAATTTGGATTTATCCTTTTCATTTTTGATTTCACATTTTTTCACTTTTTTTGTACATGCAACATGCACTATAGAATTGAACAGCATGGGGGAAAGGATAAGTCCATGTATCCACAGATTGTAAGATCTAGTCAAGACTTTGCTGTGTTTATGACAATGCCCTTTGTATTATATTAAGACAGTCTTATGTATGATATATAAAAAGAAGTTAATTGAATTGCTCTGTGTGTCTTTATTCCTCCCTGACAACTCCATCTACACGAGCGTCTTTCAAGAATCATTTTCCATCCATCACAACATGATCATATCTCAAGACTGCCACATTGTTTTGACCCGTTAACATGCGGACATGCAAAAGTGTCTGCGACCCAGAACATGCAGGTAGGAATCCAGAATCGTATCTAAAGATGAGAGGCGTCACATTGTGCTGTTCTGGGATCTTATAAAACCGCGGAAGCCCTCATACAGCGATCTGGCTCGTTGGTCTAGGGGTATGATTCTCGCTTCGGGTGCGAGAGGTCCCGGGTTCAAATCCCGGACGAGCCCATCCCATTTTACTTGAGAGGGAGAAAGAAATCTCCACGTAAACAAAGGCTAGACTTAAAAATGATTATAACAGAATACACCATTTGGTACAACACTTGTCCCGGACTACCGTTTCACTTAACACGAATGTTTTATTGCAGTGTGTCATGTATTATGATGGTCTGTAGAAGTTGGTATTGCCTTTCTATTGTTAGGATCTCACAACTATTATTTTCAACAACTGTATGCAAAAGTGGGCTCGTCCGGGATTTGAACCCGGGACCTCTCGCACCCTAAGCGAGAATCATACCCCTAGACCAACGAGCCGGCGTGGAAGAGAGAGATCTAGTTTTGTTATCAAACATCATGAAAACAACGATCAGAATGAGCTACGTAATTCGGTACCAGCTAGAATACTTCACGGAAATTCATAGTTGCATTTTCTGTTTTGGATCCATTATAGTCCCAGCTGTGTGGACTCGAAAGGTTGAAAACGGAACTGATCACTATGGTGCTAAACTGTTAGCTTGCAGGTGCTAGCCTTGTTGTATGTCAGTCAGTAGAGGGCAGCAGAGCACGTAGAGGAGCGTCTGTGTGCGCATTTACTGACGACGACGAAAAATGTGTCTGACTCTCCTTTGATTGGTCGATGGATCGGACGCTTCACCACGATAGACCAATAGTTTTGCGTCATTGGTAGTGTACGGCCAATCAGCATTTATATGGGCGGGATGTAGTCTTGCAAAATAATCTCCCCCAAATTCAACCGTTGTAAATTTGCTGTCTACCTCAGACAACACAACGCAATAAGTGTTTGTGGACATACATTCCCGACTTTATTTTGAGTCATATAAGTTGTTTGTCAACAGCAGAAAACGACAGGTAGGCTCGTCGATGGTAATAGCACGCTAAAGTCAACAAAGCTAATCACTTTAGCTTGAACCATGCCGAATTTTTGCGCGGCCCCAAACTGTACACGGAAGAGCACCCAGTCAGATTTGGCTTTTTTTCGGTTTCCAAGGGACCCAGAGAGGTAAGACCCCGAAATAAAGCTAAAAAGGTCCATCAAAATCAAGTTACTTATCATTCTCACGTAGCATGACTGAGAAATTGGACAATCTCGGCACTAGTGTGAGTACGATGTTTGTATAAGAAAGTTTTGACATGTTCTGCAGCTTATGGCCTCACATTTAACCCTAGAACACTATCGGTAAAATTAGTAGCACCATCACTATCGCCGGGTGATTTTTACCCGAAATAATATACCCAAGAAAAAGTATTTGTCATCAAAATAGGACAATACATGACAAATTAAAGTAGTTTTCTTTTATTTCTAACTGTGCAATGTCCAAAGGGAGGGGAAAAGGTGCAATGGGGGGGACCATATAAAAATGCAACAAAATAACAGAAATTAGGCATTCAAGAATAAAAAATACAGAGAAAGACTGTAAACTAAGTTTCTTTTCCACCTAGTAGATAGTAGATAACTTTTAGAGACATATTATGTGAGACAACAGACAATTGAATTTCCATTCGGGGATTAATAAAGTTATTTTTATTCGTATTCTTGTTATTCTTATTCCTGGGACATGTGAGTCTTTCCTGGTAAAGACTCAGGGTCCTTGGCACAATAACAGCTGCAGGAGAGAGAACCAAAATATGGCAGATTTTGAGTGAGTAAAAATGACCAGCTGACTAAAATATTTCAGCATGCAAATGCAAATACTTTACCCTCTATCACTATTTCTGGGTGAAAATCACCCGAACCTGTAAGAAAAAGCAGGTTTTGATCAGGGAAACAAATATGCCTTCAGAGATGTCAAAGGTAATGCTGAAGCTACCCAGGGACCCATGATACTCAGACAAACACAACACAATAAAAATCATGTAAACATGTTTGGTCGTGTGAAAATCACCCAGCGATAGTGTTCTATGGTTAATATATATTGTGGCCTTGTTTTAAATTCATGATCATTTTACCAAAACCCAGGAATAGATGATGTAGTCAACCTATGCTCACCTAACCAAACATCAGTGTTTTAATGTCCTATCAGTGCTTTAGGGCAGACAGGCTTAAGGTTTTATTTTTTAATCATATTATGATAGCCTTTGTTTTAAGGATGTATTTTTTTATTATTGAGTGCTGCAAATATGTATAATTTTCCCCACTTTAAATGTCAGTACACCCCCATAATGTTTTACTTCAGGTCTTAACCTTTAAAAAAAACTGAAGATTGATACTGTGTCAAAATTCGCAGAAGTACAATATTAGTCACTCTATTGTCTCTCTCAACATTACATTACATTCAAGCATTTATTTTAACACTCTTTCAAATTTCATGCTTTCCCAGATGCAGAATCTGGGTAGAGAACTGCCGCAGGGCCGATCTTGAGGCGAAAACAGCAGACCAGCTAAACAAACACTATAGGTTATGTGCCAAACACTTTGACCCTGCCATGGTGTGCAAAACAGTAAGTATCACACCTTTCTCTCCAGCCTGGCTGTATGTGTCTTCCCATTTTACAAAAATGTGAGTCACCCATGATCACTGATTTTACGTTCTTATTTTCAGAGCCCTTACAGGACTGTGTTGAAAGATACAGCTATTCCTACTATATTTGATTTGACAAGCCATCTCAAAAATCCTCATACCAGGCATCGCAAGCGGATTAAAGAACTCGTAAGAAAAACTTTTTGTCACTGCTTTTGTAATAGATAGTTTAACCATATGTTGTCCAAGTTTTTAGTGTAAACTTCTATTTTTTATTGTAGACTGAGGAGGATATCAGGAAGATTAAAGAAAGGAGATGTGAGTAAACGACTTTGCATATACAAAAAAGGAGTTTAGTTACAACATGCACACTTGCAACATACCCTCTCATCTGTATTATGATTTGTTTTCTTTTAGTGGCATCTTCTATCGAACAGCTTGTTTCCAAAAAAGATTCAGCTGAGGATGGCACAGGCACCAATGAAGATGAACCTCAACTGTCCACAGAGGAGAAAGAGTTACGTGAATACCTGAAGTCCTTATTTGAGGTTGTGGTTATGTTCGGGAAACAGAGCATCCCCTTGGTGGCTGACAAAGCATCCGCCGGTGGACTCAACAACTTCCAGGCCCTCCTTGATTACAGGATGAATGCTGGAGATGAAGCTTTGAGGAAGCGGTTTGTGGCAACAGCTGTGAACACAGAGTACCTGTCTGCAACCCAGCAGAGCCAGCTCCTGGATATCTGTGAGAACACGGTAAGGGAGGAGATGCTGATGGAAGTGCGAGAGAGTCGCTTCTTCTCCCTGGTGACAGGTGACCTTGTTGAGTTCGCCAATGAGAAGCACATGCCTCTCTTTTTGCGCTTTGTGAATCAGCAGAACGTCCTTCGAGAGGAGTTTTTAGACTTCATGTCTTTTGAAGGCGATGAGGCTGCGCTGGTGGAAAGGCTGGAGGCCCACCTGACTGACCGCTGGAGTCTAAGCATGGAGGACTGCCGCGGTCAGGCCCACAAGGCGACCGGTTCCTCCACCACCAAAATGAAGGCGGTGGCAGTGCTACTGATGGAGAAGTATCCTCTTGCCCTGCACATGGCATGCTCTCAAATGGCCTTGAATATCCACCTATCAAACAACCTGCCTTTTCCTAATGTCCAGATCGTCATGGAGACTCTAAGGAAGATTGGTTCTTTCTTTAAAGCCCCTCATACCCAGGATGAACTTGAGAAAGCCATCTGTACCCACTACCAGAAAAATGAAGAGAAGATAGCGTTGCTTAAACAAGCTTGTGTTCCAGGATGGACTGAGCAGCACAGTGTCTTTGACGAGCTGCTTGACATGTTGCCCCCCCTATTGTTGTGCATGGACAGCATTCGAGAAAACGAGGAAGGAAAGTTTTCTGATACCACGACAGCAAATGCTTACTCAATCTCAGAAATTCTGGCTGATTTTGAGATCGTAGTCACTGTTGTCATCCTGAAAAATGTCCTCACTTTCACCAGAGCGTTTGGAAGGAATCTCCAAGGAGAAACACTCGATGTTTTCTTTGCTGCAAACAGTCTAACCGCTGTGCTGCACTCACTAAATGAGGTCAATGACAACATCGATGTGTACCATGAATTCTGGTTTGAGGAGGCTGTGAGTGTGGCCAGTGTCATGAATATTCCCCTAACAGTTCCAAGGTTGTTTCTACGGAAGCAGCGTGCAGCCGACGTGGGTGAGATACAAGCAGAGTCATACTATAAGGAGTATGTGACCGTCCCAATTATTCACGGCATCATGCAGGAAGTAGAGGACATGTTCTCTGAGACCAACCTCAAAGCTCTCAAGTGCTTATCCCTGGTCCCAGCTGTTATGGGCCAAATGAAGTTCAACACCACCGAGGAGAACTATGCGGATGTGTACCGCAACGACCTCCCCAACCCTGACACTCTCCCCGCAGAGCTTCACTGCTGGAGAATTAAGTGGAAGCACCGAGGCAAAGAGGTGCGCCTGCCCACCACCATCCACGAAACCCTCCAGCTGCCGGACGTGAAGTTCTTCCCCAACGTGAACTCCTTCCTCAAGGTGCTGTCCACCCTGCCTGTTCTGAAACTGGAGGACAACAAGGGCAACACCGCGAGCGAGCGGCTGCAGGCTTATCTCAGCAACGTGCCCGCAAAGCAGTGGAACAAAAGCCTCGCGATGCTCAACATCAACACCCACGTCAAACACGACTTGGACGTGATGGTGGACAAATATTGCAGACTGTATTCGGAGGATGATGCAGAAGCAGAAGTAGAGGCGGAGTCTGAGGAAGTGGCTGAGGAAGATGTAGAGACGAAATGAAGAGAAACGGACAATGAGCTGTGCCGTCTGTCAAAAATACACCTCCTTTGGCTCCTCACTAACCGCATTTTTCACACTAAAAGGCGCACCTGATTATAAGGCGCACCATCAATGAACGCGTCTATTATCATATATAAGGCGCACCGGATTATAAAGCGCCTTAAGCCAAACAAAACAGTCAGATAAGTCAAACTCGTTCAATAACTTTGCGAAAAGGATTTTAAGTGCGCCTTATAGTGCGAAAAATACGGTGCATTACAGTGTTTGTGCATCAGGCATAAACACCAATATTTAAATCACCTGCAAAACGAAAAAGCACATTGCATTTATTTGAGGAAAAACTGGTTTCTTGATTGGTATAATTAACTTTTATTTTATAAAAATAAATAAAAAATTAATTTGTAAATCTTGAATAGTTTTATTTTACCAGATAGCCAATTTCCTCTAATGAATGCAGTATGTATCAGTGATGGATATCTGATGAAGTTTTTATTCTCTCTGAGATTCCCAAGAATTTTGTTTTTTTGTTTGTTTTTCTCTATGTTGTAAAAGTAGTTTGTTCTGTGAATAAGTGTGTGTTTTTTTTTTCTTTTTGGAAACAAGTAGTTGAATGAAAAATTACTGAATTCTTTATGTGCGTCACCACAAAACATCCAGAGGTGAGGGGCAGTTTTAAGGGCTCACTTTGTTTGCAACTAAAAACTCAGTCCTAAACAAACAAACTTTTATAGACTTTTGGGGTATTTGTTCTTAATCAATCACATACAGCTCATTTACAGTTAGCATATATCCTACCATGTGAGCATGTTTCCCTGTGCCCACTGACAGGCAGCTCAATTTTTCTTTTCTTCTGACTGTGAGGCAGGAGGAGCACAAGAGGGAGCAATTGCACCAACATCAGCTGTGCTCCTTTATTGCTCAGAATGACGCCGCTTTTTCTTTGTGTAAATAAAATACTTCATGTAGTTAATAGGTAACAATAGTGAAATTTTGGAGTCACTGTAAGATTGAAAAGTCTGATGAAACTCAAGTTTAATGTGATAAAAAAAACCTCATGTTTTTATAAATCCTGAATTGTTCATGAAATTTTCAGAATTGACAGAAGTGTGTCAAAAATATGTTTTCAGTTTTGTAAAATAAACCTTGTAAAATGTGCAAATTTAGTTGATTTTGACTGCTTGGCATACACCACTTGTAGACATGTTTTAGTAACTGCCTTAAAATTTAAGTAAATATTTGACAAATTATCTGAAATGAACAAATGAAAACATTTCACGTAGTTAAAAGGTAACAATAGTGAAATTTTGGGGTCACTGTAAGATTGAAAAATCAGATGAAACTGATGGGTTTCCTTCAAAACAAGAAAAATCAAGTTTAATGTGATCAAGCAACTCATGTATGTTTTTATAAATCGTTAATTGTTCATGAAATTTTTAGAATTGACCGAAATGTGTCGAAAATATATGTTTTCAGTTTTGTAAAATAAACCTCTGTAGAATGTGCACATTTAGATGATTTTGACTGCTTGGCATACACCATTGTAGACATGTTTTAGTACAATTGAAGTAAATATTTGACAAATTATCTGAAATGATCACGTTAAATCATGTTAATTTGTCATTGTTGTATCTTGATTGATTGTTCTCTAATCTCTCTTTCAGTCTGCTTCATGGCTGCAGATTTCTCAGCTTCAGGAACAATAAGTTCTCCTTACATCCATTGTTTTAGGTGACATGCTCTGACATGGCAGCTCAGGGGTTAAACGCGTCTCCTCCCCCTTTGCTGGCCAGACGGTGACGAGCTCAGGTGATAGTTCACCGTGCACACTCGCGGTGCAGACCCCGGGCATCACACAAATGTGGGTGGGGTCGCTTTGATGCGCAAACCAGACAGCAATGTGCACACCACGGCAAAGCCCCCCTAAGTCCATTTAAAAACTTCCTATAAGAACAAACAGCCTGCAGGAGGAGGGACACAGAGGGAGGCGTGGGGGCTCCACTTTTCCGTAGTGCCAGTGAGGGATCCACTACAGAGAATTACATAAAGCCAAAGGAAACCCTGACTGGACAGAATCTGAGGGTGCAGGGTGAGGGACCGTGCACTTGCAAGTCTTCGAAGTCGTGAGTAGGACGTTCATTGGCATCCTCTTGGTTCTTCTCCGTGCATCTTTTCTCTCTCAGCCTCCTTGCGTTCATTCATTCATTCATCCATCATGGCATGGCCGTGCATCACGCGTGCTTGCTGCATCAACCGCTTCTGGACCGAGCTGGACAAAGCGGACATCGCAGTGCCTTTGGTTTTCACCAAGTACTCGGACGTGGCCGACGTGCAGCATCTTCCCCATCACCCGCAGCCGAGGCAGAAGAGGGCCGGTGCCATTGCCATAGAAACCGAGCCTCATCCCGGCGGCGATCAGCAGGAGGCGGCAGGGAAGGCACCGCCCGCGACGGGTGCCGCAGCGGGCAAAGATGGCTCTACTGCGTCCGTCATGCGCCAAGACTTCAAGGCGTGGAGAGTGCGTCCTGAACCCAGCTGCAAGCCCAGGAATGAGTACCAACGCTCGGCGGCTCCGTTCAACACCGAAACTCAGTATCAGAAGGATTACAAGCCTTGGCCTATACCCAAGAAGCACGACCACCCATGGATCCCCAAACCGAGCCCCACCGCCACCCCCTCTGGTGTCCCAGAGCGAAGCGCGGCGAGCGGTAAGATGGATCACGCCGAGGCCGAGACCGGCGTGGAGAAGAGCGAGATCGAGGAGAAAATTCAAGAAAAGGAAGTGAAGGAGGTGGTTAAGAAGAGTGTGAAGAGGGAAAAGTCAACAGAGAGACAAAGTGGTGAGAAGACGGAGGGACAAGTTTCTGGGGATGCGGTGAGCGCCGAGCAGAGGAAAGGCAGAGCAGCTGCTGACGCTTTAAACAGGCAGATTAAAGAGGTTATGTCGACTTCTAGTAGCTACAGGTAAGTATGAGTATCTGTGTGAGGAGGGTGATTTCTCTCTAACCAGTGAAAACAAAAAAACATGTCATCTTTGACTTATTTTATGACTTAATTGCATTCAAGTACCCCCTTCTCAGAACACCAACATCATAGTAGTCCCTGTGTGCAATATTCCTGTCCAACTGTCTGAGGAGATTTGGCACTGCATGCTCTCTCTTGTTACACTCTTCACTGTTTCCCAAAGCAAACTGATATGGCCACAGATAAAGGCCACTATTGATTTTTGTTCCTGCTTCATCCTCCCTAAGAGTACTATCAAATCAATGCTGCAGCCCATCAATGAGACAGTAAAAGGGTCCGAATGTAATCACGAGACTTAACCTGGTTTTTCTGCGCAGGCACACTCTAAATTAAACTAGGGTTCATAATAAATGCAAGCCAACATAACGCAGCGGCTGTAGTATTAAATTAATGTATGCTGTTCTAGTGACCTATATTATCGTTTATGTGTATGTTTAAGTAAACTTGACACACTGATAAACATGAATATAGCAGCGGGGTTGTGATCTGAAACAGAAATAAATGACTCATAAAACACTGGATCAGACGAACGTAAACATTAGGAAAGATAAGATTTCTCTTAGGATGTTTATTATATTTAGTCTGTATTTATAGTTTATATTTAGTATATTTAGTCTGCATTGTACATACTTCTTATATGAAATTAAATTTTATTTTGTGTTTTTTGCTGCTGTAACATAAGAATTTCCCAGCTGGGATCAATAAAGTCTATCTATCTATCTATCTATCTATCTATCTATCTATCTATCTATCTATAAATGACATGAAACCTCCCAAAAACGGCAGCTTGACCTCGTGTCCGTTAATATTTTTTATTTCATGATGAATTAAAATCCCTTAAGATTAAAAAGTTGAGGTTCATTACGAAAAAAGTTTCAGTTTAATAATTGTTACTACAAAAAAAACGACTATACGCTTAATTTTAAATGGCAGATTTTTACTGGGAGGTGACATTTCCTAATAAGTGCCCTCAAAAACGGACAACACAGAAGTGTTCATATCACTTCATATTGAGTTTTTTAAGTTGATGGAGCAGCAAAGAGTCTGTCCTGTCCACATAAACTTTATAAAATGATACATGCTGCCATCATGCAGGGCTTCAAGCTTACAGGTGAGAGAAAAAGATCACATTTTGACTTTAAAGCTAAATATAACAGTTTGCCAATAAATGAGTGAAATGAGTAGGTGAATATGATCCTGTGATATGAATCAAGTGCTCAGCAAAATCTTGCAACATAGCTCTGCACATTCTGGTGCTGAGCTTTGGTTAACATAAGACATTCAAAAGGCCAGTATGAAAGTCTGTAACTGTCAAAGCTAAATCTTAAATCACAGAAATTCCTGGACCACTTATATACCGCCCGAGATTATTCAAATTTGCTGTAAAATACCCTATTTGGCTTTTCTGTTTGTTTGTTTAGGACTGAGTTTAAAGCGTATAAAGATGTGAAACCAGTGAAGCCCATCAAAGCTCCATCTCAGTATAAACCCCCAGTGGAAGAGACCAGTCTGGAAACCAGCTACAGTGCCACATACAAGGGGGAGCAGGTGAAGACTCCGTCTGCTGACAACAAGCTGATGGAGCGCAGGAGGATACGCAGCCTGTACAGCGAGCCTGGCAAGGAACCTGCCAAGGTGAGAGCATGTCCACACACAGATCCACTGATGTAAATCTAGATCTATGGAGTACTGGTGTTTCCATTTACGACATACTCAAGTTGACTATCAAGAGGGGGTATTATGCTTTTTAAATATTTTGAAGTAGCTTGAAATGTTTGGTTTTGATACTAAATATGAGCAAAGTTTCAAACTGGGTGGTAAATATGTGTTGGATGAGATGCATGCTGATCTATAAGGTTTATTCAAAAAGCCACGTAATACCTCGATAAGGGGTCACATGAGTCTAACTCAATTTGTGACATCACAAATTGGTGAATCTCCTTAAAAGTGCACAATCAATTTAATTCTGACCAAACAGACCCCAGAGTTGGGGGTCCAGAACATCTTTCACAATTTGTCATGCCAGACAGAGCATTATGACTTTGTAGCATGGCAACAGTGGAGGAGGCTTCTGAGATGCTGGGTTTCTGGGCTTATAGAGGTGGTAGATGAAACAAAGTGCTTCAGGTGGATGCTGAAATAAGGGTTTTCAAGAACATCAGCCTGAGATACCTTGAGCTGCTTTCAGAAGGGTGACGTAAAGCCTGATAATGAGCATAGTACCCCTCTTTAACCACATGTGTAACTGGTTTATAGGCCCAGTATACCCTTGTTTTAGTACTTTAAGATTACAGCACTGTCAGTTCGGTTTTGTGTTAAACTCCTCAGTGCAAGAGCGTCTACCTTAATGTAACTTAATTTGACACTCCATCCTAGTCACAGTGTACCCTAATGGCAGCTAAAACTCACTCTACTGAAACGGCAACAAAACATAATCACAATGTCTGGACATTTTAAATGATAGCCGTGGTTGTTATTATTTGATGATGGAAATGACTCAGGAAAATGCCTGTAAACTGTTCGATAAAAGACATGTACCTACTCCTAGTTTCACCTTTGTGAAGAAGTTTTGTTATAAGGGTCACATATAGATCAAGATTTGAGCAAATGATATATTCCAACATTGATTGTTTTATTATAACTATTAGGATTATAGCAACCAGACTGACATGGTATTTATTGCATGAGTTTAGACAGTTTTAGATTACAGTGACTTTATCAAATATTTAAGTAGGCCTTAATCAGAAAGTATTCTTAACTTCGACTGATATAGATACTATTTAATATAGTGGAATATAATGATTCAGTACTTTTGGCATGCTATCAGCAGTAAAGGTATAAATTGGTAAATACTGTGTCTGTAGTCGTGTTTTCATATGGCCACTCCCTCTCTCACTCTTATAGGACGTCTCAGAGACTGAGAGCAGCTCTGTTCTAAATCTGCTGTAGTCAGGTGTGTGCTCTGTTTCTTATAGAAGGCATGGAGGCTGACCTCAGATTGATCAAATTCAAACTGGCATACTGCACACACACACACACATGCACACACATACACACACGCAGTATGCACCTCGGCCAGTATGAGCCACATTCACATGCATCACCTTAGCTGGCAGATGCAAGTCTTAAGAGAAGCCACATCCTCACTTTCTGCCCACCTCTAACTCTGCATCCCCCTCCACCCTTTTGTGCAGCTTCGTGGCTTCGAAACCTGACCATGCAGATTCTGCAGGCTTGTGCATGAGGGTGGACTAACCTATAAATGAAACAAAAATAGAGCTCAGATGATAAAGAGAGAGCAGATAAGAGAAAAAAAAACACAAGAGAATGACTCAGGGGCAGTAAAAAGAGTTTTGCAGTCTGAGTGAAGTGTATTTTGATCTGTATCTGAAAAATGTCATTTTGTTGATTTGTTTTTTTTTTTTTTAATGTTTGCACACACTGATGGCTCATGGTAAAAAATACAACAGACGAGCAGCTAAAGAGCCACAGTATGGTGCGCCAAGTGCTATAGATAACTGTGCAGTGAACCTCTGGTAACACTGTATGCAGATGATGTTATCCTCTCAGTATTTAGTTTGCGTGGTCACAGATAGCAGATAAACTTCAGCCCTTTATTCTTGCTCTAATAAGCAGATTATAAAATCATTATTCTTCTCTACAATAAACACCTTTTTAAGGTTCATTTCTGCAGCAAAAGTTGTGCATGATTGCAACTTTTTTTTTTGCTGTAAACCATCTCATTTACACAGAGAAAACATTTTGGAGCCTCTCCAGAAGTTTTGCATTGTAGCTGCAGCGGCTCAGGCAGAAGACGGTTGGCCTTGCTTCAGATCACATTCACATTAGTTCCTGCACTCACATTTTACCCTTCCGTGTTGGAAACTGAACCAGGGATCTTGTAGTCAAATACCCGGTTCTTCAATCGCCAATGATTTTCCAACACTTTCAATCCATAGAAGAGTGTTTACAAAACCGTTTAATCTTTAAAGCATAAACAACTAACATCATATACTAATACAAATCATGTATTGTGTAAATTATGCTTTCATTTAAAATGGTTTTAATGGGAAACTGCACGAACCACTGTTCCTTTAGGTAATGGCACAAATTCACCTTTTGTGCTGTGACTTTTTTTAATCTTCATCGCACTAATCACATGATGCAAATACCACCGATAATATAAGGTGTCATTTGCACTCTCATGAGATAGAATAACAGAATTTAAAAGGTATGTATTGCATGTCACGACATAGAGTTTCCAAAGGTTAAGGAAAAGTTAGACATGCACTTATTTGCTTTCTTGTCAAGAATTAAAGGGTGGTCAGAACCCTCATATCTGATAGATGATATGCTGCCGATGTAAGAAGACACCGCTCCTCAGATTCAGGCTATCACACCACCACTGTCTTCCTTCTTTTATGCCTCTGTCACTTCCTCCAAAAAGTAAAGGAGATGTGGAACAGTTTCATCCCCCTTTCATGCTTTATACCTTCCAGATGAGGCATGACAGGGGTGTGAATATCACGCCTTGAAACAGCAGGATGTACTGTAAGAGCCTGGAAGCTTAATCCTGGTTAAAGCATGGATAAGTAAGTCTGCTACTGACTATAGTTTAATGTTTAATGTAGAAAAAGTGAGACTGAAATGGATCTTTGTTTTTATTTCTTCTCGAGAAAGCAAACAAGTGCACATCCTACAATTATTAAATCGCTGTGAATCGATGTATTAAAGTTAACGTACTAATTGTGAAAGGATGTTAAAGCGTCACTCCTCCTTTCTTTTAGGTGGATAAACCAGTATCTCGCACCAAACCAAAAAAGACCCCGACAACAACAACAGGGAAGATGGTGAAAAAATCCAAAGAGAAGATGCTTGCTAGTTCTCAGTCAGCCAAGAAGAAACCGTCTTTGACCGCCGCCGAACCCAAACCAGAGGGGACTGTGACGAAGAAGAGCAAGGAGATCAGCAACAGACTGGCTGAGGCGAAGCAGTAAACGGAGAAAAAATGTCAACACTTAAAATGTGTGCGATCAAAAGGCTACTTGACGAGTTAGTCAAACTTCTTCCCTTTGGTTTGCTTCCTGACCTGTTGTTTTTGCTGACCTGTCATATATTGTTCACCTACGAACGGGCACTGATGTTCAGCTTTTAGACTAATGCAAATAACTTCACTGTCAACAGTGCGTGTGATGAGTGTGCGCGTGTGTGTTAATGTGTGGAAGTGCGTGATTTCTTGTATTTTGGTGCACAGAACCGCTTTATATTATTGAGCACATAATTTGCACATTATCCTATGAGTTGTGTTTGGCCTCAGACTATAAAAAGAGCCATCATTACACATGCACTGTGTGTGTGAAAGGGCATTTTTACTTGCGTCTGAATTGACAATTCAGAGTGAAACTAAAATGATTGTATAAAACATCAAAGAGATGCTTTTTTTCTCTTAGACTGTATCACATGAGGGATTTTGTTCGAGTGCAAAATCTGTTTTGCGTTTCCTGGTTACAGTGCCTCTGCTGTATGGTCCTGGTTTTCCTTTCATTGTTCTGGATGATATCTGGTTTCATCAGTTTGGTTGCTAAGAAACCAAATGAACTGTAATATAATTGCTACGGCTTGCATGCAGGACCCCGTTTTTGGTTGAGTAGCAACATTTAGGCAGACAAAAATGTCATTGTCACATGTTAGCTTGTAAATTGAGCCATTTACGATAAGTGTAGGAGGGTAAAAACCCTTTCAAGTATAATGCATGTGTAGTTTTAGATCCTGGTCACACTGAAACGTACATACACTGAGTAAAATCATAGTCTAGTAGCTGTTAAAGCTATAAAACAAACACACCAGCAAAATGGTTTCACCCACAAACACACTTCTAGCAATCTAAGCGGAGACCATCTCCTTTGATTTTGAGGGAAAACTTCAGATTTTACAATGACTCAGTATTTTGTGACATTGTACTCCATCCTCTCCTCTGAGCTGTGATGTTGTATTTGTGCTAAAGAAGAAAAAATGTTGCATATTAGCCCAGAACTTCTTGTATGTATACGGTAATCCCCCCCTCTGAATGGGCTGATTTCTCCAGGTGTTGAAGGACAAAGAATGGGCCAGGACTCGTAGTTCAGCTAATTTAAGTGCTGCTGTTCAAAAATGCGCAATCCACATGTGTTCATCATGACTGTCCTTAAAGCCTTCCCTCTACGGATGTTAACACACTTGTCTCCAGTGATGCCCTTAACAGCCAGTGCGGCTGCAGCGTGCGAGAGCGTTACCCACCGTTAAGTCTGCTTCCAGTTTTAGCCTCTGCGTGAGTGAGTGAGCGAGTTTCTGTGTGTGACCTCTACAGCCTGCTGCCTGCTAGCATCAAGTCTGACCCGACCACTAGACGTGCTGCTATGCACTCCAACACCCTGGTGCTAAATCTCTTGTTGTTTATGCTGTCTGGCTGGGACTGTGTGTGGTGTCAGGCCACAGTGAAATGATGATATGACAATGTCATACCTCTGCAGACATGTTGTGATATTGTGCTTGTATTCTCAGCTTGCTCTGAATGAACTCTGATTAAAATGATGATGCAGAACCCTGAGTTGTTTATCCTTTGTGCTGGGCGTCAGAATTTCTTGTGTATTTTTTAAACAGAACACCCTTCATCTGACTAACTATATTTCTTTTATAGCTTTATCTTATTTTATCTAACATTGTGCACACATACAAGAACAATAAATAATGTTTGAATATGTGCAGGAGAGGTACCAAACCTAAGAGGGCGTGGATGCAACACACAAAAAAATGTTGCAGGCATGTCCAAACACATGCTATTAAATGATTAATGATGCTTTTTTATGCTTTAGTTACTTTTGCAGCATCTCTGCCCCAAACTAGATAGAGTGGCTGAAGAAAAGACAGGAGATGGGTGGAGTGTGGTGCAGAGAATGACCTGCAGCAAAGGTCATGACTGCAGCGGGATCAGCAACAGCTGCAATGAGGACCATAGTCTCGAAAGCATTTTGTGGTCCCTTCTACATATGTATATTAGATAAATTTTGTTAAAAACATCCAATCAATCAAATGTCAAAGTAAAAAGATACATGTCAGTTATTTACCCTGATTAGTTTGGCTAAAATGTCACACATGAATGCTCCAGCTGTATATTTCCTGTTGTTTTATTAGCTTTGTTTCAGATATTTTCAACCCTCACCCAGAGAAATACCCTCGGTTTGCATCCTACATTAACTAACACTACATAAAAATATAGAATTGAATATTTAACTCAAAATCAAATTAATATTGTGAAGAGACTGATGCAGTTGAAGGATTACTCAAGGTTTTCTTTGTGTTCCGGTGAAAATGCAATTAGGGCACAAAGGCAAGTGAATCAGGAAAATATGCACTGTCATGCTGTGAGTTTAAATAATCTTAAAAAATAAATTCATACAAAAATAAGGCTGGAAAATCTCTAAAATATGGTTGTTAGCAAAGAGGGATTTAATTGCAGTGATTGAGGATTCTAAGTGCCTAATATTGGCTTCAGTTATCACTTATTTGATACAATTCAGCTGCTTCCTTGTTATGAAGAAAAAACTAAGGGAAACCATTTTCAGATCTGAGTTGTACTCTAACAGCACTCCTAGAGGCCAAAGGAAGCACATTTCTATTGTTGTCTTAATAGCGAGGATGATGGGCTCTGCAAAAATGTTAGAGCAGTGCTCAAACCTCCCCAAACATTTGGAGTCAACCACTGAGTGTTTTACTTCATATTAGATCTCATCACTCTACCGTTCTCTCTGTATCTCCTAACATTAAAGAGTGCTTCAAGGGTGGAAAATGTTTTTAACTCCAAACAAAAATGAGTCTTGCTGTGAGGAAGAGCAGATGTAAGATGGAAACATTACTGTATTATCGCACATTTGATTAACTTGGTCGCTCTTAAGATGCTGATTGTCATTTTCCTGTGAATCAGTCATCCTGACATAAAACTGCATGAATAATTCAGTTGTTATGGGCCCTTATGTTTGCAGAGCAGCATGAAATATTGAGTAACAGATCAGCGATGGCACGGGAGCTGCCCAGGCTCCATCCCTCTTTAAAAGACTTGTCTGGCTGGTTACAGTCTCGCCTACACAGCTTATTTTATTGTGCTGAAGGACAGAGAAATATATTAGACACTTGTCCAACTGCGTATAAAATAGAGTTCATTCCTGTCCTGTGAAAGCAGAAGGCCAATAATTCATGGCGATAAAATTAAAGGATAAATAATATAACAAAAAAAAGCTCTTTTGGAATAAATGTGGATCAAATGATCAGCCAATAATCAGCAGCGTAGGAAGGACTTCACATTGGAGTTGCCAGCTTGTGAGCCTACTCCACCATGAGCTGACACATGAATGAGAGAAATCCACCTTTCTGTGAGATGTGCACCAATATAACTATTTTTAAAGCCTGCAGTGTCAACACCACCACACAATACTGCGTGTCTTCATCTGAGCTGTATTGACTTCACATTAAAAACATGCACCCTCATGAAAATATTATATTTCTTGGACACGCAAGACACCGCACTGTAGGGTGCTGTTAGTCAGCAAATTATGACCTCTAGTGGTTAGGATCTCTTGCACAATCTCAGAGCATCATGCCGACCTGAATAACCTGAGAGGTGGCTGCAGGCCAGGAAAGGTGGCTCAGATTTCCTCTACGGGCTTAATGGGACATGTAACTCCAACAGGAATGAATTATCTCTTTTCCAGTTGGGACATTTAGATATATCAGTGGTAATAAATAGAAAGACGACAGTACTGATGGAAAGATTGGGGGAAAGCATCTTAACAGACATATGACTAAACAAAACACATTTAGAGAACAGCAAGTCATCACTTTCTGTATTTACAACCATTTAAAAGATGCAACAGGTCTTTTTAGTTTACATTAATAATGTTGATAACAGGGATGGGGGATTATAGTATCAATTATGAACAGTTACAGTCAAGCTGTTCTCAAATTTATTCAAGCATTTTAAAGTGATATTAATGGTGATTGTGATGGTAATAGTTGAAACAAATGAAATCAAGTAAGTCTTCAGTTATCCAGAGGACCCCATTAGTATCTTTATGAATCGATAAATTAACCGTTTACCAAGTTATATGCAACTGAGATCTCTTCAAGACAACTAAGATGACTCACTTTTACTTGAATATTATGTTGGCCTGTTTAAAAAAAGGGTGGTCTCAGATTGGAGATTTCACATTTATTATTCAACACAATATAGGAAATAGGGATGATCCTAGTTGTGGTGTTATTGGTTGGTCGGCCAATATATTGTTTGTTAATACGAATTCCTTAGGGAGTGCTTTATGGAGTTTAGTAAAGTCTGATTTAGAAGGATTAAAGTTATGTTTAAGGCAAACATCTTGATAACTCAAAAGATTACCATTGATATCAGTTAGGTCAATAACTGACCATATATTTCTCTCATTCCAATCTTGATAGTTTAATGATTTATTTCGGTGTAGAATGTGTCTATTGTTCAATAGCATGGTAGTGTGGGGTGAAAAATTATGTACGAATAACATTTTCCAATGTAAAAGTATTTGTTTGTGGAACTCTGATAATGAAATGGCTACTCCACTACGATACGCTGTACTCGTTTTACAATCACACGAAGAAGAGCAACTTCCGCCTACAGAATCGCGCTCACCGGAAATAAACAAACCCAGACAAGCTGAGAGGAGGGAAGGAGAACAGAGCTGCAGTGGTGAGTTTTATTTACACCGTAAGAAGATTTTATCATATAATAACTGTTACAGCTCATCAGAACATTACCACATTGTAACAAAATTATACATTAAGTCGGATTTTTCATGTATAAGGTTAATTTAAGCTGATAAAAGGTTGAAGTAGCTGTCGAGGAAAAGTCAGACCAATATGTAAACATGAGAGCCTGTCCTCTAAAATACTCGATTTAGAAAAAGACCCACTAACAACGAACTCTACTAGTAGTTAGTGTCTTTTTGAAGCAGTTTAGATGTAAATAGTTTGTTAGTAACTTATAATCTTGTCTTGATCTCTGCCTAACACGGACGGTTAAAACCTGAACGGTTAAAAACGGTTGCAGATCAACAGTGACTCAGCTTCAGGTACTCTTTTTAAAACTGATTTTAAATGTCTGTTTTTCGTCCAGGTGATCAGGTGTTAGGGTTCAAGCGGCAGCAGCTGGGAGCACAGACATCTCCACCATGATGACAGCTAAGAGACTGGACAACTTCGAGGTGGTGTGTGAGTGGGCTGGGTGCGGCTTTAGGGGACACACCATGGAGGAGCTGAGTGACCACATGTCTCTGCATCTAAAGGACTACCTGGGAGACAATGATGCTTTAGAGGACCTGGGTAAGTGAGGACAATGAACACATTAATGTAGAGGTGCATAATCATTAGCAGAGGACATGAGCTCATGCTTCTTAGTCTGGTGTAAAGGTGCATTAAAGGGATATTCTGGTGTAAAATTAATTTAGGGTCAAACACACCGCACCACAGAGTTAGGCACCCCCTCAAGAGATGAATGTTGCCGACCGCTTGTTTCTCTACTTATACCAACTTTAGTAACGACCGCACAATAGCAATACACAGTGGTCTGAGGAGCCATAAACAAACCTCAACCAAAACGCCACTCTATAGCCACAAATAATGCTCAGAATAGCACCTAACTTCATCAACAGTACATGTAGAGTCTCAGTCACAGCACTAACCACCAAACATCTTTTTAACTTTGCCTAATTTCCTTAACAAAGAGACTTACATCGGGTGGTAAAGGCAAGGTGTCGGCTGGTCCAAACTGTCATCCTGCCTTTGCTGAAAAGTATAATCTTCTGCGTTAACTCTGCACTCCCTGTTGAAGTCTGTCATTACTGTAGATTCTCATTATGACATTGCCTCTCTTCTTCTCTTTGTGTAGATGAGTACTCTTGTCTCTGGACTGGTTGTGAATTCATGTCAATGGGTAGCCCCACAGAGCTGGAGGTCCATGCTTATTTACACAACTACCATGGGAAACTTAAGTTCATCGGGTCTCAGCTGCTGAAGTCTCGTCCTGACCTGCCCAGCTGTAACCAGTGTGTGCACAGCATCAACCTGGTTCCTGAGGGATCTGAGGGGTTTGTTTGCCAGTGGGAGAACTGTGATGTAGGTGTTTTGACCTCAAGTCATGTAATGGTCATCTAATGTTTGTTTGCACTATTACTGAGACTCTGTCTCCTTCCAGAGTACATTTAATAACCCTGAGTGGTTCTACCGACATGTGGACAATCATGTTGAGAGTGCTGAGCCAGAGTCTCTCCCACAGCAGCAGCAGGCTCTCTTCTGCCACTGGACAGGTGTGACTGAATGCGATAGAGGTCAAGAGATATTCCAGACAGCTTCAGAACACACATTATAATCTAGTTTCTGTTACAGGGTGTGATGCTTACGTCAAAATCAAATATCGTCTGAGAGAGCACATGCGCAGCCATACTCAGGAAAGACTTGTAGCCTGTCCAACATGTGGCAGCATGTTCTCCAGCAACACGAAGCTGTTCGACCACCTCCACAGGCAGGCCGAGCCAGTTGGTGAGAGGGGTGTCGAATTTTTCTACACTGATGTGCCAAACTTGATGTATAAATGCTGATTTTTTTGTGTATCTTTTTTTAAACAGACTCACTGGTGTGTGAACACTGCGGCAAAGCTTTTTCCAATGAAAGGCTTTTGAGGGATCATGTTCGCCAACACGGTAGTACTAATTTTCTCCGACTAGTACTGACACTGTATTATTATTTTTGCATAAATATTAATGTGTTTATTCTTTATTCACGGCAAATAAGTCGATATAAAACCTGTTTTTGGATTTTAGCACATTAATTTATGATATTCAAAACTAATCTGTAGTTAAAAAGGTGAATGTCATATTTCTAACTTTCTTTTTCTTTCTCTCTCTCTCATTTAGTGAATCAGGTCAAATGCCCTTTCTGTGACATGACCTGCACCACTTTGGCAGCTCTGAAGATCCACATTCGGTTCCGGCATTGTGACGAGCGGCCCTACCCGTGTGACTTCTGTGACAAAAGGTAGACATTAGAGAAATCAGCTGATGGGATGTCTGAACAATCGTAGTTTGGCAAAATAAAGAAAGGACAAGAAGTTGATTTTCAAACTATTTTACGCAACTCTCTAAATAGTTTATTTTCTCTACATTTGGAGTAGAGAAAACTTTTTTTAAATTTTTAACTTTTTTTTAAAATTCAGAATAGCCCTTTTAATATTTGCTACATATGAAACAACAGAGGCCAAATTTAGGACTATCAAAAATATTCCCTTCATGGATGAGACCTCTAATCCTAATCTGAAGTGCTGACATTTTGTTGCACCTCTCTCCATATCTCTCTTAAGTTTCTCCCTTGAATATTTTAACTTCATATTTGTTTATCTAATCACTGCTAAAAAGACTGTCTCTCCCGCTGAAAACTTCTTCTTACAAGTCAAAGTGAAACCTCCCCCACAGAATAATGACGTGTAAACTGAAAACCCTCGCTTTGCTGGTGCAGAAACTTACAAGTTGACGAGATCATTTCCTCAGAAATATGACACATGAATCCATCCGTCTCAATCTGCGTTATTGAGATTGATTTTTTTTACACCTACTCAGCCGCTGACTGCTGACTTTACTACTGACTGTATAGCAAAAAAAAACATCACAATGCTTGTGTTACAGTAATTTGAGCTCTAGTATGGACTTGTTGATTGGTTATAGAAAAAGATTGAATTGAATAGTGACTCATCTCTGGATAGGATGGAGGACAACAAGAAGGACAATTTCTGTATCATAATTTTTAACACCTGTAACTAATGTAGGAGGGGTAGGTTTTCGGGTCAGTTAACACTGGTTTCACAAGGATGAGACAAAATGTACAAGGAGGTAACCAACAGGGTTACTGCTTTATCCACAGGGGTCACCAAAACCAACACAAACCCAAACTCCCTCACAGGAGCTGTATTAGAACCTGGATAAGAGACACAAAATGTTTAAATTTATACTTTTAAAATCTTATTTAGTAGTTTTTGAGGACAGTAAGCTTGCACTCATCTACACTACTGCAACAGCTTCAATAATTTTATCATCTTTCATATAGATTCAAGAACCAGCGGGATCTACAGAAGCACACAGAGGTTCACAACGAGGGTACAGTGTATCACTGTACAGTAGAGGGCTGCGATTACTCCTGTCACACATTCCCAACCATGAGCCACCACTACAAGAGAGTGCACGAGGTTTGTTGGTGCCAAGTATCTTCTATCATGAAGCATGTCACCAACATTATGATCTCTGTTATATTCTTATTTTTTTACATCTATTATCCTACAAAATAATCTACCAACAGGTCGGAGGAATGTCCAAATATAAGTGCCATATCTGCGATAAGGTTTTCTCCTGGTGTTACACTCTCACACTTCACCTTCGCAAGAAACATGAGCTGAAATGGCCGTCCGGACACTCCCGCTTCAGGTGAGTCAGAGCCTTCACCGCCAGCACCAGAGTCTTTTATTTTCCTTTGTGAACATATTTAATTTGTGGATGTTGTGTGTTTAATTCACAGATACAAGAAAGACGTGGATGGCTTCCTAAAGGTCAACATGGTGCGCTTTGAGACGGTAGAAGTCACAAAGGAGATCATGAAGAACATGGCTAAAAAACCCCAGAGCCTCCGGAAAAGTCAAAGAACCAGCAGCAGGAACAAAAGGACTGAGGTCTTAGCGGAGAGGGGCCACAACTCTCCTGCAGGATCTTCTTCGCCTTCCTCCAGCTCCTCCTCCTACTCCTCTGAGCTCTCTGGAGGTGAAGACATTTCTCCCCAGCCCAGCCCTCATGGCAGCGACTCTCCCGTTTACTGCGTCATGAGCACCATCCCTCACATCGAGGAAGAACCTGGAGGGTTTTCTCAGGAGGACTGTGATGGCGTAGGGACATCTGGGGCAGTGCAGGCCCTGACGGAGGTGGCAAGGGGACTGGGCATGGACGTGGTGTGAGGTTGCACAACACTACTGCTGTGCTTTTTATACAACTGGACAAATTTGGTGTGAAGCTTCATGGGAGAGGCTGCTGCTTCTTTTTGGTCTCTGCTCTTATAATAGTGTTACTTGGTCATAATTCCTGGTTCTGGTTTTAGAGAGATCCCATTTTAACCCTAGCTTTTATTGCAGCTCAGTTTAGTGTTCCAACAGCTCGATGATTCCCACATATGTAAATGTTAAAAGCACTGCAAAGCTGGTTTGATAATGTTGCTCTTACTAAACACAACATGTGATTTTTCTAATGTTTCCTAATGAAGAGTTCCAGAGATCTCTTTTATTTTTTGATGTAGCCTGAAAATGTTGTTGTATTTTATTGATACAAACTTTAAATACACTTTTGATACAAAAGCCTTTCTGGTTTGTTTAATAGTCACGTGTGTTGTATGGCTGTGAGACAGTGTGGACTTTGGTCGAAGTACAATGATCTTCCTCGTTCCTTTTGATGATGAAGAAGATCATTGTACTTCGTCGTTATCAGGATGTTTAATCAAAACGGACACTTCAAATACAATATACAAATAGCTAACAGCAGCTGACCTGTTACACTTTGTGGTACAAACATAGACTGTATATACTAACAATAACTTGGTTTCACCCTCTGCCAGTATATGTATTTGAAGCCGAAAAGCTCTCGGTATTTCTGGTTTTTTTTCTCCACTTCCTGAAATCCACGCTGCGCAGTAGCATTGTACACATTTGGTGGAAGAGTCGCAGAGAATCACTGCGATGACGCTCGGCTCAAACAGCGTATCCCCCAGGTGAGCTGAACCCCCGAATAACTTTTAAAAATGGAGCTGTACAGAAGAAAGAGGACTTGAGCACAAACCAGTCTTACAGTAACTACACGTCAACATCACAAGCAGGGGAGAGAAAAGTGTTTATTCTGTGTAATAAATTTCTAAAGTTTGTCCACAGCTCCATAGGTATTGCTGGACCTATACTGCAGCCTGTCACCAGAGGGTGCTGTTCTCGTGGTGGCTTCACTCAGCGAGGAAGCAGACGGCGTCCATTCTGTATAGAGTCTATGGGAACAAATAAGTCTCACAGTCATCGACATCTAGCCAATCAGGCATTGCTGTTGGCGGGACATCAGATGAGTCAAAGAGGAGACTGAAAATGGTCCAAGAAGGAAAGACACACCAGTGCCAGAGCCAAATTATAATCAGACCTAATAATTTGTCGACTCTTAGTCAGAATTTTCATGTCAGACACTTGAACTTACTACCAGATACCCCAAAACTGTCTTTGCTGTCAGCCCAAATTGCACTTGAAATCCAAGAAATCCAGACAGTCAAATTTAAAACCTTTTTGCTTTATTATTCTCATTATGTCCAAATTAAATATCTTCTAAATCTTTTGTCATTAATACTTGACGGTTTGATCAAAAGTCACTCAGAACAGAAGAACCAGTAAACATGTTGTCATGGGAGTATCCGCTCCCTAGTTTTGCCACATACACCACATTCCAAATTATTTTGCAAATTATATTTTTCTCAGATTTTCTAAACAGTCAATGTAAATGACAGTCAGCGTAATTTTCAAGTCCTTAACTGTTAGAGTGTAATCTAAATGTTATCGAACAAATCTCCCAATGAAAACGGTATTTTTTTCAAGAATAAAAAAACTTAACTGTACTGTTCCACATTATTATGCACAACAGAGTTTTAAAACATTGTATAGGTTTGACAGAACTGAAAATGGTCAGTGGTTGAATTTGCAGCATTAGGAGGTCATATTTACTGAAATCAAAAGCTATTTGAATCAAAAATCTTAACAGATCAAGTTTTGTTTGAACATAGGTCCCCTTATTTGATAGCAGCTTCAAAATTCTTGCATCCATTGAACTTGTGAGTTTTTGGAGAGTTTCTGCTTGGATTTGTTTGCAGGATGTCAGAATATCCTCCCAGAGCTGTTGTTTGGATGTGAACTGCCTCCCACCTTCATAGATCTTTTGCTTGAGGATGCTCCAAAGGTTCTCAGTAGGGTTGAGGTCAGGGGAGGATGGGGTTCACAACATGATTCTTAATCCGATGTATTTGTCTGGCAGAAACCTTCCTCATTGTGCCTGTATCTGCACGAACCTGTGTGTGCTCTGAATCAGCCACAAATCTCTTAACAGTACGATGATCACGGTTACGTTTTCGTGAAATGTCTGAGGTTTTCATACCTTGTCCAAGGCATTCAACTATTTCACACTTTTCAGCAGCAGAGAGATCCTTTTTCTTTCTCATGTTGCTTGCGGAACGTCCTTCTTTCGTAGTTTTTTCCTTAACTGGGCTCACCTGGCAAACTAATGATCACAGGTGTCTGAGATTGATCTCAGTGATCCAAAGAGTCCTGAGACACAACACCATCCATGAGCTGACTGGAACGTTTATGACACTTAAATACAATTTGCATAACAATTTGGAATGCGAGGAACGCAGTGTATACCCGGCAGACTTAGTGTCCAAAGTGGGGTGTCTGCAGAAAGCCGGGGTGGGTGAGTTGATATCTACAGCGCTGGAAATGACAGAGCTGTTGTTGTGAGTGGAGAAACTCCCGCTCTCTGTGGAACAGAGTGTCCTGGTGTGGGAAATAAAGAGGTGTGGTAGAGTAGGCATAGAAAGGTCTGTGTGGTACAGGAGGTATCGTGATCACTTTGTGGGTTTTGGGAGTGTAGCCTTTTGGGATATTTTGGCTACAGTAGAGAGCCATGCTTTTGTTCAAGTCCCACATTGTCTGGTAGGGATGTAGTTCAGCTCCTGGATGGGAAATAAATCCTGAAGAAGCTTGAGTAACCGTACATCTATTGCTGCTAGGATGCAGATCACTAACATGTGGATTTGGTTTTCTGTGTGAAGACTCAAAGTGGTCCTTCACCTCTTCCTTCTTCGCCCTCTTCACATCGAGGAAGCTGTCGCAGTCAAGCTGCCGCCTCCTGACAGTCGAGTTGGCAAGCCTGCCAGCAGTCACCGTCTGATCCAGAGATTTGTCCTTAAGAGGTAAATCCTTTGTTTTGTTAATTTGTTGGCTCCTGTGTTTCTCCTCATCAAGTTTCTCCTTCCAGAGTGGGTGCTGGAGCTGGTCCAGCTCCACCGTCTTGGACATATCGCTGTGGCACGGCAGAGAGGGGTCAAAGGGGTGACTTTTTAAGTTTCCACATGGAGGGCCTGAAAATTAAGAAGTAGGTCAGACTTAATAATGGGACACATTTTCCAATAGTGGTGATAAGAGTGTTTTTTGTACGTGGACAGTCTTAAACTCACCAAGATTCGAGGAGGGGTTGAAGGAGGACGGGTCTGATGGATCAGGTGGAATAGAGGCCGGATACTCGAGTGTTTGCTGTTTTTTCTGATCAGTTTGTAAAAGACAAATTAGTTTGAAATCACACAACCAAGTCGATTAATATGGCTGCTAAATCAGACTTTAAAAAACTGATGTATTTGTTCTTTACCTTCAGTTTTTCATTATAATAAATCTTCCATGCAATACAGACATGCAGCGCGCCCCAACTCCCTCGTCTCTTTAAGAAAAAAGGGGAAAATATTTCAGCAAACTTGCTGCCAACTGAACTTTAAGGAAGTAAAAGATGTAAAAACATTTTTTTGTTTTAAAAGCTGCATTTCATACTCACTTTTGACTCGCAGGACTTCTGTGTGACTCTGTGGAAAGCCGTGGCAGAAGCGAACGATGGTCTGGTCGTTCCTCTGTGAGGGTGTGTGTGGACCTGCAGCGTGAGGCAAAAGGTAACGACTAAAAACACGATCCTTGGAGAACAAAACATGAACACAGATGGTTTAAACATTATCGGTGCAGAAGTGTGATAAATGCGCTTACATTACAGTCCTGAGTTCCCACTGGGGCGGCTGGGATTCCTGAAGCACAGGGCTGGTGTGGGAAGGGAGTGAAGGCATGCTGGTGAGCGTGCAGAAGCATTTGAAGATAGGAGATGGAAGCAGGGGTGCGAATAAGGGGTCACCTGCTGGAGAATAAAGGGGAAAAGTGCACATGTAGTTTCCGAGCAGTTAGGATAGACTCTGAATTTGGCAAATTATATATTATACCATCACACTGGCTAAGTGTTTTTCAATGAGCTTAAATTGTATGACATGTAATATGCATTTCAGACAATTTGCTTTGTAAATCCCATGCAAATGACAGCATCCTGTTAGATTGCATTACAGATGGTAAGCCAATTGAGCTTTGCGGTGCGCCAATCCATTTAATTCATTTCGGATACATCCGTTCCAAGAACACATGATTAGTAATGCTGTTAGTGAAAGGGAGCACTGCTATATGCAGCTTATCTCCATTTAATATAAACTAGAGAGAAAAGAGGCCACATTAGCAGTGAGGTTGAAAGGAAGTAAGGAGCAGAACTTTGATCAACCTGAGAGAAATGAAACTATTCAGCAGATACTTTGATTTTAAATTGTTAACAGATGACTAGAAGAAAGAGAAGAAGAGACGAGATGATGATTCTTGGAGTTTGATCGTGGTGTTTACCTCTCTAGATACTTTAATTTGATGGAAAACATGACAGAGAGCTTCACAACAACAATACAAGTAGTCATATGAAAACCTGGAAATGATCTCTGAAGATTCTTTAAAAAAAGGATGAAATCACTTTAAAAGACGTAACTTTTCACCGAGATGATTCTAGATTCTTCCTCATAGCACCGAAATGAAAACCAGAGTTCATTTCTCCCAGTACCCCTCCCCATCTCCCTCCTGTGCCAGAGTTTCTCCGCCATCCTTCTGTTTGTGTCCTTAAACCTCTCTAGGCCAAAGCAATCCAATCACCTCATCCCTCCCTTCTCATAAAGACGAGATTAGCTGGAGGTTACACATCCTATGTTCTTTAAATTTCGCCCATGTCAGCCTGCCACAGAAATCTCTTAATCTCGTAGAGAAGCTGTTAGGATCGCAAACAGAATGAATGATGCATCAGAAGCAGCTTGCTGTGTCACTTGAGGTCAGAGAAACCGCCTCTTCTCGCCATGAACACTGAATCAAACACAGTCGGAGTCTTTACTCTTTTTACTGAAATTTTTTACACCTTTCAAGCTCAATACCATGACAGTACCAGATTTCTATCTATCCTACTTTATTTTGGTTTTACAGTGCCAGATTGACACCATGTGAACATTCTCTGCTGTTTTAAAAACTATAAAAAAAGTGCATCTCTGCAAACCAAACAAAAATCAGTTGTTGAAAAAAAGACATGCACGACTTTCTTGCTTAGCAGTCAACAGAAAATTCCATAATTTGCTCCTTTTACAGCTGCAAATATATAGAAATCATGTGAACATTTTGCATCAGACAGAGGAATCCTCGTCTAACATGTCTCTTACCTCTATGTTGCAGTACAGTGACTTCTTCTGACTTCTTCTGAAACGACCGCCTCCTTCAGTCTTCTATCAGCGCTCTGACACAAGGTAAATATCTCTAAAATGCCCTCTCTTAAATGCAAAAGCACCACACAGAAACTGCAGTCCCCAAAGAAGGTGAATCTCCTCCAGGAAGAACCAAAAAAGACTGTCCAGTAAAGAGACGGCGGGGCAGTAAAGAACCCTGGGAGCTGAGCCCGTCTGCTGCCCATGTGAACAATTAGTCAGTGTTACTTACCAACACCAGAAAAGACCATTAACTACTCCTGATGGCTTAACTTGATCCCATCAGTCCCTAAACCCCTCTGATTCAGTTTAGAGAGACAGCTTAAGTGGCAACAGGATGGCCTTTCACATAGAGATGCTGTGGCACATCAATCAGACATTTATTCATGGTTTATCTCACAGGCCCTGACACAGCTCAGCATTTTCCTGCTCAATGAGGATTTATTTTAGAAAATCAGCCCCAGACGAGGGGTTTTAAATGAAAGGTTATGGTGCAGGAGGAAGAAGCAGAAGAGATTTGACAGATTATAGCTGATAACTTGGAGTGAAAACAGGTTTGTTGTTCTCTGGAGCAGAACACTCAAAACAGGAGAGTATTTTAAAGAGTAAGACGTTCACTAATGCTCCACTGTGCAGATCTGAAATCTTACAAAAACATTATTTAACGTTAGTTTAAATGAAGACTCCTTCATGCCATTTTTTATTATCATTGCCATAAAGACTTGTTACATTTTGCACATTTACTTTCATTTCAATTTAAGATTTTCTTCGCAATGTTACCTGGTGTTTTGATCATCAAGTTTGCATGAATCATTTAAAAACCTCTGTGTTTGAAGTTTAATTTTCTAAATGGTCCTTTGCTCTTATTTAAACTGATTTTAAAGTGTTAGTTACAAAGTGCTAAACAGCTACAAACTGCTAATTAAAAGAAGCTGTTAATAACTGTAGTTAAAAATGAGCAATAAACCAACAAGCAAGTTGAATAACAATTCAAACAAATGACAGATTATCTAAGTAAGATCCAATACTGAAATAATAATTAACATATGCTGATTGATTGTCATCTTCATGGATTTTTTTCTAACATACATTAGTGTTACAGCAGACGTGACCAGCTCCTGGCTCGTGCTGGTTGTCCTGAGTGGCCCTAGACAAATTAGGCTACCCCTAAATTGGATCCCATTAAGCAAAACATAATACGGTGATTGGATGAAGCTCAGTGAAGACGTGTTCTCCTTGATTAGCTAATTCCATTCTCACTAACTATCCAAATCCTGTTAGTACGCGCAGGGTTAAAGCTGCTTCACTGTCAAGGAACGGTCCTTGCCTAGCCTGAACCATTACCCTTTACAAATCACAATCCAGCAACGTGCCAAGATTGATCACAAAACCCACTGATGTTTCTCTTTCAGTGGAAACTTCTTAGGATTAAAGCGTTTTCTTTTTAGGGGAGGGTAATAACGCAACACAAGTAACATATTTCAAGAAAAGGAAAGAAGAGCAAAGATTTGGAAAAAAAAAAAAACAAAGGTAGATAAAGGGGCAGAAAGCTCATATTAGTTTGTTCATGGATTTGAAACCTGCAGCCGACAGAACAGGGTTTGTGAGAGTTAAATTTGCCTCTTTAAGTCAGTTTATAAAATATTCGAAACATTTTCACTAAAAATGTGAAGAAATTCAGAACTTTTTTCCAAAAAATTAAGGACCTAAAATATTTACAAAACCCCAAGGAAAATTTTCCTTGATTTAAATTTCAAATGAAAATTTTTAATAAATTTATGAGTTCTTCATTGAAACTTTTGAAGACTTTCGAAAGCTTTGGGAAGTTTTGCATAATTTCTCAATTTATTTACAAGTTTAGAAAAAGTTCTTGGCAAACTGAAATATACATATAAATATATTTTTATTTAAGGACAGTTGAAAATTATTAGTTTTTTGGCTTTTGGATGGACTCTAGACTTTTTATTGCAACCTTTCCAGCACTTTCCAAAACTTTTGAAACACATTTTTCTCTGTTTTTCTTTTCTGATGTGTCCAAAAATCCTTGGGATATATTCAATTTTTTAAATCTAAAAGAACTTTTAAAAATTCCAATGGCATATTTATAAACATTTGTTACATCTGTGGGGTTCTTACAAGAGAGATTTAATTCAAATCAAAACTTCAAGAAATTTTGTTGGATATTTTCACAAACTTAAGAGAACTTTTTACAAACTTTCTGAAGTGTTCAAAGTATTCTTTAGAAAATCTGAGTCACTGCAGATTTTAAACTTTTGGATATTTTAAGTTTTGGAAATGTTCATTAAAAATTCTAGGAAATGTAAGAAATTGTCATCTTTTGTTATTAGAAACCTTAAAGGATTCAAAAATATCTGTGGAGAACCATTATAAACTTAGAAACTGAAAAATCTTTACTTCTCTAAAATTAAAGTTTTATACATGAATGGACTTTTAGAGATTTGGAGATACAAAAAGTTTGTTTTATTTTTTGTAAGGAATTTTAACAATGACAACAGTTTCCCTCCAACTCTTTTTAATAGTGTGTAATCGGATTTTTTTGTGTGCAATTTTGTGTAAATGTAAAATGAAACATTTTTGAGGTTTGAGTGTAAAATCTATAAAATCACCCTTTTCTTTTGCATCCATCTTCCTGTTTATGAAAGTGCATCATTTTTATCACTGGAGCGATTTTAGAGAAGATATTAGTCAAACCAGAAGTGTTGAAAAAGAAGCCAACAACACTGAGGTGATAAGGTAGACGCACTTTATTCCTAAAACAGAAGCTGCACCATCAGTAGCGGCACACAATTATATGTACACATATACACACACAATTACCTAAATCTGTTATATAAAATATATAATCTGACAATGTACCTTTAATTCCTCTTCAGAGCTCATTGAGTTACTGTGCGAGAGACTCTGGAGCCAAAGCAGACAGAGAGGTAAGTCTCATCCACTCTTCGGGTGGGACACAAATGCCCAGGCCAGCTTTACTTCATTTTTACAGCATGGCAATAAAAAGGTCTGTACCCTTTGAAAAAATAATATTCTAAAAGCAATCTACAGCAAATTCACTCGAACAGGTTTGTTCCGTGTTGTAATCGAGAAATTACACTTTTTAAACCAATTCCTTTACAGTGAGATGTACACACCCTCTAGGATTTGTAATATAAAAGATATTAAGCATTAAAAATTCCACATTTAAAAACTTACAATAAATAATATATGCAGGCATTTCATTAAGATAAAATTTTATAGATTGCAATCTACGGTCATTAAAAAGACATTTAATTCTCCTTTATGAAACGTCCCTTGAACTTCCAAAGTGGATTCTTGGCATCTGGTTGATTGATTGGTTGATTTGAGACTTCCAGTCAGTCAGTCTGTGTTGTGTTAGAGACACCAGGGAGGGAGGAGGAGACGAGAAGGGTGGGGGTGCTTCCTCCGTAATTGCCCTGATGGAGTGTGAGGTTCTTGGAGTGTCAGGGATTCCTCTGCGAACCCCCTCTTTTCATCCATTTAAACCTCTGCAGTTTGATCCCGTGAGACTTCAGAACATGTTCATGATGAAGTTGTACATCTGTGTGAGCACCACGAAGTGAACAGGCAGACAGGAGCGGCGGTCCTGGGTGGCAGGGTCGCACGTCAGCCAGGAGAGGGCGTTGTACTGCTCCAGAACGAATCTATCATGAGGGAGGCAAGAGTTAGTGACATCCAGGTATGAAAACTGCGTCATCGCACGGCTCATTTCACAAAAGATGTTACCTGAGCACGTCAGAGGTGTGGTTGGAGTCCAGCGGGTGGGAGTGTTTACTGTGCAGGAGCTCATCTGATTGGACGGAAGACACGTGCAGGTGCAGAGAGGCCTGGGGGGAAAAGAAATCGATTTCAAATCACTTTCTGTTTAAGTAAAGAGAGACGTCATCTTATTTCATCTTAAACCTCAAAAATGAGTCAGTGTTTCAGTGATTGAATGCGACCGACTGCACTTGAAATACCTTGAGGAAAAGTGGGCACTGGTTCTGAGCTTGAGGACAGGCTGACCAGAACCAGTCAGGCAGTGGTCCAGCCTTAGCTGTGGAAACAAAATATCCCAAAGCCATCGGCTGCTGTAGGATGTTGAGAGCCTCCTCGTGGGACTCCATACGGTCTGCACTCTGACCCTGCGAGGCGACATGGAGAGAATTCATGAATTTTAAATCCTCTTTTCACCAAACTCAACCTGCTCAATTTGTCAACAGGTTACTGTGGCAACATGACGTTTATTTTTCTTTTATCCATGAGAGAATCAGGACATAAAATTAGATTCTGATTTAATAAAGTCAACCTGATTTTTGGAGGTAGAAGCAAAAACTGGAAAAGGTTTATCCTTCGACCGAAAGAGTGCACAACGAACTTTTCCACTCATGAAATTAAGTCAGAAAAACCTTAAATTTCACATCAAAATGACACAGAAAGTCTGAGATTGAACATTAGTTTTTGTTTTTTGTTGTTGTGAAGAGTTCATGAGGACACACCTTGCTTCCATCTCCTCCTTGGTGATAGTGGGAACCAGGAGAGTGAACTGGGGAGGTTGTGGGGGAGTTTGGCAGGATGTTGATGAGGTCTTGATCCACCATATCGTTGTCGAACAGCTCAAAGATACCCATTGCGTCAGACCCATCTGCAGAGAGAGAGAGAAAGAAAACACGCAGAGCTCAGTGTCTGACTCATCATCGGTGTATTTAAGTGATGACACATCAGCCGCACAACTCACCGGGATTAATGGGGTTGAAGTTGATATCGATCGGCTCTGTAGTGTTGGTGTTGACCTGCACCATGGCCGAGGTGGGGAACACCAGGATGTGTGTGCACGATGTGTCCTGAGGGGTGCTCAGCTGTGACGTCTGCATGTTGAGTGTGGTGCTGCGGCCGAACACGGACCCCGTCGACACTGAGTCTGCAAAGGGAAGACAGTTAGATTCTGGGACATGTAGTTCTAGGAGGCTGAAGAGCTGATGCTGCGTTCGAGTTCCCTCAGAAGTCAGAAGTCCGGGCTGAAAATGACGTCACACCCGAGTTCCCAGCGTTTCAGTTACCAAGTCGGAAAAAAGCAAAACTGGAGGTGGAAACAAAAGTTATTGTAGTGCTTGCCTTGTCTGAATATAAGGCAAGCGCTAAAATAACTTTCGTAGATGTAGCCATCTTGTTCCCGCCTCCAATTTTGCTTCTTTCTGACTTCTGAGGTAACTCGAACGCAGCATAAAACTTTACTGTCTATTACCTGGCATGATGACAAAGGAACCCTGAGGCTCCATGGCGACCAGACAGGCGCTGAGGATGCTGGGAGTGTCGGCGGCAGAGATGCCACACATCCTACATGTCTCCTTCAGGCGTTTACTGAGGGACTGCAGGTTCCTCCTGCTCAGTAGGATGCTCCAGTCTGGAGGAGGGACAGGTAAGAACGTGTGAGTACGACTTCTTTTATGCTGTTTGTGCTAAAAATGATGCAGACACTGATGTGTGATGTGTGTGTACCTCTCAGCTCGCCATGGCCCATTCTTCCAAGCCGCCCGATCACCACCCTCCACGGCAGCGATGTCACCTGCACCAGGCCGAGACACCACTCCCACAGCTTCTGCATGCCCACCCGCCGCGCTGAGCCCTTTTTCCTGCGAGCCCTGAGACAAACAAATTTACTTGAAATGAAACACAACCTGATCAATACTTCATGAAGGATTAATCCATGGTGTCTTGAGTTTGGTACCTGTTTGGTACATCGATGCTGATGATGCAGGTCTCCAGCAGTTCTCCATGCTGGTCGGTGCAGGACGCCAGCAGCCAGCGCTGGTCATGTGACAGACAGTAGCCAACAAACAGGACGTTGTATTTCTGGGAGGCCTCGCCAAAGGTTTCCCCCAGCTCAGTCTGCTTGTCCTTCACAGGAGCCAGGATGAAGGGCGGCGTGTACAGGCGCAAACACTCAGGTCTCTGCACGGGGGGCGGGTCAATACATTAGTTTGTGAGGAAAAATTAAACCATCTGACTCTAATTTCATCTGCAAACAGACTGTCTGTTACCTCTGGGTTCTTCAGCGCCATGTCGATGGCAAGACCAGGGCCGAAGCCGGTCAGAGCCTTGAAGTTGGTGGAGTTGGGCAGAGGCCGACGACACTGAGTGAACACCGAGAAGGCGAGGGACTTGAGGTGCTGGCCGTAGAGGTGACGGTCTCCGCTGTGGACCGGCTGCAGCAGGTACTGACAGGGTACGATCTGACAGATAGAAAAAAGAGAGGTGGAATGAAATAGGGATTAATTCATTTACATTTAATAGTGGGTTGATGTGCTTTTGTGGAGTCAAAACCAAAAGAGGTATTGGAGGTGATTTTCCAAAAGTGGATATATCTACAAGTTTTAGACCTTCGTGAAATTAAAACTAGTCACCTGGTTGGTTATCACAAAGACACGCTGAAACTCAAATATCATCTTTTTTTATTTATATTTATTAGCACAGCACTGTTGTCAGTACTGTTAGCTGGTGTTCTGATGGAGTTTGGCACTTTTAATGACAAGCACAGCCACAGGGTTTCTACACAGTTGGAATTTCCAAATTTTTCATACCCTAATTTTTAGAATAATCTTTGGAAATACCTACTTTCAAACTGTGGTAATAGTCTGGAAACATACATATTTTTACATACTTCATTTGACAATTTCCACACTTTTTAAGACCTGGAAATTGATCTAATTTATTTCTATTCTTTCTATAGTTGTGCAGGAACCTTGCCTGAGCCAGCTAATATGGTTCATTACTGTTAAATCTTGACAAGCTGAGTTCAAGTTCGACATGGATAGTTGGAAACAAAAAGTATTTTCAAATTCTGGCTGCCGTTAAATTCCTGGAAAATTTTGGAAAACCACATAAACCATTGATACCCATCCCTGAATAATTACTCAGTCAAAGAAAGTCGAACCCTTTGTTGTAAAAAGATAGGTTGCTGCATGTCGACAAAAACACGCTGGAATGTTTTGGCGCCAACGCTGCCAAAAAACGAACACTTTCGTTTTCGGGATTGTTGTGTTTCTCCGTAAACAAACAGAGCAGTAAAAAAATCTGTCTGCTGTCACGACTTCCAAGAACAAGTTCAATTACATCTGTCACATCGGTCTTTAGTTCTGTTGAGATTAAATATTTAAACTCGATTTAAAATCTAAAAACACTAAACAAGAGCGTTTATAACCTGCCTGTTTCCCGTGGAAGCACTAATGTCAGACCCATGAGCACATTTATGCCTCTAATGCTTCAAAACTCCCTCTGGCATGTTGATGCAACTTTGTGTCACTATATCACCTCCTTTAGTGTCAGCTAATGAGTCCCCTGCTCCTCCCTCACCTCCCTCTGTGCCTCCCGCTTGCCTGCTCTGTTCTACACGAGCAAGCGAGGAGGACATCGAGCCGCTGAAGACCTCAGCGAGTGCCGCTTTTGCGTCAAGTAATCCGGCGGCGGCTTTGTCAACCTCAAAATGTTCGATTGTCCCGTACCTGTACTGAGACGGCGTTTCGGATGCGAGCGGGCAGGAACTGCAGCATCTCCATGTAGCAGCGCAGCAGGCCCAGGCTGTAGGTGCTGGAGTGGACCTCTCTGCTCGCGTCTTCGTAGCTGAAGGGGTCGACGATGTAAACAACGATGGCGGGCGGGTATGACACAGCGTGGGACTCTCCGTCTGTTGGCTTCCCCACTTTGTCCCTCTCCATTGTGCTGTCGAGAGAAATTAGGACACGTGTCAATTCAAAACAGAAAGTCCTGAATGATTGAAGCATCAGTGACTTCCATTTTGAGGAAAAAGCAAATCACGAAGATATTTTCAAAGAAACAACTCTCTCCCTCCCTCTCTCTCTCACCTCTCCGGTGCCTCTGTGGGTGCTTGCGGCTGGTTGGTAGAGGGTCCATTTTCTGCTGCGTTCTGAGAATTCGACTGCGGCCCGTTTTGGGCGGCGCTGCCTTGCAAACCTGTCGTCCCGAACGCCGAGTAGGAGCTCGACTTCGCTCCGGCCAATCCGCCGATAGTCTGCGAGCCCGGTAAGGAAGAAGAGGAGGAGGAAGGAGGAGGGGGAGGGGTGCTGTTGACTTGGGCAGAGCTGGTGCTGGAGCTGGTAGTGTTGGTGCTCTGGGGTCCTGAGGAGGTGCTGGAAGAGCCGGAGGTCTGCAAGGAGGAGGAAGAAGAGGAGGAGGAGGAAGCCACAAACGGGCTGCGCTGGGACAACAGAGAGCTGTCCAAAGACTGCTCTGACAGGTACGGAGCTGGAGGGAGACAATAAGAACAAAAAAGATCAGCTTTTCTATGCCGCACAGTCGGATTAGCTTTGTCTCTCAAGATTGTGGAGTAGAAATGTTACCCAGATCGTAGCGGCACACTTGAGCGAAGAGTTTGAGCTTATTAAAGGCTTCATTGTTGGCGTCTCTGGCAGCCATCTTAAGGAACCAGTCGCTAAGAGGCTGTTCTGTCATGCTCCTGCCGTCTGTGGTGCCAACCTTCAGCACGCCCTCTGGGTGACTCTTACAGATGGGTCTGTGTTGCCCAAGCTGGCACGCCTGTCGTGACAAAAGACGAATCAATATGAATCATTTCAGTCGAGCAGAGTTTGGTCCTGCTGTGTCGAGTCTGAAGTGTTCGCTTTACCTCATACATGGCGCTCAGATCCTTGAAGAAGGTTTTCGCCCTGCCGAGCAGAGCTTCATTTTCTGGGCAGATGACGACATAACCGACATCTCTCTGGGAGCCGAAAGGATCCAGAAGAAGCTTCTCCCAGTAGGGCAACCCGAAAGGAGACAGCACCACAAAGTCGTACTCATAACCCACCAGGAAGGTGGGGATGGGCAGAGGCTCGGGTGACTCGTCTGTGCCTGTAGTGAGAGGAAAGAAAAAAGGCTCTTTATCTGCTTCTTTCTGAAAGTGACGAAGGACTTCAAAACCGATCTTTTGTCAGGTACGGATCTGGTGCCAAATATTCTCCACGTACCATATGATCCCCTTCCAGCCATCTTGTGGAACTGCTGCCAGGTGAGCGGTCCCTGAACGCCCCACGAGCGGACACTCCTCTTCTTCTGGATGGTGTCCTGCAGCACAGGCTGGAGGGACAACAACACCCGCAGGACGTCCTGAGAGTACAGCTTGCTCATGTCTGCGGCTGCAAGAGGAACAACAGAGGGAAGGATCCCTCGGCTTAGCTACGTTTGAACTCAGGAATAGAAACAGAGACAAACTTGTACAAAAGGAACGACTCTGATTAAAATGCGAGAGATACGTACATTTGCATTTGGGCCACTGATGGAGACAGGTGCTCTTCACTAGTGTTTCATCCACTTTTCCACCTGACATATTGTCCATGAACTGCCGGCCATGCTCCAGAGCCATGTAGCAGTCATTGTAACAGTCTCTCTCCTCCACCCTCAGAAAAGAGCTGGGGCCTGAGCCTAGCTTCGGATACTCCACCCCCGCCATCGGAGCGAAGGGGTTGGTGCACTGGTCCTGCAGCAGCAGAATCAGCTCGTCTGGAGGTTTCTCCGCCAGGCTGCCGGCTTTGTGTGAAGCTCGCAGCTCCTCGAAACACCTCTCCGTGTCTCTGCCCGAGTCCGAGCCCCGGCCCACCACGTCCAGCTCGTCCTCGAGGAACAGCCCGGCTGATTGGCCGAAGCGCCGATTGGTGACGGCGCTGAAGCCGCAGGTGCAGGGGTACTGCGCCTCGCCGTTGTCCTTGAGGTACACGCCTACGTCGGCGCCTCTGATGTTCATGTTGCAGACGCACACGCAGCAGCTGTCAAAGTTGCAGTCCTTGAAGAGGTTCATGACTGACTCGGAGAGGATGAGGGTGACGTAGAGGCTGTGCGCCTCGGGGATCGAGGGTACGGTAGCCGGCTCCACCGAGCTCAGCGGTCGGCAGGTGGAGGGGGTGGAGGCGGGGGAGTAAAGGTCAGAGTTGTCGTACTTGAGGGAGCCCTGGACGCTGGATGGGCCACGGGGTGTCCGCGGAGTGCGCGGGGTGCGAGGTGTCGGAACGGAGAAGCGTGGGGTGGCGGGGGAGGGCAGGATGCCCGTACCACTATTGCTGGGAGGAGCGCTGCTGGACATGAAGGGCGTGTGGGTCTGAGGGGTGTAGGTTTGGCTGTAGTCTGGCTCCACACTGGGGACGTTACTGTCACAGAAGGATGACGAGAGAAAGAGTTTAAAATTTGACTTTCTATTCAGGAAAGAAAAAACCAAAGGTCAGGTTTTATAAGAGAAGTTTAAACAGAGGGAAATATTTTTGATGAGAAAATACTCATTTAAAAATCAGTGAAATTTGAGTACCGTATTTTTCGGACCACAAGGCGCACTATGAATTAACGTGTCTATGGTCACACACAAAGCGCACCGGATTGTAAGGGCGCATTAAGCGAAACAACACAGTCCGGTAAATCAAACTTTATTTTACTCAGTTGTAACAACAAATACTGGTACAGTGAAATATTCTTACTTATTGATTCATTCCTTTTGAGCGCATTGTACCAATAAAATCGGTCAGTAAAAACAACAAGTAATCATATATAAGGCGCGCTGGATTATAAGGCGCACTGTCAATTTTTGAGGATTTTAAGGATTTCAAGTGCTCCTTATAGTCCAAAAAATACGGTAAGTGAAACTAACCAACTCTAGAGGGTCCCTAACTCGACTGTCTAATCCACCGACCTGTCTTTGGTGATGAGGTTGATGTTCGTCACTGGCGGCATGAGCTCCATTTTACCCATGGTCCAGCTGGGCGTGTACACACAGTCTTCTGGCAGTTTGATAGGCAGCAGACACTGGCTGGGTAGCGTCTTCAGGGGGGCGTACATGGAGCAGCCGATGAAAACCTGGCTCGTCTCCGCCTTGTACACGAAGGAGAAGTCCTAAAGGCAAAGAGGAAGTTGTAAAATGCGCTGATGTGGCTTCACTTTCCCCACTCGCTCCACCGCCCGCTCGCTCGCAGGTGTGGCTGTCCGTACCTTTACTTCGGATGGCTTGGGGCTGCAGAATCCCTCCTCCACCTCCATCTTGAAGTGGTTGTTAAGCTGGCTGCCGTCCAACAGGGTGAGGCCCGCCCCTGCTTCCAGGCTGTCTTTGCTCCCAGAGTTCATAGGGGAGTAACCCTGCTGCTCCAGAGAGGGCGGAGTGGGAAACATCTGGTGCAGGTCTACTGAGCCTGCAGAAATAATGCATGATCACTTCTCTTGAAACAACCTGGTTATAAAAATTACAGCAAACACTGATTAAATAATGCTGCGGCTCCTTACTTATGCAAGAGAGGGGATCTGACGTGGCTGATTTCACGTCTTTACAGCCAAACTTGTCGTCTGCGCCGGCTCCTGCTCTTCTAGACCCAGGCTGCGCAGACAGGAGAAAACAAAACTTAACATTTGATCCACTTTCTGATCCGACAGGTCTTACAGGTCTATATCAAAGGCTGGTGCTCTCACCGCTAGCTCGTCTTCATCTGAGTTGAAGATTTTATCCAAGTCGCTGTAGGACACGGCCAGGTCGTTCTCATGAATGAGACTGGTGGAGGCTGAAGGTTTGTTACCTGATGGACCCTGACCGTCTGAAACACAAACACATGGAGAAACCGTCACGAATAAAACCCCAGACTTTCAATAATCAATCAATTTAAAGTCAAACACAAGGATCAAACTCTCACCGTCTCCTGAGGTTCCAGCAGCTTCATCCCCCTGCATCAAAAAAACGACAAAAATCAGGTTTGAATGAGTCAGTGACAAAACACAGTTGGTGTAACTTTACATTAGGGGTGTCCTGATACAACTTTTTCACCTCCGATATGACGCTGATGTTGAAGCTTTAAGTATTGTCCGATACCGATATTGATCCGATATTAGTGCAAACTTGTGCATGAAAAGTATTGTTCTCAGCAGCGTCTTTTTCAGATTTTGATGAAAAATACTGCTACGAAGCCGACATCACTTCTACTCCTTGCTTCTTTGTTAGTACCTTAGTACACACTGTTGTTGGGATCACATGGGTTTTACATCCTGGATCCAGGTGCTGCTAGATAGAGATGCTGGAGCGGAGTCTGGAATGGACTGCTTGTATCGGAGTGCCGATATTGGAGATTTTAGACGCAGGCCGATATAATCCAATATTCAAATATTTGCTGATATCGGACCAATATACAATATCAATATTGTATTGAGACACCCCTACTTTTCATGAAACAGCAGCTTTTTTGTTTGACTTCAAGGCTGTGGGTGTCAGACTTCTTCTACAACTCCCGACAAAGTTAACTAGTCGGTATCAGGACCTCATTCAAACAGCTATCCCTGTCTTAATTCAACACAATCTCAGGTTGGTAAAACAATCCCAGTCCTGAACCCACCTTGTGTTTCTTGTTGCTCTCTCTTTCTGCTCCAGGTTTGTCCTTTTTATCGGTGAAAGTGAACTCGTCGTCTCCCTCGACGAAAGCGTAAGGGTCGAGCTCTTCGTTTTGTTCTCCGTCTCCTATGGCGGACACGAGATGGCTGTTTCTCCGCTGGGTGTAAGTCTTGACCAGCTCCTGGGACACCTTCAGGGTGTGTGAGGAGCCTGACATCAACCTACGAGGGTAGAAGAGGTGCAACATTAAAGGTACTGAAACTTTTTTTTTTGTGTGTGTGTGATGAAGCTGAGACTGAATTAAGTACTCACTCAGTGACAGACACGACACTCTCTGTTCCTCCGCCTCCCCCAGAATCATCTAGGAGTTTATCCACGAGTAGCTGTGGCATCTGGAAGTTTGACGCCTTCTTCTTGGGCAGCTTGAAATACTTCCAGGGGTTGTGGGTGGAGTCCTCGTTGGGGTTGATGGCCGAGCCGACGAAGACGGTGGGTTCTACGGTTTCGTTGTAGTTGGGAGGGTAGGGCAGAGGCAGAGACATGTTCTCCAGCGGAGGCTCCTCAGACGAGCCTTTCTGTGGCAGCAGACAGGGCTCCACAGACGGCGGGTAGAACGGTTGGTGAATAGGCGTGGACGAGCTCTTGATGCCACCTGGGGTCATGTTGCCCTCCACGTGGTCGCAGGGATGCGGGCTGAGAGGAGGCGGGGGCGGGGATCCGACGAGGTCAGCAGGGGGGCCGTGTGTGTGCAGCGTGGGCGCTTTGGAGGGAACTGTGTCGACGTGGTGCAGGCTGGGGTACGAGCTCTCTTCCTGCGTTCTCAGACAAAGCCTCTGGGTCTGCGGCTCCAGAGACTGATCCTCACTCACTGAGTTGCGGTGGTGGAAAGGCGTCTGCGGCCTCTTCTGCTGCTTCTCCGCCTTCTCCAGCTTTTCGCCCAGTTTGTGTTTGGGGGTCGGCTGGGGGGGCTGGCCTGACGGAGGCAGGTGTCCTGAGGTGCTGCTGGATCGCTGTTTCTGATTCTTATGTCTACAGGAGAAACAAAGAGCTTGAGAATGACCTTGTTTTCTAATAAGAACAAAGGAAGAGTCTCTTGTGAATGAAAGGCTTTTAAGGTACCTCGAACAGTTACAGTGAGACCGGTGAGTCGGCTCGACAAAATCCCAAAGTCCGGTCTTGTCTGGCTCTTCCTCACAGGTGCCGTTCGTCAGCGGAGTAAACTTCCTCCTATTAAAATGAGGAGAGATGTCAGTCAGCGCTGAAAGAGCTATTTCACCAGCTGCTGTTTGTAAGGCAGAGATAACGCTGGACTTACTTATGCCCTGTGCGGTTCATGTTATACTCCTGCCACACAGACTCCACCATCTGGCCGGCCAGTCTGCGAGGGATCTTCCCCCCATGAAGAGTGTTGTTAGCGCTGAAGCCGTCGGACGCAGAGGACAGCTTGAGCCACCTCTGTGCAGGCTGATAATCTGAATGAGAGAAGGGAACACCGAACAGTCAGAGTCAGGATCCTTACAGGAAGAGAAGATGCTGATTGTTGTGTCCACATTTTGTGTGTCTTACCAGTCTGAGCCTCCTCTGGTGACGTAGGCGGAGTCAGAGTGACAGAGGACATGGCGGGGTCTCTGTGAGCGGCCTGGCCCTGCTGAGCGCCGCACACGCTTCCTGAGGTGTTAGCCGAGCCCTGAGGGACCACGGTGGGGAGGTCGGACAGGGGGAGCAGCACCAGGCAGGAAGGGTAAACCATCCTTACTCCGGCTGAAACAAACAAACAGAAGTGCTTTACTTCAAAAACTCTTTGGTGCAGAAGTCTCAAAATTTAGGATTTATGATTTTCTTTAAAGCCAAAGATCAAAAACAGCAAAGAGTTATATCAGCCTTACCGACGAGGACCTCCACAGCCGCCAGAGAGTCGTCCTCCCAGTCCGCATCTTCCATCTTGTCCTCCTGTACCTCTTTAGGATTTGGGCTGATGGGGTAAAACTGCCTCCACTCCTCTATGAGCTTCTGAGTGGGGTGGTCTGACATCTTAAAAGCCTGTCCAGTGAGGGTCCCATTCAGGCCGTATGGACTCAAGATGACTGAAGGGCAGAGAGGAGTCTCCATTAGTACTACAATTTATTTTCATTACACACCCACATGTAACAAAGTGATAAGGCGGGTGTGCTCCTACCTTGCAGGGGGGTGGAGCTCTGTTGGGCGAGGCTGAGATGCTCCTCGCCCAGCCGCTGAAGAGGCTGGTGTTGGGCGATCTCCACGCTTGTGCACACATTGCTGTCGCCGTGCACGAAGAAGGTGAACGCACATGACAGGTGCTCGCTGCAATGTGAGTAAATAATAACACAAGCATGTTAGAGCCCAAACACACATTTTCCATTACTCAAAAACTGATGTAAACCTCTGCTGGCTTTTTCAGTTATCAGTACAAGTGCTGCACGATACACTGACACTTTATGCAAATTTGCAATAAACACATCACGAGAGTCTTAATGTGCTGCAATAAATTCATACATTTACATTAGGGGTGTCCCGATACAACTTTTTTTCCTCCCATACGGTACCGATGTTGTAGCCTTCAGTATCGGCCAATACTGATATTGAAACAAAATTGTGCACAACAAGTTTTGCACTCAGCTGCAATGTCTTTTTTTGCTCGAGGTGCTGGAGCAGAGTCTGGAATGGACTGCTTATATCGGAGTGTTGATATCAGAGATTTTAGATGCAGGCCGATATAATCTGATATTCATTATTGCAGATATCGGACCGATATCCAATATCAATATCGTATCCGGACACCCCTAATTTACATAAAAAATAAGCAATGTATCTCAGTATGCCATCATGTTCAGTGTTGAATGGGTGTACTGAATGTGCTTCCACACTGTTTTGTGCAGTCAGATGAAGCTCAGCCTGCCTATTAGCTACAGTCAGACTAACAGGTGCCAATTAAGTGGTGAAAAAAAAATGCTTTCAGTATTTATTTTTTAAATTTAGGAATGACATGTCGCAGAGAGAGGGATGTAATTGTGAGTTATGGCTAAAACACTTGAAATAATTATGATTTCACACTTCACACTGTTACCGCTGAACGACTGAAACTGTATTTTCTCAGTCCAAGTCATAAAAAATGAACACTGAATTGCATTTATCTGATGTTACTTGTTTTGTTTTCATCTTAAATTGCGATTTAAAGAATATTTTCTTAAAATGAACAGACTGTAATATCTGTTATTCCCAAAGCTAGAGTTCCTTCTATTTTTGGCGTTATTATCCACATCATGCTTCCAGGTGAGATCTGTTACCCCCCCCCCTCGCTGGCGTTGAGTACACTCTGGCCTGTACACACTTCAGTCTCATTCTGCACATAACACACACCCATCAACACACTCTGTTCTACAGTTACAACCTCCATCAAACCTCCTCCCAACACGGAGTCAAAAATACCCACTTGGGATTTTTACCGTCCTGAAATGTTAAAACAATATCCTGATTTATTCCCTAACTACTTCTGGAAGGCCAGGCGGCTAAATGCACTAAAATAATACTTGTTGACATGGTTGCTGTAAAACCACAGTGCACACTCAGCATTTTCCAAAGACTGCCCTGTTTACCAGCCAGAGAGGGCAGGCGACAGCGAGGCTGCCAGACGCTTCTGTTGGAGGTGCTGCACTGCTGCCTCTTACACACATACTTAGACTTGTAGACATCTTTATGGAAAAACAGGAGCTAAACACCAGAGAGCAAGAAATCACCTCCTGTTCTATGAAACAACTCGGTTATAAAAGCAGCTTTAGCTCTCTGAAAAGCACTGACGGAGCTGCCAGAGGGAGCTGAGCCAGAAGTGGGCTGTGCATCAAAAACAAGTCAGCCAAAAAGCAAAGGCTCAAATTAGCTTGCTAGGGAACTCCAGGATACACCAGCCCACTTCATTCAGGAGTGAGCTGAATGTATGTCGCCACCTTATGTGTAGAGCTCAGGAAATACAGCTGTGCAGGAGCCCTGAGCTCTGAACCAGATATTTATGTGCCTCTGCCGCTTTCACCTCCGGCTCGTATTTTTACAAACAGCAACATCACAGAAAAACAGACTTGATTTAACCGGCTGTTTGGAAAAAAGGGAAAGATCTGAACACTTAATATTACAGTGAAAGTATTGCTCTACTTTCCACTATAAACTCCAAACTGATGTAGAAGTTGCGCAACATTCCTGGAGGCATTCATCGCATTCTTGTTATGTGTGAAACCACTTAAAATGCGCCCCACACTGATGACGCTATTAGAGAAATGTAATAATCCTATGACACTCCACAACATTATTTTATCTGATTCAATTTCAGGAATCAGATCTTTAACTCTGAGAACTGCAGGATGACTCAGAACAACATGGATCTGGTTTGAAATGCTGTATTCCTGCGACTTAAGACGAGTTCACAAAGTACAGAACTTTCCGGGTATTAAATCAGGGCAGCGGGGACAAAGAAACTAGATTGGTGTCAGTGTAACACAGACTGATGAAACACGCTCTTACTACTCTCCATTCCTAATAAAAAAAGTTGATGTCAGGCAGTTACATCGAGGGTGAAATAATACAGCTGCAAACTCTACTTTCCAGCAGAATCCCAAATGGGAATTTTAACAATTAGTGGCAGTCCGAGATCAGGAACGGTCACAGAAAGACAGCTTCAAATGACAAGAACATCTGTCTAACGCGACAGCACAACACTCATTTGCACATCGCATTTCCCTGTAAATCCTTCTCTGCCACGTTGCAAATTTCAAACACTTGAATAATGGCGAATACAAAAGCACAATACACCACATCTTCACTTGTTGGGATATCCATCGACAGCAATTGTGCCGCTTCCTCTGTGTTGGAAGTAACTGGCCTGAGGTACGTACTGCTCTGTCCTTTTAAGTCGATTCACATTGTAAAAGCTGAAACATCTTGTCCAGAATCATCTCTCTAACCTTGAGTTTTCTCCATTATTAACAGCATCTACTTGTGAAACATCTGGAGGAAGTGTTGGAACTCATTCACAACAGCAGACAAAAGAACGGTACATAAAAGATCACAGCTTGCAGCTTGTTCAGACAAACAGATGAAACTTCTGACTCCAAATGCGAGTCTTTTTCTGGCCCTCAGAAGGCAGGACACACCTTTTATTTATGGTCTTCTCTTCCTTCTGGTATGGCTTGACAAACCACTTGCCGATGCGAACGAAGCCGCGGTTCATGAGGCAGCGCTCCAGCAGGTTGTGGATGGCCTTGAAGAGGAGCGTCCGGCACTCGTAAGACAGGCCGCTCTCCCACTCACCATCCTCCTCACCTGAAACAGAGCAGATGTGTAAAACCGGTGAGAATGACGGGCAAATGCATGATTTAGATTTTCTCATTCAGAACGCAAAATATACAGTGGTGTGCAAAACATTTTTGGTTTGTAAGGATCACTATAATTACTGCAGAGACCCATTTAAAAATCCATCAGTCATTTTTTTCCCTTAAATAATATTCAACATGATGATTCTGTCATTTTAATGGCTGACATGAACAACTATCAGGTCAAAACTCATTGTTTGCACTGCACTCTTATTTTGAAAAGCTCTGTATTTATCCTGTGAGTGAGGCACACTGTACGCCTGGTCAACAATGTTTTGATTAATGATTGATTCGATGTAGGTTTCCAACTCCAAACTAAACTTAGAAACTTTCTTAATAGTTAAGCAGTTGTGAAAAGTTCCTCTAGCTGCCTCTGTATCTGTGTTTCCCCCAAGTAACACTTGAGACAGAAGCAAGGCAGCCCACAAAGGCTTGTTTTGATAAATATACCTATACTAATACCAGCAAAGTAGAAACAAACTTTGCCTGCGAGTTAGGACCGTGTCAGGTTAGTGTGAAGACAAACTCCTTTCGTTTTTTGCTACCAGACAGCCAAGAGTCTTCATGGCTGAGAGCCAGTAGATTCCACAAGGCTTTAGAGACCTACAAAGACCTTTTAGCCACAATTCAGTTTGGTTATCAAAACATATCATCATCAGACTCTTAGATCATTAAAACTGCTTTTAAGCGTTTTGCCACAGTTCACAGTTGCTGGCATTGATCAAACACTAAACAAGTAGAAACACGACTTGAGTTTCCACAAATGGGCCAGTTTCGCTTGCAACTTTCTGTCAGCTCAGCAGCTCTGACAGAATCTTTTAATTACAACAACCATCACAAACTTTTTATGTTTTGTTCCTCTAGTAGTCCTGCAAATAATAAAGTGCTGAGCTAATTGTTGTGCATGTGCGCTCAAGAATGATGTACCTTTCTTGTTGCTATTTACACTGAGCGATCACTTCTGTTACCAGTGTAAACAATTTGGATAATCACAAATCTGCTTTTGCAGCCTCCGGGAAACATAAGAGGTGTTGCTCTCGCTTACTTGAAAGCTCGTTGTGGATAAGCTCCGCGAAACTGGGGTCGTCCCCCCACCAGAAAAGCCAGAGCTCCCTGCGACCTGGGGTGTGGTGCCTCCTCCACACGCTCAGCACATCTGCCGCCAAGCATCGGCTGAAACTACACAGGATGGGATCCTCCTCGGTCACGGGGAAAAGGATGGGCGAAGAGGTGGGTCCTTGCCATACGAAACGCCGCCATTTAATTCCAGTCAAATCAGCCTAAAAAAAAGAGGGAAAACAAAGTGAGAATTAACACGACATAGCCAATCATCTGTTGACTGCATAACCTACAGTGAAGGTGTTTCTCCCTCCTCATATAAACACAGACTCATGTGAAGCTGAAGTCTGCTTGTCCAGTCATATAGAAAATCACTTAAAGACAAAGTTTGGGGAAATTTTTTGCTGATGAGAGAGTTGTGCAAGACCACATTCATGTGACTCAACAAGAATGACTTTGATTCACTAGACATATACACAAACCAACCGGCCTTATCACTGAAAATACTTCAGCGGTATAATTCTTGACTTGTAGCATCTACTCTTACAGTGGTGTACTGAGGAGCATTGTATGAAATGGTGTTCTTAATAGTTTTCTCCACCACCAAAAACAAGAATGTCCCTAATAATAAAAAGTTAGTTTAATAGTAACTTGTTTAACATGTCAACAAAAACCAAAAGTGGACTTTGAGGACGAGCTGGTGTAATAAATTGCGTTAGATTAAGCATGTTTATGATGTTATGGTTGCTCTATGTAAACAGCAGCTGCCTAATCTAAAATCAGGGAAAAGTGTTTTCTATTTTTTGTTAGGCAGGTCAAGCAGCTGATTATTGCCCTCTAAATCAAATATTAAGTATGTAGAAGGTGTACTGGAGAACATTATATAAACGGGTGTTCTTAATAGTTTTCTCCACCACCAAAAATATCAATGTCTCCGATAATAAATAGTTAGTTTAATAGTCACTTGTTTAGTCATGTTAACAAAATCCCCTAAAAACGCTTCCTAAAAGTGGAAAAGAGCTGTATTAAGCAGCTGATTATTGTCCTTTAAATCAATTATTGAGTACATGTAGGGTGGTACACTGGAAAGCAGATATAAAAGGGTGTTTGTAATAGTTTTCTCCACTACCAACACCAAAAACAACAATGTCTCCGATATTGAATAGTTAGTTTAATAGTCACTTGTCTAGTAATGTCGAAAACCCCAAAAAAGCCTCCTAAAGATTGTGTTACATTTAGCATGTTTATGTTATAGTTGCCTAGTCTAAAATCAGGGAAAACTGTTTTCGCCATAGTGGTTTCTCCATTCTTTGTTTGGCAGGTCAAGCTGCAGTTTATTGTCCTTAAAATCAATTATTGAGTATGTAGAAGGTGTACTGGAGAACACTGTATGAAAGGGGGTTTGTAATAGTTTTCTCCACCACTATCACCAAAAACAACTCTGTCCCCGATAATAACTAGTTAGTTTAATAGTCACTTGTCTAGTCATGTCAACAAAAACCCCAAAGAAGCTTCCGAAAAGTGAAGCTGTGGTAAAAGATTGCGTTAGATTAAGCATGTTTATACTGTTATGGTTGCCAAGTCTAAAATCAGGGAAAAGTGTTTTCTCTATTTTTTGTTTGGCAGGTCAAGCAGCTAATTATTGTCCTTTAAATCAATTATTAAGTACATGTAGGGTGGCATACTGGAGAACATTATGAAAAGGTGTTCTTAATAGTTTTCTCCAACACCAAAAACAACATGTCCCAGATAATAAATAGTTAGTTTCATAGCCACTTGTCTAGTCATGTCAACAAAAACCCAAAGAAGCTTCCTAAAAGTGGAGCAGTTGTAATAGATTGCGTTAGATTAAGCATGTTTATAATGTTATGGTTGCTCTATGTAAACAGCAGCTGCCTGGTCTAAAATCAGGGGAGTTATTTTAAGTTATTGCATCAACTATGTGATATAACTTGCAATGTGAGCATCGCTAATTCGTATCACTTTAATATAGATCATTTTTCTAACGCTAGCATAAAAGTTTGAGATATCCCTCTTGCAAATGCATCATAACGCGATCATGGTATATCTAAGAGGCCTGCAGTGTGTGCTTGTCTCTGTCATGAAAGTTAGCCTGATCACGATTTGCAAGTTGCAGGCCCCGATGCCTTCACGCCAGTCTGCAACTGACGTTACAAAGCTTGTTGCCTGATTAGCCAAAATGGCTTTCTGGCCTCTCGGTATCTCGGCTAACGCTAGCTTAGCGGAGGAAGAAGAAGAAGAAGAAGAAGGGGGAGCAGAGAGAGAGCACAGACTTACCAGGCAGAAGAGGTTGGAGTGGCAGTCCTCCAAACTGGCCCCGTTTGGTACAAAGCACGAACTCATCCTTTCACTGCGCGGTTGTAACGTTTAAGTCCATTGTCTCAGTCACCAACGGGGGCAAGAGATGATCTTCTTAACTCGATGTTCAGCTGTATTTATCCCGTTAAAGCGCTGCTGCCCAACTTGCTAGCAACAACTAGCCTGAGAGCAGCTAAGCTAATGTTAGACAGGGCTGTGAGCTTCCAGCTATTAAGATTCATCAATCCTATCTGAAACGTATTGTCTGATCTGGTTTAGCCGCAAGCTTCCAGCTACACGAGCGTAACATTAGCTAGTCTACGTTAACATGACCTGAGCTGACTATACCCTCATTAAAACAAAAGAAAAGTTACACACGCATTAAAATAACACGGGCTCGAAAACTAAAAAAGCTTAGTCCCAAGTGTGCTAATGCTAATATGAGCTAGCTGATCTGAAACAGTTTCAAAGCAGAGGAACTCTCCCCTCCCCCTGATCTCTCCTAGCCCACAAAAGCTAACATACCGGAGCTCCAGCGCTTAGCCTGCTATAAGCTAAATAAAACAATCAGCTATTACACCGCCCTCCTGTTCTCTAAAACCACCGCAGACCTCCTTCATACTAAAAACTACCTTTAAAGCGGAAGAAACGCTAAAACAGCGAGTCTACTTTCTTCAGCCCTGATCCATGGGTCCTGCAGATTTCCATTATTTCAGTTCATGGATTGAATTCTTTAATGGCGGCCAGGAGGACAACTCTGCCTCTCGGCTCCTATTGGTTAATTTGCGGTGAAGGGGGCGTCACCCGTCTTCAAGTAGCTCCATGACTTCACAGTTTACAAGATGAGAGAGAGGAGCTTCAGTACATCTGTCATACATATACAGGCAGGCAGTGGTCACTCCACACACACTGAGGTCTGTTACTAATCATGTGAATAATGTCATGATTCTTTAATTTTATTTTCATTTACATACTTTATTTTTTGCTCAACAATATTAAACTGAAAACATACTTTTTAACTAAATTTTATATAATTAACTTGAAGTGTTTTAACATTTATCTCTATCCTTTGGTGCTCTTATTTTAGCATCTTTTACCGTTGTTTTTATTTTATTTTATCTATTATTTCTTAAAGTTCATTCTGTGTCACTTTGTTTTTAGATTTTAACCTAAACATCCAGTGTTTCCTTATATTGAGTTGCAGTGCACACACTCCTGTTTTCACAAAATCAAGCCCTTTTAAAGTTTATGCATTTTAATACTGCTTCTGTTGCATTCAAATCGTGGGGTGGGGATGAGGGGTCGGGCTGGGGTTGATTTGGATATTCTTTGTTTCTTTTTTCCCCCTTTTTCTGTGTAAAGCACTTTGTGCTACATGTCTGTGTATGAAAAGTGCTATATAAATAAAGACTGATTGATTGATATTTCATTCAGGTAATATTTAAAACATTCAATACAAACAAGGTAAAATCTCAAACATTTGAAAAATCTCAAACATGTGAATGAAAAGGAGCAGAAAGGAGAAAAATCTTATAAAGTTTGCCCCTCTTTCAAAAGATATCAATCAACTTAACACAATAAAAATAAACAAGTTCTGCAGGCCAACATGCCTTAACCACTGCCATAACTACTGCAAAAAATTATTTTGTCTTATTTTCTTTCTTGTTCGATTGCTTATTAGTTTTTCTTTATTATTACTATAATAATAATAATAATAATAATAATAATAATAATAATAATAATAATTATTATTATTATTATTATTAATTTCAGTGTAAATAACATTTTGCCCCAAACACATTCCATTATTATTATTATTATTATTATTATTATTATTATTATTATTATTGTTATTATTATTATTATTTTTCTAAATATTATTTTATCTTATTTTCTTTCATATTCAGTTGCTTATTAGTTTTTCTTTATTATTATTATTATTATTATTATTATTATTATTATTATTATTATTATTATTTATTTATTTATTTGTTTTTTTACATCACTTTTTGCCACCAAACCACATACATTGTACTTATCCACAATCAAGCGGCAGTATTCCTTACCATACATTTTAAACAGTTGTGACTGATACTCCCTACTCCTGTCTCATTTGTGTTTTTGCTCTGCTTGCCTTTTTTGCTGATGTACCATTATAATTTTTTGTTGTTGTTTTAGTTATTTATATTGCACTTCACTCCTTTGCATGTCTTTTTAAATGTTTGCAAAAAAGAAAAAAAAAGTGATCGAGATAATCTAAATACAGGGGCCTTGCACAAACTGCACAACTTATCTAGGTCAAGTTGTGTAGACAAAAATGGTCCCATCCGTAAGGAGTGGAGACTGCATGATCTCCAAAGGCGACTAAAAAGGACCCAATTTATTGGCATATTACAGCATATTAGCACATTACGGTCAAAAGCATGTTTTAAAGCGGTTTTATAACACACTCACACTCACGCACAAACTTAGTGCATTCAAGCGTACGTCAACGCCATCCTGTCATAACCATATCAAACCACAGGGCGGAGACTGCACGCCGGTGTACGTCCCTCCCAAACAGGCGGAGCGTCAGCTGCGTCGAGAGAAAATGTCAACAACATGCCGGCGGAGTCTTTACAGGGAATAGAAACTGAGGAAGAAGCGGAAGGAGACAGACAACAAAGAGAGCAAGGAAACCAGACGTCCCATAACATCGTGTCTTTAATCTCACAGCTCGCAGATGATAATTTAACACTTGTGCGGGTAGGAGACTTTGTCATGTGAAAACCTGGTGGTGCATGAAGCAGCAATATGGTAACAACACGGTCACTTAGGAGAGGTGGCTGCAGCTCAACCATTTCTAATGACAGTTTAGGTGAAGCAGGAGTGCACGCTGTATTATCATGCATGCACCTATGTCCCGTTTATCATATATCCTTTCTACACTACTAGGCCTTCATATCAATGTGGTTTACACCCTTAAAATGGTTCGTTCTCACAGGAAATACTGGAAGAAATACTGTAGAAATATCTCAAGTATAGTTTATTGTGCTCTGTTGACTCCTAGACCATCAAAGTTTCAGTCAAGACAGTTGCAGACGTGGCCCCTTCAAGAGGGCACTTTGAATATTTGAGGTCCTCTGTTTGGTTTCATTTAGTGTAAAAACACACTGTAAATACAGTCAGACATCCTTTAAAGAGTCTTTAATACCTCTGTTTTTACATAATCTTTGGTGAGGTTTCCCACTTTTACTCTGGTTGAGGCAGATGGCTGTCCACTAACAAGTCTAGTTATGCTCAAGCTTTCTACCTGTTTTAAAGGGAGGTTTTATCTTTGTTATAATGTTAGGTCTCTGTGATATCTTATTCCAAAGAGTGCTGTCTAATTGTGCATTACAAGCTGATTTTGTCTTGATATGATACTAGAAAGATTAAAATGTATGACTTTTTCTTAAATCCTTTGATTCTGTTTCGCCCCTCCAACAGAACTTAAGCACTGCTCTGGCAATTGCTGGTGTTGTTGTCATTGCAAGGAGTATCAGACTGGTAAGAAACACTATGGTGCAAAGTTATTAATGCTGTTAGATTGAACAGTTGAAAATAGGATTGTGTATTTTATGTTTCCATGTTCATAAATAAATTTACTAATTTTACTCCCTCCTCTGCAAAGTGGAGAATGTATCTTGTACCTTGAAGATTTACTTGATTTATCGTCCCTTTTTCACATCATTTAAACGCCACTGATTTTTCCCATCTTGTCCGCTTCAGATCACTAAATTCCGAGCTGCATCGAGGGGAACGTCAGCCTTCGTGGGAAAGTTTGTTGTGTCACAGAGCGAGGGCTGGAAGTGGAACATGTCCCGATTTATCTCCCGGTCCTCTCACCGTTACTTTCAAACCATAAAGGTAATCTGGGGGAATCATATGAGTGAAACAATGAGGGCATGCAGACATACACAAACGCATAAAGCCTCCAGCTTGTGTGTATGACCTCCAATAACACAAATCCCAGCTGCTTCTCTACTCCTCTCTTTTATCTGATTACAGCACAAATGTCATTTTTATTTTGTACAGTCAATGTTTCATCATATCATTTTTTTTCATGGATGAGAGTGACGGTTAAGCTTGTTATCAGTGTTATCAAATCATGGCATTCACTCAGTGATAAAATCAAGCAGCTTATTCTTAGTATAGAGTGCTCCATCAGCACCTCGAGCATGAAGGTCTCACTAAATTGAACAGATTGTTCTCTTCTGCCGTTATATAAAACATTACTCAAGTCCTGCTTGACCTTTAGCATTTCGAATGTGGTCAGACCCAACCCTTTAAAATTTGACTGATTCACAAACATGCTTTAGTGATTATCTCCAACTTTGGGATGCAGCTTTTCCTAAAACTGTAGAGCAAAAGCAGTGAACATCCTGAAAATTGAGCTTGTTTTGTTTAATAAAAAAAGAAAGTAAACAAAGATGTATTAATCAGAAAGGAAGCTAACGAAACACGCATGTTAAGTATAGGCATTCACCGTCATTAGTATTCCTCTGGGTGTAGACACTGGGGTCATACAGGTGGGAATGAAATTGCAGAAGGTCACTAATGACCTCTTGTGCAACACATCATTAGGTTACTTCAAGTAGGTTGTTTGAACGCTGTACAAGCTCTTATGAGATATCCGACATCTAATTTTATTTGCAGATTTAAAGACTGTTTGGACTTGGTTGCAATGCTGTAGACTTATCACAGTCATAGATCTGTATGATACCACTCTGTCTTGTAGGGACACTCATTTAAATATCTTTATATAATATTAGAGGTATTTTGTTTGTCAATAGTGTGTTCCTACATTTTTTTATCTTGTTCTTTTCTATCAGTTATTTTAGATAAATCTGTTTTATTTCTTTTTCATCTGCCAAAAAGTATGATAATGATGATGTCCTTTTGATGTCCTTTTTAGGTGTACACACGTCTCCGATGCTGGTGCATCTTGCAGGAGTGGAGCTGACTCCAGAGGGTCAGGTATGGCTCCAGAAGACCCTGACTCCCTCACAGACAGTCTGGCTAAAACTCATCAGCAGAGAGGATGAGACTCTACACTGTTTGGTGTCTCAAAGTAAAGTGAGCATTAAGAGAAAAAAAAAACAAAAAAGTGACTTTTATCAGCCTGTACTGATATTGTTAAAGTTATTCTAACAGGCGAGATATGCTCCTCTGTGTCATTTCCTTGTGTCTTCCCATCTCTCTCCAGCAGGGGTCGATGTGGAGCTACTGTTTGAATGAAGAGGCGCTCAGGCTGGGCCTGGCCCGCACTGCCCCTGTTGTCGGGGTCCTTCCGGACTCTCGCCTCTTCTGGCGACTCCACAAACGGTTGCACAAAGCAGAGGTCAAAGCTGAGAAGAAGGGTCTGGGACTGTGGAGGCAGGACAGCCTGTGGGAGAGGGTCTCCAAGGCTGTCAGGGACAACGCCGTCTCTAGAGTGTTGGGAAGGATCTTTAAGAGGACTTGATGCAAAGAGAGACAATTGTTGAACTCTTAAATGTTGAAAATGTGACACACTCACATCTGATTCTATTTTTATCTTGTTCATGTTACTGCAAAGTTTAAAAGTCTTACTGACGTGTTCATGGAAGTGTCATCCTTCACGTGTCTGTCTTTGCACATGTGATACTCAATATTTTCTTTACATTCCTCATTGAACTTGCTGCAAATGCACAGTTTATTGTTGCTGTGTTTAACAGTGTAGAAGTTTAAAACAATTAAACACTCAAACCTCAAATCTCATCCATCAGCTTTCACATACTTCTTAAAACCTCTGCTTAGCACTGCCTCTTCTGTTTCATGTGTTTGGGACACCCCACTAAACACAAGACGGGGGCGGGGTATGTTAATGGTCTTCAAAATGAAGAGGGGGGGTTCCCACTTGTCCCCCTCTAAGATCCCTGTTTCCATAGAAACACCAAATGTGAAATACAAAGCCAAGCAAAGGCTAAACCCTATATTGGCCGCCCCCATACCCCATGGGAACATGCAGTAGACTATGTATGCATGGGGGTCTTTAAGCACCCATAAAAGGGGTCCTTTTAGACGTAATGTGACCAGGTTATTAGAGTACTTGAGAGCCTAAATAGATCCAAAATGAGACCAAGTCTGTAAATGTCCTTCATCTTAGATACAATATGTTTATACTGAACAGATCATTGAAAATTAATAACGGTAATTAAATAGATTGATCGATTTTTAATTTTGGTCACATGAGTGCACATCCACATCCACCCCTGCTGAAAATTAAGCCCACCAGCAGAGTTCCCGTATATCCAGGATTATGCTCATGTGATCACTGTTATTTGCAGTGCAAGTGCATGACTAAAATTACATCATGTACTTTCATTTGCTCTGAATTTTATCCACATAAGACAGTTGGGGGAGAGAGAGAGGAGGGCCTGCAAATGAGGCCAGACTGATGAGTGTCCTGCAGGGTGCAGGGTGAGGGGGTCTCATTGCAGTGAGAGGTAAAACTGAAGCAGTCAATCCAACGGGTGCAAGGAGATTAGTACAAAGGGGGAGGAGGGTCACGGGGGAATAGGGGATTTTGGGTGCAAGCACAAAGGCAGAATAGGAGGAGTCACAGTGGAAGGGAAAGGGAGTGAAGGAAAGGAGGGGAGGTGGGGGAGTTGATGAATCAGCTAGCCTCTCTTTTGTTGTGCAAATGTTACTAGCGACTGTTACGGCTGAGGAGGCTCGTGATTGGTGGGCCGGTTTAAATTGTAAGGTGCATTTCAGGCTGATGGCTGTTGCTGCCAGACTTTGAACTGTCACTGAGGGGAGGAGTGGGAGGGAAACCACGGCTGAGACAGATCAAGGAGGAGGAAAAAGGAAGATCACAGACAACCAGTTAAAGTTAGTTTCGCCCTCATTATTACTGCGCCTTTGTGTCTGTCTCTAGATAATATAACACTTGAGCAATCGCATAATTCATTGAGAGCAATTAATGGTGAGTATTTGTCCAGAGAAACAAGAAGTCAGAAATTACACATAACTCAAATACATTGAATACATGCAGCTGTCCAAATGATTGGACCTTTTTATTCTAAGGAAAAAAAAAATTGTGGGGATGTGGGGGAGTCCTAACCCCCCATCTCTTCAATCTATAACTTTAGGCAAAGATCTAAAAACACTAGCTTTAGATCATTCATACATCCTATTATTATGTAAATTATGTACAGATGTAAATATGATGCACATACATATGTATTTTAACTCAACGTTTCTTTATCTTTTAATTTTTGTCTTTTTGTACTATGCTGCTGTAAATTTGAGAAGTGTTTTAGGTAAGACAGGAAAATTACATCTTGTCTAAATAGTGTAAAGGGTTACAAAGTTATCAGCGTAAAGAGGCTGATTTCAGTGTTTTCAAAATTACGTTGTGTTTTATCACGGTTATTTTTTCAGCTTTGTCTCCAAATCCAAATGGGAAGATTTAATGTAAAGTAAACAATCTTCCTGGCTTCCTTACCAATAAGTAGTGTTTGGGAGCAATTAATGGTGAGTATTTGTCCAGAGAAACAAGTATGTTCAGTAAAAATAATTCATGACTCATAAGGATTGAATACATGCAGCTGTCCAAATGATTGGGCCTTTTTTATTCTAAGAAATAGAAAGAAAATTTGTGGGTAAGTGGGAAAGTCTTATCTGGAATCTATTATAACTCTAGGTGAGGATTTAACAACACTTGCTTTAGATAATTCTTAAAATATAATTTTTCAAAATAATGCCTGTGTAAAGCACAACAGAGTATTATAACATCAGATTATAATCAATGTGAAGTGTCTTACGAAAGACAGGAAAATTACATCTTGTTTTCATAGTGTAAAGGGTAACAAAATTATCAGCGTAAAGAAGGTGATTTCAGTGTTTTTAATATTAAGTTATGTTTAGTTATGATTCTTTTTTCTGCTTTGTTTCTAAATCTAAATGAGAGGACATATTGTAATGTAAACAATCTCCCTGGCTTCCTTACAGAAAAGCAGTCCGCTCCAGTGATCCACACCAGGATTTCCAGCCTCCTCTGGTCCCACTCTTGTAGTAGTCATTTGAAAAGGCACCCTGCTTGATGTAGTGGAGGGTGCTTGCCCACACCAGTGAAGTTGTTGGGACCTTTCTCTTGGCCTGGTAAAACACTACAGGGACTATCTCTCACTTTCATGACATGTGCGCTTTCCCTGTGCCATGGACATTCAGTACCTGAGGGACTACTGTTTTGGGTGAAAGTGGCAACACTTTCTGAGGAAGCTATCAACGTGGGATCAACGTGACGGAAGTAAGTGTGATGCTTGATGTGATTCATAAAGAGCCGACATTGTTTTCTTAGACAAACAGTATGACATGCAGTCTCTTGGAGTGGATTTTACTCACTTTAAAAGTATGTTTGTTGAAATATGACTGCTCTTAACTGTGGAAAACTGGCTGTCACTTTAAATTTACTGTTGTTAGGAGACTGTATACAGTATCCAGGCAAAGGTGCACCTGTTTTACAAGTATACACTGACAAAGGCACTGTTAGAAACAAACTCATAACATTTGAATCCTTATCTTTATTGTGCCACTCCAGGTGAGCTTTAGGCAAACAGGCTGGGACATTTACTGTTAGTGAAATCAGTCTGACAGCCACACTGCCTGCTCCCATGTGATCTCTTTTATGTTTTTTTTCCTCTCCTACTTTGGCTTATTTTCAACAAGAATCAATGTCTCACTGGTATGACTGATATTGTGTTTTCTGCCGCATGAGTTTCACAATTTGATGTTCCCTCCCATTGAGCTTCAACAACAGAGATTTGGAGCAGGGCAGCTTAACAAAGGCCTTTATTACACTCAGCCGGTAGCCATCCTTGAGAGAAAGAGATGGGGCACTCCCCCGTCCGAGAGTAGGGTCCTTGGGGATTTTTTTTATTTGATTTGAGTGGCTGTGTGTGGCTGGGGCCGGGTGTGAAAGACAAAGAGATTTAAAGAGACAGAGAGCTGGTGTGACACTCGCTGAAATGCACCTCAAAAAACCACAAACTGTCCACCTTTGCTTCTGCACACCTCACACACTGTTGTCAACTTGTCATACAGGATACAAGGAGGGTCTTTGTCAGGTAGCTTATGTGTAAATTGATCCATGCATGTAGGCCTCTGGATCTTATTCAGTAACTTTGAATGTGCAGGTGCCATTGTTGATTGAAAATTGCTGTGAATGAGGCAGATATACACTTCCACCTGCTGTCACAATAAACGCTTATTGCTGCAAGTTCTCTATATCATTTGGCAGCTCTGTAATCATACACACACATCCACTGTGGAGCCTGTGTGTGTGTGTGTGTAGGAATGCATAAGATGTAAAGTGACTCCCTTGTTATTCTGTGCCTCGGAGTATTGTGAGTGGTGTATCAGCTGGCTGGTGTTGGGTTGTAGGAGTGGAAACATGAGCCTTTGTGGGTGCTGTGATCCCTCATGAATGATTGAGGTTTCACAGTGGAAAGGAAGAGAGGAGAATGCAAATTGTCGACATGTAGATTATTCCACGCAGGCTGTCACTTTGTGCTCCATTCCCACATGAATGTACAGAGTGTGACAAAGGACCCGTCTATGAAGTGGACACTAGAGCCGCTGCGTATTTTCTTGATATTGAGCAGACAGTTTCAGCCCTGAACCCAGCAGGTGAAAGTGAATGATAGGGACAGGAAGAGGGGTATTTTGAGGGGTGTCTCTGCTTCAAATAGATCTGAATGTTTGACTTGTGACCTTCCGGGATAAAGCAAGACGACCCCACCACACACATGGTCTGTCACACACACACAAGGAAGTTAAATCAAGATCAGGCCCTTAAAATTTCTACTACATTTGTGACAAACTCAATTTAGATATCTCTTTTAATTTCCATCTGTCTCTTAACCCGTCAGAAACTCCTCACAGGAGCTTTAACCCTAGAACACTATCGCTAAAATTAGTAACACCATCACTATCACCCAAGAAAAAGTCCTTGTCATCAAAATATATCAAAATGGGACAATATATGACAAATTAAAGTTTTTCTCTTTATTTTTAACTGTGCAATGTCCAAAGGGAGGGGAAAAAAGTGCAATGAGGGGACCATATAAAAATGCAACAAAATAACAGAAATTAGGCATTCATGAACAAAAATCCCAAAAAAATATATGTATAGAAACTGTAAACTTAGTTTCTTTTCCACCCATTCCTTGGGCATGTGGGTCTCTGGTGAAGACTCAGGGTCTTTGGCACAATAACAGCTGCAGGAGAGAAAACCAAAAATGGCCTATTTGGAGTAAAAATGACCAGCTGACTAAAATATTTCTTATCACCATCTGAATTCCCTTGAAAATCTCTACTTTGTGATAGTTATTCATAACCACTGTGCTAAATAAAGATAGCATGCAAATTCCAGGACCGCTCTTATTTGCATTATTCCCTACATGCAGCTATTAAATCCACCCAAACCTACTTTGCCAA